GACGACGAGCTTTCTCCTGCACTATCAGACGCAATGAAGATTATAAATCCAGCAATTCGACGCATAGCTGTCAAAATGCTCGCTGATAAAGGTATATGGAAAGAAGCTCTCCTTGAACAACTGTGTCTTACCATTCAATCTCCCGACCCCGATCTGGAGCTCCTTAAGGTTATACTCCGATATCAGTTACCACTGCCTGGAAAAGAGGGCAGATTAAATGTTTTTCACCTCGCAATTCACAAAGCATCTCTCCCAGTCATAGAGATTGTCTGTAAATCCTTTCCCCACACGGCACTAATATCAGAAGCCCTGCCCAAGACCTTTTCGCGCATCGCAGAGAACGGTGGCAATCTCACGTACGATATCATACATTTCCTTCTCAACAATGGCGCGAGAGGAATAGGTCTTGACAAGACACTCCTGGTAGCCGCTGGATCCAAGAGCCCTCGTGCATTGGATATTATCCGTTTGTTGGTTAAGCATGGTGCAGATGCGAACTATAACCAGGGTAATGCTTACGCAGCTGCATTGAATGACTACACCAGGCTCGAGATTCTATGCAAAGCTTGTCCGGTGACGAAAGCTGCTGTTCAGATACTTCTTCCCTCACTGCTTGAGACGAGTAGTGCCGATACACAGACATTGGAGCTAGTGCTTCAATCAAATGGATCAGGGATAGACTTTACAGAGGTCCCAAACTTACTGGAGGACCATCCAAACATGGCTGCTATTATTACTTGTCTCATGAAGTATGGCCTCGATATAAACCTTCAGCAGGGCGTGATGATACGGTTTGCCGTGCAGGAGAGCAACATCACCTTGTTGAAGACTTTGCTGTTCGCTAATACAACTACCACTTCTCTCAAGACTGGCTTTACAGCGACAAAGAAGACAAAGCTTCGAGAAACAAGGCTCGAAATGATGAGACTCCTCCTCGATAAGGCTGGTAACGCGGAAATTGGTCAGTCTGAAGTACTATACGACGAAACACTGGAGGCTCTATCGAAGTCAGGAGATGACAGAGGCTTCAAGATCCTTCTTGCCCACAAGCCACTTGTCAGCACTAAATCTCTTGGTATTGCTGCTGCGTTCTCCTCAAGATCCACGACCATTTTGGAGATGCTGCTTTCACGTCGACCAAGCGGGGAGTCCATCAGCACAGCTTGCATTGCGGCATTTAGATCGCCCAAGCTAAATCACGATCAGAAAGAATCTGTCCTAGGGCTATTACTAGACGCCAAGCCAGGGCTCAAGAAGAACGAAACTTCCAGCCTACTGCGTACCATGGTAGAACAACATGGAGACTCTACTGTAGTTCCGTTGATGCTCATTAAACGTGGTGTAGAAGTCACGGCGGCTCACCTCGAGGCGACTCTCACCACAAGCAGCAAAGAATTATTCACACTACTAGTTCGCGAAGTAGAGCCCACCAGCGCTGTAAATGCGTGCTTTGCTCAAGCAGTATCCTCAGCCATGGCGGTCGAGAGGCGTCTCTGGATTTACGAAGCCTTGCTCAACACCGGAAGTGTTTCAACCACTACTGCCTCGGCAGCACTCATCATATCACTTAACGAGGGGACTCCTGACGTGGGGATAGTAAAACTGTTGCTCAAGCATGGTGCTGATGTGAGATTGAAGGAATTCCTCCCTCTAAAATTGGCTTTCAAACTCAAATCAGCTGAGATTACCGATCTGCTCATCCAATCTATCAGGGACGATAATACCGCTGCTGCAGCGTTCGATTTGGTACGAACCTCCTCGGCACTAAAGCCAGCGCTCAGAGTCAAGGTTTATACTAGTCTTCTTAAACACAAAATCACCGAGGACAAACTCACCCTAGCACTCATCGACACGTTGAAGAATGCCCCGGACATGGATACCATGAAACTGCTCCTTGAGCGAGGAGCTAGCCCGGGTGCAGACGGCGCCAAGTGTTTTGTCCTAGCTTGCAAAGCGGGAAATGAAGCCGCTCTCAGAGCCATGTGTCCATATGCGAATGTTGACGCCGTAACTCTAGCTCTAATTGAGCACTGCACCAAGGAAAAGGAGGTCCTCACGTGGCTGAAGACTTGCATGTCTGCATTACGCAAAGCTCATCTCAGAGACTCGACTCTCCTGTACAAGGCTATGGCCAAGTTCCCTGACGGAGGGACTTTGGTAGAAAAGCTGCTGCACTACGGGGTGTCAGCGGGGACGATGAAATCGGCTTCTTTATGCAAACAGTGGAAACGTGAGCCGCTTACACCTTTGCTTTGGGGACTCATGTCGGACTTGAAGATATCAAACAGAACCCTACTAGCTCTGGTCGCCAAGGGAGATGATGGTAAGTACCCCTTGAGCTGCTTTTATCGATTTGATGGCTGACGATGACAAGCAAATTTGTTATACTCGACACCCAGTTCCCAGGTATCAGCGGCTTTCGCCTGTATGCTCGACCCCAAACGCAACCCCGTTCTTGAATCTCTCCTCAAATTACACGGCAAAGACATAAGAATGTGTGTTATTCCAGGACGTTCATTCTCATATCTAAGCCAGAAGCCCAAAACACCCGATCCCACCAAATTCATGACTCAAAACCTGCCTTTAAGCGATGCGGCCCTTTATCTAGGCAACCTGAAAGCCTACATTTCTCTCGGTGGCGGTAAAGATGTAAATAATGGGTCACTACACACAGCTGCTTTGCTCGCGCTACCAGAATTTGTCCGGTGGCTTCTACAATGGCACAGCGCAGATCTCGAACACGAGGCTTTTGGAATGATGGTTCCTCTCGTAGTGGCGTGTCGCTCTGAGGCACGGCCGTGGTGTAGGGTTGCCAACGCTGAGGGTTCTTTTGAGAAGCGAAGGGTAAAGACGATGCAGCTGCTTGCCAGAAAAACGGATCTGTCTTGGCGCAATCGAAGAAAGACAGTGTTGCATTTCGCCATAGATGAAGGACCAGATGCGCTGCAAGCTATGCTGGAGGCTCTTGATGTGGCGCATGATGCGCGACGTAATGAGCGGTATCTATATACGGACCGGGAAGGCATCGTATACTCCCTCAGTTACTACATCAGCAATCTCTGGGACCCCGATAACAGGGATACTAAGACCCCGAAAATGCTCAAATTGCTGCGCGGCACGGGTAAGTTGAAGGATATTATGTACCGGCCTGAGGAACCGGGTCCTGGGGTTGAACAGCCGGTTGGATATTGTGGGATGCCGCCAGACTTGCAGAGGAAATGGGATGCATATAATGATTACGATTCTGAGTAGTAGAGCAGTCGAAGTTCGAATGATGCTAGATGGGGCGTAGTTTGCTCGAGTGTTCCATTGAAAAGTTGCTACATGCTTTTTGTATAGAACTTGATTATATAGACTTACAGAACCTGAGAGTAAAGAAGTATATCTTGCTGTATGTATGTCAAATACAGTATATAGTGGCTAGGATCTTCCTAGACTATTCATTCTACTATGAAAGGCTCAGAGACAACCAGAGAAAAGACTCAAGAAACCCCTCGTGGCTTATCCAACCAGTCTTCGCTTTTTGACGCCTCGTCTATATCTACAGTGTCCACTCCTAGCACACAACAGAGTCATTCCATTATTTACTGCGCAAGTCCGGAATTCGAAGAAAAGGACTTGAAACATTTTTATCTCGTTCTAGATGGACACCCGCAGGTAGGAAAGGCTGTTCCGTCGAGCGATATATGGTACGATGGCTCCCCAGCCTCAACTCAATGCTGTACATTGACCCCAGCTATCGTGAGCTAGATTTGTTATTTGCAGTTGAAATTTGTGACTGAGAGATTATAGTCACTAATAGAACTTAGTACCGATCCTGGCACCTCGTAAGAGCATTTATATCCGGCAGGCCTCACAAAATTGACCTTATTGACGTCGATACGGCTGCCTCTAGTATGTCCAGAACATCTACAACCTGCCACCATAGCGTTGTGTTGACGTGCCGAGTTCTTTTGCATTGGCACGTTATATACAACAACAGCAGGGGAAGGATCCTTGTGAACTATGGTGGAGACCCATCACTAATAGCGATCTGAGCAGAAGTGGTGTTTCGTTTAGACGTCAGTCGCCGGTTTTTAGGCCCCCCAAAGAGCTCTTAAAATAATGTCGACATCTTCAAGATACAAGAACAGGATGGAAGCCAAAGATCAGACGCGGTGGCTTTCTTCAGCGACGGAGTCATCTTGAATGATATGTGTGAAATGGTTGACCGAATTCACGTTGGTAAGCATTTTGCAAGAACTTAAAAACTTGACTCAAGCCTCAGAGCTACTTCTAGTCTCTGGATAAGACGCAGTTACTTTCAGAATTGCTAGGCGGCGTCTGGAATTATCCAATATCGGTGACCTATTAACGCAGGCGGCGCTTCGCGGCTTAGGCTTATTCAGTCGCCAAGAACCCGATCCAAGAAGTGAATTTATATTCAATTAATTGCCCAAGTTCTAGAAGACCCTGAATCCCGGAGGAAATCAAGCCATCGTCGCATTGAGACCAAGCCCCTAGACCCCTGTCCTACCCAAGCATCTAACCCTTTCCCTTGCCTTCTGATCGTTTCAAATCAAGCCAGTACCCAAATTCAGAATGGACCAGTTTCCTAAGTAATAACATTGCCCAATGAGAACATAAGATCTTTTCCTTTTTTCTTTCTTTTATGTGTGTGTGTTTTTCGGTTTTTTCTCTAGAGAAAAGAAGGATCGAATATCATTGCTTGCATAGCTATGAGCTACATCAAGGATTGACTAAACTGGTGCGTGGTGGTAGACCAACATCATTTATCTCTGAGCGAGGAGTGTTGGTATCCTGAATCAAGTATGAAACCTCTGAGCTTAGATACCATCTACTTCCGGTTGACTTTTGCCATTGCTGTGATCGTTGACGTCCGGATCACCAAATGGATCGTGTTGAGAAGCGGTATAGGATTTGTGCCTCTGCTCTCATGTAACAGGTACCTCTACGGGGGAAAAGGTAAACGAGACTGGCTCATGCAAAATTCCACCGATCTATCGCCATTTCGAGCCTCGTGATTTCTTTTGTCTGAGAGTACGGGCCCAGATATCTTCTTTTGTTTCCGCGGGTCTTTGGTATTGTTCGTAGTGAACAGGCCGTGAGGGCGTGTTCACCCTGACAGGACTCGCGGCCATGTCATTCTGCACCTGCTGCCTGAGTTGTTCGAGGGAATTTCGGCTAGGCTCTGCGAAGCTTTTGGGAGGCCAGCGGCCAGCGTTTGCGACGCCAGGAGCCATCTTCGGGGTAGAAGCCCTCATGGGCTGGGCCGCCATGTTTGGAATAGCAGACTTTCTATACTCAGAAGCCGTCTTACGCGCAAGACTCTTGGCCGCCCTTTTGTCCCTAGAGCTTCCGCAACACATTGTGATGAGTGCAATGTAATGCTGAGAATAGTTTGGATTGGTAGTTGAGATGGGCTTGAAGAAGAGAGTTGAAAGATGATTCAGTGTTGGTATAATGGTGTCTCTGTCTGTATGTGGAAGAGGGGATTGTTTGATGAAGAAAAAGGAGGGGAGTAACCAGGCAGGTTACTCTTCATTTATAGACACGTTTCAAGGCCATGTGTCTTCTCTTAAGTTAAATAGAAAAACCTAGATTTTGACTGATTTGTCCATATCTAGGAGTAGCAGATGGTGTCTCCCCTTGCTCCTCAAGGAGGGAGACTTAAAAGGAGGTTGAGAGCAATAGGAAAGTCGCATACCCATCACAAGTCAATTATAAGGTTAAACTTCCGACAAATCATACAGCTGCCCTCACCTCGCTACCGAATAAAAACACTGAACCCTATCCGAAAGGCAAGCCAACAAGAGTCGAGTTGATCACGATGGACGATTGTACGCAGTTATGGACGAATTGCTTTGAAATAAGATTTTCTCTGTGATAGGGAATTACGAAACATTTGATATCAAAAAAGTGCCCGAGATCGCCAAAGACAGGCTGTCCTGATGGTGAGAGGCTGCCGATAGATTTAGATTCGTTGGCAAACCTTACCAGATCTCTCGACGAGACAGATCTAGACAACGAATCAAGAACAACACCTTCCATTATTTTCCATGGACTTCCAGGGGAGCATAAACGTTTTATTGTAACCAATGGCTACCATGTTGGCTCTGGTCGCAGATATAACATCCTATAGCACACCATGACTTTCACTGGCCATTAAACCATCGCGGAGAAACACACTTTGGTGTGATCGAGAAATTTGTTAACGGCTCTACGTGCGTCTCACAAAGGTTAATGAAAGGTTACCCACTACCACTTGTCGATAAAAGAGCCAAATGCGATAGCCTTCCCTGGCAAGGGAGGCAAGAAAACTTAGGGCCTGTTTTCTGAGTGATAAAAAGACTTAGGTAAGTTTAGTATATCTTAGCGCGCCTTTAGACCAGTTTATTTTGGCACTCTGATCTAAACGTCAGAGATTTTCTTGCTCTCTGAGGGGCTGGATATATCCACGGACTAAAGCACCAGTTTCTGTTGCGGAAAAGGAATCAATTTATTTACCTACTTCCAAGAAGACAGTAAAGAAATATCGCATTTTCGTTTTCTAGTCTTCTCTCCTAGTAAAGCAATATGACTCAAGCCCTCGTTACTGCCTTCACCAACCTCCACCTAATTCGCATGGCTTTCATTTCATTGGTTTATGCAAAAACGGTGTATTGGCAGGCGTGGGAACCAGCCTGTTCAATGCAGAACTCCTGAATGGCTCTCTCTGCCCATTCCTCCTGACATTAGAAACGACCATCGGCCTCTGAACATCCACGATTTCAAGAGGCGGTGGCCGCTGTCGAAATCTTTCCATCTCTTCTGAAGTGATGGGCCTATCTGGAAGATCCCTTCCGTAAGGCCCAGCCAAGTCGTCACTCTCCGTTGCTGGAACAGGTGTTCTTGGTACAGCGTCAAGTGTATGGGGTGCTTGGGCAGATTCAGTAGACACTCCACCATCTGATGTAGAAGGCTCTGCTTCTGCAACTTCATGTTCCAACGAAGCAATCTGTTCCTGCAACATACTGTCGATTTCACGCATCTTTGACACGATGCTATCATTGGGTGGAAGGAGACTCATCACGTCAGCATGATTGGCGAGAGTGCTCTGCAGTTGACTGATGAGACAGATCTTTTGGTCTGTGTCACTTTAACGTAGTTAGCTCTGGCTCTGAACATTCTCGGAATTGACAGGGTTATGACTTACGACATCTTGAAAGTTCAAGGCCCTCAGCTCAGTCCTGTCGTCAAGGATCAACTCGTAAGAGACTGTGGGTTGAGTTTGAAAGTCAGTTTCTTGATGTGGGTTTTGAGATTATGGAAAGGATGAGATGTCCGTTCTCTAATCTTTATATGTTTCTGGACTGTCTACTCAAGTGAATGAAAACGACATGTTACTACTAGGCAGCGGGTGAATTATCCTTTGCCGTCTTGTCAAATGATGAAAGTCTCTCTTTCGCCATCGCAGTTCCTTTGATTCTGTCTATAGTTCTTTGAGCGACTATTCATAGTATGAGGTGCACTTGTAATCTGTGATGCCGCGGCTGCCTGTCAGGCTAGAATAGGATATAGCAAACATCTGAGTACCAGAGTTCAAGTCAGCAGTAACATGTTCTGTAGAACAGCGACCAACACAAAGAAACGGTCAAGAATGGAACGAAAAGAACTAGTCTAGGCAGCCTTTGTATTGTATCTTCAAGAATTGGGTCCAACTTGTTATTCTTGGCAGTCCACCGAAGGAACAGCTCTCGTTTCGGAGAATATGGTTGGCCAATCATGAAGCTGTGAATACGAAATTAGGCAATGGGGTTAGCCAGTCTGGCCAATCACGACTATTCATAACTTTGAGACCCTGTATCGGGTCGTTCCAATGGATTCCTTTACCATCATAAGACTTGGTATACGAATCGCGTAATCAAGTAGCTTAAATCCGGGGCTGACAAACAGGTGTTGATCAAGATATCCATCGATCACATAAATACTCACATTCCCTCATCAATAGCTTCTCGTAACCCAATAATTGAAGACTAACAACATCAAGCTCACCCTGCATCTACCATCTCAAGTCACCATATTAATCATAAGATCTAATCCATCATGCGTTATGCACTCACGGCAAGTCTCATAGCTTTCATCAGTGCCGGAGCCTTTTACTACTCCTCGCTCCAACCAAAGGCCCTTGAACTCGTCCAAATTCCACACACTTGGATCGAAAACGTTGCCATTCGTTCCAACGGCGATCTTCTGATGACTACAATCGGAGAAGGCAAAGTATATTCTTTCTCTCCGAACAGTACCCCTGCTGAACCCCGCGCTATTTTCAAAGTCGAGGGAGTGAACGCACTGTCTGGTATCGCGGAGGTTGGGTAAGATGTCTTTGCTGTTATTGGAGGTATCTTTGAGGGGATGTATCAGAACGACACCATGAACCTTTCCCTTCTCAAGTTTGATGGTGATAAGGTCTCCGTCTCTACTGTCTTTCAGAAGTCCAAGTACGGGCCGGTCAATGGCATCTTGGCATTGCCACGCCATAGACACATCATTCTTGCTGCTGATGCCGAAAGGGGTGAGATTCTGAGAATCGATACAACTACTGGACATGTTGAAGTAGCCATCAAAGACAAAGCACTTGCTCCAGTTTCTGGCGGGCCTTTCCCCGTTGGTGTAAACGGGATCAAGATTTTCAATGACTACCTGTACTTCACCAACACCGCTCATCAGTCCTTCAATCGAGTCAAGATTGATGATATGGGAAACAAACTTGGCGATTTCGAGGTTCTTGCCAAGCTTGAAAAGGGCTCCCCTTATGCACCGGATGACTTTGCCATGGATCTAAATGGAAACGCGTATGTTGTTTACTGGCAGGATAGGGTTGTCAAAATCACTCGAGGAGGGAAATAAACTGTTCTTGTGGAGGGGCTTCTTGCTGGTCCTAGTAGTGTAACCTTCAGTAACGATGGAAAGATTCTGTACGTTGTTACGTCTGGGCAGAATAACGATGCTGTCTCTGGTGGACAGGTAGTAGAAGTCAAGCTGTAAGGCTCTGAGCAACAACTAGCACAATATCAAACGATGAAATCCGTCGAGATATTCTTAGTCTCTATTAAACTAAATCAAAACCCCTACTACCTAAAGCTTGCTCACGAAGAGACTCTGCACATTACAGAAACCCTTGAGTCCGTTGATACCCCACTCAGCACCAATTCCAGACTGTTTATGACCACCGAAGGGGGCCATGGGAGTGATATCAAAATGGTTGTTGACCCAGACAGTTCCCGCCTCGAGTTGCTTAGCCACTCGCTCTGCTGTTTCGATGTTCGACGACCAGACGGAGGCTCCAAGACCAAGCTTCGTATCGTTGGCACGCTCAATGACTTCATCTTCATCCTTCCATGAAAGGATAGGAAGGATAGGGCCTGATATGTCAGTGGCTCCTATAATACTATGTGTCGTGAGAAACTTACCAAAAGGCTCCTCAACCACAATCCTTGAGTTCTCGGGAGGGTTATCGATCACAGTAGGCTGGATGTAATAACCATCCTTGGGCGCAGGATCAAACTTGCCACCCGTAGCAACCTTCCAGCCTTGCTTCTCGATGTCGTCGAAGAAGGTCTTCACTCTGTTGTACTGCATTTCGTTCTGGACTGGACCGTGGCTGGTTCCCTCAGATGAACCGTCGCCGAGCTTGTAGTTCTTGACGTGCTTAACTACAGCATCACGGAACTTCTCGTAGAAAGATTCATGGACATAGATTCGCTTGACGTTCAAGCAGATCTGACCTGAGTTCATGAATGCAAGTGTAGAAACCTATTACTCGTAAGCAAAATTGATTCTTGCTTTAGGCTGTCAAAGAGCATACCTTTTCAGCCACGCTTTCAATGTCGACATCAGGGAAAATAACGGCAGCATCATTACCGCCGCTGCCAAATGTTAGCTACGATAACCACGTCCGAGACTTGTACTCACAGCTCAAGAGTAACACGCTTAAGTGTCTTGGCAGCACTCTGCATCACCAATTTTCCAGTATTGGTCGAACCTGTAAAGCTGATCTTATCAATACCCTCATGGCTTGTGATCCAAGGGCCAAGGTTATCATCACCACTGAGTGACTGCACAACGCCAGGAGGGAAGAACTGCTGTGCCAACTCAACCAGTTTCAGGCCGCAATAAGGCGTGAAGGGCGATGGCTTCACAATGATGACGTTTCCTGTGACGAGAGCAGGTGCAATCTTTGCGGCTGCCAGCATGAGGGGGAAGTTCCATGGGACAATAGCAGCGGCTACACCAAGAGGAGTGTATCTCGTGATGATCTTGCGGCTCTCGCTATCCTCGACGACTTCTTCGGGGAGATCAATGCTGGCTTGGCCTCTGACCCAAGCAATCGCAGCCTCAGCCTCACCAGAAGCTTGAGCAATCTAAATCGTCAGCAATCCCCTTCTTCTCAATTCAAGTTAAAGGTCTTACAGGTTTTCCTTGCTCAGAGACAAGCAGGTCGGCGAATTCCTTCTTCTGGGCCTCAATGGCATCGGCCCACGCAAACAGCTTCTGCTTTCGCTCCTCCCATGGAACCTTTGACCAAGACTTGTAAGCCTTTCTAGCAGCGTCGACAGCTCGGTTCAAGTCGTCTTGGGTGGCGACAGGGACCTCGGGCTTCTTCTCAAGGGTCGCTGGGTTTATACCCTGGTGGGTCTTTTGGGTAGGGGCGCTTTTGCCATCGATGATCTGGACATAGTTGTCCTTGAGGTTAATAGGATGAGACTTGGTTCCGTTGGTAGCCATGGTGAATAATGAAGAGCAATAAGAGACTTGACAGAAGAAGTGAAAATAGGGTTTTCTTCAACCTTTTTATAATTGCTATTCTGCTTTCAGCTCGATAATCCCCGCACTTTGATTAACGTCAATAGAAACGCCAAACGAATCATGTTGCATATGCACTATCGTACAAGACGAGACATGCACCGGATACTTAGATCCCGAAGGTACTCGGCTTCGTCCCCACACTCCATAATTGTTAGCGCCAACTGTACCAATTGTGCGACTATCAGCCTCGACGAAGCCGGGGCCTCGGACCGAGGGGCACGGCTACTGATCCCGTGTCAGGTAACAAAGTTCATGATAGGCAGCATAACGCTTTACCCCCGAAGTAATCGCGTATATCATTCCATTAGGAGTGATGTTCGTTGAAAGAGGGGAGGTTCGGGAACGCTCTGTGGACTAGCCCTGTAAAGAAGTGATTGTCGCGTATATGTCTTAGAATCTGCATGAGTCGCAAGCTAGACATGCTTGAACTTTTGCCGTATACGGAATAAATTGGAGAGCAGCAGATATGGACCTTCGAACTTATACCTAGTATTCTCATTACTTTCCTCACTTCCTCCCAAGTAAGCCAACAATATCATCCTTCTCACAAGCACTCGCAATATCCAACGCGCTTCTTCCCCTCTCATCCTCCTTCAGTGGATCTAAACCTTTATTCATCATCAAAACAAACAATTTCTTGTCATGTCCATCAACCGTGCTATAGGTATTCACTCTCCCGGCAATCATGTGAAGCGCTCCCTCTCCTGATTTGTTCAGCGCAAAAATATCCACGCCGCTATCTTCCGGGAACAGAATTGCGTAGTGGTCAGTATGACATGATTCTGGGTGAGTGTTATAACCGTTATTTGTTGGTGAAGAGAGGTATGTGTGCAGAGGCGTGTTTCCAGCGTTGTCGGGACCGTTGATGGAACCTCCTTGGACAATGAACTTTTTCCACAGAGCATGGCACTGATTGAAGTAGTCGTCACCAAGCTCGATATTCAGTCGACCTGGGGATCCAGGTTCTCGGGTATTGAGAAGGCATTGCGAGGCTATGTAGTGAAGAGCTGTGCGGCCTTGTAGATCGGGCTGAAGCAGGTCAGCTCCCTTCGTGAGAAGCTCTTCACAGACTTGAGGGCGCAATAGTCGGAGAGCATAGTGAAGTGGTGAGTATCCTTCCTGATCTTTCTGAAAGAGGGTTGGGGCGACCTCTGTTCGATTTATGAACTCAACGAGGGTATCATCAGGTAAGCCAGGGTTACTCAGCAGATGATGGAGCGCTGTCTTGCCAAGATTGTCAACGAGGGTTGCATCGGCTCCAAGATCCAGCATCCGCACAGGAGGTCCTGCCGGGAGCTTTTCCCAATGTCTATGAGAGAACCCAGGTAAAGTCTCCCGCCAATTACAAGCAGCCATAAGAACAGTCTGGCCCCGTTGGTCGCGATGGTTGAAGTCGATTTGTGACGCGCAAGGCTGCTTCAGAAGCTCATTGATAACTTCATAGTCTGGGTACACAAAGAGAAAATGGACCAATGTCTCATCATCGTTCAGAGGTAGATAGAGATTTGCTCCATGCCCAATGAGAGTGCGTAGCAAAGGCACTGTGTTGACAACTTGCGAATTGAGCTTTTCAGCGAAGGCAGCGCAAAGAACAGGATAGACGCGGCGTGACTTAGTCAGGTTGTAATGCACGCTTCTACTATGTTTCGCTTCGCTCAGTGTGTCGGGACTCGACCCATGGTTGAGGAGTGCTTCCAATACTTCCTGGTTCTGGTCGAAAATTGCTTCGAATAAAGGGCTTTCCTTTCCTATGGTTGCGTCTGCACCTCGACTGAGCAGTTCTTTTGTGACATCTGGTGCATTCGATGCCTTATGTAGGGGAGTCAGTTTGTGGTTGTCAAGGGCGTTGATGTCAGCTCCATTGTCAAGAAGTATCTTCACAGCTTGTAGCCTCGCTAGACCTTTCACATCGCGGTTCTCATGGACTAACCCTCCAGCTGCAACATGAACTGGTGTTTGTCCATCTTTGTCCAGGGCATTGACGTTGGCTCCATTGTCAATCAGATATCTCAAGCCTCCCAACTGCCAGTGATGATTTGCCTCGGCAAGGACATGCAGAGCCGTCCCACCGGAGGTGACGCCACTGCGTTTGTCGTACCCATCGCCAGTCGACACTGCAAATTTAGCGTTGACGTCAACCTTCAATGTCTCGACGAGTAATCTCAACGTAAGAATGTTTGACTCTTCTTGGGAGCATGCCAGGCCGAGCGCAGTCATAAGGGATTTTGGGTGCCAACTCTCCTCGAGGGTCACCTTCTCAAGCTTTGCCTTGGCGTTCTCGTAATTGCTGTAGAACTTGACAAGCCCCGGTGCATGCTCGATAACAGAGAGATGATTGATAGTTTGGCAGTTACTCGGTCTCATCATTTTCTCGAGTAACTTGTATGTTCCCATTGCCAATGGCGCAGTTTCAACGCATTGGTCCATCAGTTTCGCAGCATCACGGACGGAAAGGAGACCGAGGAAGGTTTGAGGACTGTCCATGAGACTCCTGGGCCCCTCTTCGTATTGGCGTAAGGTATCCCAGCAAGATCTCGGGCACATCAGAAGCATTTGTAACTTGATGCCCCTCCGCATTTCTTCCACTTTGTCGCCGTCATTTTCCTTTTCCAGCTCGACTGTAGCCAGGTTAAGAAGTTCTTCATCCTCAGAAAAGACTTCCGCAAAGTCAGAGCATCCTGTGTAGAGAGCCACATCCAGAGCTGTTCGTTTGCGATCATCTAACCAGCCGAGGTCAACACCATGCTCAACTAGCATTTTAATGATGGTAACAACTCCTGGCGACGTATTTCTCTGAACATCAACTTCAGGAGTAGAGTATCTGGCCTGATACCAAGGCTCTCTTACATAATCGTTACCAACAAGAGGCCGAAGTGGGTCAACGCTTGGTCTTCGAAGCCATAGAGACTCTCGTGCTTGAAGGTTCCATATGCTCTGCTCAATTCTGATATCCGCACAAGCATGCAAGACAGAAGAACCATCATTTGCCTTGGTGTAGGTCGAAGCGCCGTAGCGTAAAAGCCAGGCAACAATCTCGGGGTCGCCAGAACTGCAGGCATAATGGAGTGGTGTTCTGCCAAATTGGTCTTCCTGGTTCATGTCTATATTGGGAACTGTTTCCAGGATCTGGGCAACGAGGCTGGCTTTGCGAGCTCGGCATGCCAGATGAAGGACGTTTTGCTGGTCAGAAGTCAAAAAGTTCAAATCTAGCCCAAGTTTCTTGAGTTCGGACATTTCAACTTCTGATCTCATGACTGCTAGATGAAGCGGTGACAGTCCATCATTATCGCGGATCTGCGGGTCGACCTCGCCGGTCCTGTTGAGGACATCCAAGAAGTTAGTGCGTTTGTTGTCGAGCAAGGTACTCCCTGTACGTCCGCGTGTTTGGAACACGTGTAAAGGAGTGGCACCCTGATTGTTAACAGCGTTGACTGGAATACCAAAACTGAGGAGCCAACCAAGAAGGTCGGCAGTTTCTCTCGTACCGTCGTACCTTTTTGCAACAAGGTGCAAAAGCGTATCCCCGTTGTTATTGATGGCAAGCGGATCGATTCCATCGTCTATAAGCATTTTCATTTCCTCTGTACGCCTGTTTTCATAGAAGCAGAGACGATGCAATGCATTATTCCCGTTGGAGTCTCTGACATCTGTCCGTGCACCGTGATCTTTCAGAATGAGCAGTCGTTCTTTACCGTACCCAATACAATTCAAATACAGAGTCTTGCCATCTGAGTCCACCATCTCCATGTCGATCCCCTCGGAAAGCAGAAGTTCGAGATAGTGAGTGAACTTGCCTACATCACTTATGCTTGACAGATTGAACCAACAGTGTTGCTTTACGGACGTGTCGGTGGACCTCTCGAACAGAACTTTGAATAGATCAGGCCCATGTGACATCGCGGCGCCGACTGGCGTTCTTCCGTACTTATCCTTACAACAGGGGTCCGCACCTTGGTCCAGCAGATACTTCACAATATCCATCTTTCTGGAGTCGCATTCTGGCTTGTAGGAACTCGTGTGAGATACAGCTCTCTTCAGAGCAGTTTCTCCGTTCTCGTTTTTCTGCATCGGATCGCACCCATATTCCACAAGAAGCTTAACCACTTCTAAGTCCCTGCTGTGTTCAAGAACTTGGTGCAGCATCGTATCCGTACTCGGGGGCTGGCCAAGGACCTTGACGTTGGCGCCCGCTCTTACCAAGGCCCTCAGGGCCGGTAGATGATTTCGAGTTTCGTCGGAATATCGTGGGTCTTGTGCTGAAATGATCAAAGGAGTCCTTCCATGGCCATCAAACCGTTCAAGGTCAGCGCCAGCTTTCAGCAACATTCTTAGGGCCTCTTGGCTATCGGAATCATTCTTATCTTCCCAGGCCTCTACAAGGTGGTGTAGCGGTGTTGCATCTTCCCGTTTCTGGGGACGTGGGCCATTCATCCGTCGTCTCGGTTGCCATTGCGATGTCTTGTTCACATCTGCACCTGCACGAATGAGCGCTTCGACACACTTGACATCGGGCATGGCACAAGCAAAATACAATGCTGTCGCCCCTTCGTAAGTTGCATTGGGCGAGACAGGCGAGTTGTTCAAGATTGCTTGAACTGCATCTGCTCGACCGAACTGGCAGCATTGGCACAGAAGTTGCTCCAGCATCTGTGGCTCGCAGAAGGGTATCATGACAGTAATTGCCTCTGTGTGTCCTCCTCGACTGGCATAGTATATGGAGCATTCACCTTTGGTGATTCTTTCGCCGCCTAGGAGACGCCCTGTTCGGTTTTCCCTTGTTTTTATCGTGTTTGGTTTAACACCTGCTTCGAGTAAGACGGTCATAACCTTAGCGTAATTCTTCAAGGTTGCGAGATGGATGGGTTTCAGCCCTCTTCCGTCTTCGGCATCGGGATTGGCCCCGTATTGAATGAGGAGCGTGGCGACTTTATGGTGGCCATTAGCTGCTGCCCAATGTAATGGAACCCGCTCTTGAGCATCAACTGCCGAGACTGACACGCCTTGTTTGAGTAGCTGGGAGGCGAAATGAGTTAGCCCTGCAAAGGCTGCAAGGTGAAGACCCGTAGGTATCCCTTTCAGTGACCCTTTATCGCTTGATGTTGATCCCCATTGCAGGACAAGCCATCGAAGAAACGAAAGGCTGTTAGAGTTGAGAAAGTCCATGATGGTCTTGAAGAATTCGTCATCATCCACGTCGTAGTTCGAAGCATGGTATGGCCAATTCTCAACCGCATAGCTGAGGAATTGATGTCGTAGGCGAGCTGGTCTGTACTCGAAAGCATCATGTTCGTCGCGAAGACCGAGGTGCTCATGCCTGTAATGCCACGCATCATGATCGATTTTGTGTCTGGGTGTTTCGAATGTCACCGACGGGTCGACAGTTGAGTTGTTGGATTGTTCGCTCTCCAGTAGCAGTGATCCGGACTGCAGATAAACAAGGCAGTTCATGGCCATATGCTTGTGTGCCTGAAGAGAGTCGATGATTGGGAAGTCAGATGCACCAACAGTGGAAGCGCTGCGAGTATCTCCACGTATGAATTCCGTGAAAGAGTGATGGATTACCTGCAAAGTCTCGTCCTCGAGGATCTCGATCAGTGGCCCACAGCTAGTTGCGATCAAACTTTTGAAGGCGCTGGGCTCGGTGGTGTCAGGGCGAACGCACTTTAAGAGGCTCGCCAGTTCATTCAATCGGAGGGGACGCGATGCATGAATGACTGCTTCAAGGATCAAGACTTGAACATCTGTAGTAACTCCAGGCTCTCCCCGTTGCTTGGCCAGCATGCTCGTGTACGTCTGCTCCAGACCTACCGGAAGTGATGCCTCGAGATCTTTAATGTTGAGAGCTGCATCGGTTTGAAGGGATTCTTCAACTTGGTCCATGGTTAGCTTGGCGTAGAGGAACAGGCCTTCTGATTTCTCGGCAACCATGTTGATGAGGTCCTTTTTCGCCTCACGATGATGCTCCAATGTAGACGCATTGTCAAATCGATGATTGAGATATGAATGGATGTCGACATCCACAAGGCGCTGCTGCAGGCTGATGTGAACGATGGATGAATCTCGTAGCGTGCTCTGCAAGGTCCGAGATGGTCTGCTGGTCATGAGCAACTTCAATGTTCTGGGCCGATGAGTAGCAAGACCGTTGAGCCTCTCCAAGATTGGCGTGCTGTCGGTCGACATCTCATCGAGAGCATCGCCAACACAGTACAGCTTGGGGACACATGCTACACCATCAATGAAGAGTTGAATGAGCTCATTGTCTGAGGTGTCATCTAAGCTGTCCTGGAGTCGCGGTTGAAGAGCAAACTGCAGCTTGGGAGAATGAGGCAGTAGTTGAGCAAGCCAATCTTGGATCAGGGCACGTGGTGAGAAATTCGCAGCGACGATGTTTCGGAAGAAGAAGAATAGAACGGGACAATTCTCAGTCGTTCGCAGATGCTGAATCAAACTGGCTGCCATTACAGACTTGCCCGCGCCAGGCACGCCTTTGATCCAGATACTGCCATGATCGGGAGAATCATGCCATTTGCGATACTCTTCTGTTTCGCATATCCAGAGTCCAGTCCCTGGAGCCTGCGATAACAGATGACGACGATACTCTGAGCTTTCGGCGAGGTAGTCGGTAGGCTGGAGCCATTCTCTCAGCTCAGCAACGCTCTCTGGGCTCAGTGCAGTGTCTTGATGATCAACGAAATCGTATTCGTCTGCGATATTCGCAGATTTGGGCATTTTGACACGGAGTTCAATGGATCATGTCAATAGCAAAGTTACTGTGCATGGGATAGGTGACCGTGAATTTATAGCACGACGCATGTCAGACGGAGTAGGCAGCAATCGCACTTTCCTGGCCAGTGCCGCTAATGATTGGCCCAGATGGCATGTTTCAACCATCACGCTTTGTGCCTAAATTGAGCCATTCAACGACTTTAGAGGACGTCAAGGAATCATTCAACATTATGCTTTTATTATGCTAGTGCGATACGAGAGACTCATATCGATGTTTGGAAGAAATATAACGTGGCGTCGAGGAGTCGCGCGGCTTCGCATCGGGATGCGAATACGGCCATGGTGCGGTAGAGGAGTTCAATAAGAGTCGTAAGATCATTGTCGACGCGATCGGAGGTCCGAATCCACGACGTAAGCCTTGAGAGTTTTGGAGGATATTTGCGGATAATCACCGTAAAGTGCCTCTCTTTAAACTATTACGAGAATGACAATTCGATTCAGGTAAAATGTCAGCAATTGTGAGGTTAATCTAGAAGACCGGTCGAGCGAGATAAAAATGTAGGAGGCTGGCCCCGACCAGGTTGTCAGAATGATTCATTCAACTCTTCTTTTTCATTAGCTTTGTGCAAGGTTACACTCAGTTAAGAGGTACATCGATACTCTGCCAAAGAAAGTCTACAAAAATGTCCTTTCCTAACCTGGCAGCCTCATTCCGATAAAATTGGCTTACAAGTTGGACCTGAGCAAGTACGCACTAAACCACATTAGGCCACGGCCACGGTGAATCATTTAGTGTCAGTGAATGTTCCGGGCTTTCGGGCCCGCGGAGGATGAGAAAGAAACGGCAGAAAAGGCCTTATAAACCCAGGAAATCCCTTGAAAAAGAAGACATGATAGACTATGCAACTCACTGGCAAATACTTCTAAAATTTATTCAGCCTATCTCAGCACCATAGCCATTCATACTTACACCGCCAACCAGGATCATCTCCAACTAGTCACAATGGGCTACATGAAAACTACTTACGATTACTTCGACCTCAACGCGCCTTTCACGCCGCTCCCAAAATATGGCCATCTTTCCAAAAAGACTCCCGAGTATGAACAAGCAGAACCTTCCATCCGAAAGACATATGAATCCCTTTTTTCCCTTCCCGACTTTCCCAGTGTCCGCGCAGTCGCTGGTGATTCAGACGCAGTGATGCCCCCGGGTGGGCCTGATCGTTACAAAGATGTTGTCACATCACTGATCGACATTACTACTCGTGATGGCACCATGATTGAGCTCAAGGTGTACAAGTCGCCTAATGTTAAGGAAAACGCTGTTTTGATGTATCGAATACACGGTGGAGGTATGTGTATGGACCAAGCCGATCGACAAGCTTAGCTGACACTTGTAAGGCTGGTGTCTTGGCCGCCATGAAGTCGATGGCGTTGACAACGTATATGCTGCCACCAACACCAGCATTATTGTAGTTAGTGTCGATTACAGGACGTAAGTACTCCATCTCTAAAAGATATACAGAAGTTTTGCTAACGGATCCAGAGCCCCAGAGCATCCCTTCCCAACACCAATCAATGATTGTTACGACGGGCTCATCTGGGTGAGTTGGTAGCATAAACTCCGTTGAAGGCAGTGGGCTGACCCTCTTCAGTGTAAGAAGAACGCAAGCAGGTTAGGAATTGACCCAGAGAAAATCATAATCAGTGGAGGCTCTGCTGGCGGCCAACTCGTGAGCCTTCCCTTTCATTTTACCCATGGTAAACAATCTGACAACCATGCAGGCTGCTTCCCTCGCCCTAGATTGCGTCAGAGACGGTGTAACTGGAGTTATCGCCCAAGTGCTGCATTTTCCATCAACGTGTCATCCCAAATTCTTCCCCAAGGACAAATACGAATATGGCAGCTATGTCCAAAACTCCGACGACGCTGTCCTGAGCACTATAAATATGGAGACGGTCTTAGACGCTCATGTCCCTGACGCGAAGCCAGACTACAGACACTCGCCTCTCCTTGCGGAATCATTCAAGGGGCTCCCGCCAACACGTAAGCGGTTTCATAGATTTACATTATTAAACTAACAGGCCCTAGTGATTCAATGCGGTGGAACTGATGTCCTTCGAGATGATTCATTCGCCTACGCTGAATCTCTCAAGAAAGACGGTGTGAACGTGGAAATTTACTCCTATGCTGGGCTGCCGCATTGGTTCCCCGTCATCCTTCCCCAAACATCGCAAAGCGTTCAGTTTTATGAGAGATATAACAACTTCTTGGCCAAGCATACAGGAAAGTGAGAGTACCTTAGGCGGAAGTCAATTAGCACAACTGAGGTCTGGGGAGAAATCAAGGCTCATGGCCTTAAAAAGCCAAATAGACACCCGTTCATAGACATAGATAGATAGACATGCACATGTTGATGGAATAGATAAATATATATCTTCCAACAGCACCAATACTTGAGACATCGTCAGCCCTTCAGACGAACACTGGCCCTTCCACCCAATTATCAAGAAAGCTCATATCCAGACCCTCTAACGTCCATGAATCTGCCACTGGGATATCCTGTAGAGAAGAGGGCTTATCCAGATCTGTTCTCACACTTTCTCTTTCATGAGTTGATGAATAAGGCATAGGATCAACCAAATGTTCATCTCCTAAGGCGTCCCCTAGCCCGGGCCGATCCAATGCTATATTGCCCCAAGGAACTTCCATTGTGATAGGTGGCCTTTCCGTTCCATAGGGATCACGCCTCACAATCTTGATCATAGGAAAATTGGGCAGATGAATGTCGAGAGCTGTTCCATCGTCACTGGCTTTGACATGATGACCCAATTTCCCATTCTTCACCAACTCTTCGGCAAAAGAAACACTATAGCGTACCCCAGCTGTCACATTATCCTCAATCGCCAGAAGATAGTGCAGTAGAGTCATTAGCCTCTTCGAAATATCATCATTCGTTCTGCGCAAACCATCTTGTGCTATTTTCAGCACCTGTTCGATGAGCCCACGATCACTCAACCGCTGTTGTGTAAGGAAATGAAAGCCCTGCTCCTCAATCCTTTTGTGACGCTCATCACAAAGAATGTGAGCGATAGTTAAGGCTGTACACGACATGAAGGCGATTAAATCTGTTCCGCGGCAGTGATATCGTGACTGAGGAATTGAGCGGATGGAGACGAAACGCGACAGGATTTCTCGACTTGCTGTTACAGCCGTCAACTTGTTGTACTTCCACTCTTCTCCCCCTTCGACCTTCAATAGATAAGGCATATGGAGCTGTAGTAGAAGGTGATACTGCATGAAATGATCGTTGAAACGAAGAGTCTCGCGGATTTTATCGGCGAGCTCGTAGTGGGAAGACAAATTGGGCATGATCCACCACTGGGCTGGCATAGATGTACATGCATCTCGTAGCAACTTGTCAATCTCTCTGGTGAGTGATTGATCAAAAATGCCCGATGTTCTTCTACTCAATAAACGGGCGCAGGCGATTGAGCAGAGATGTTGCATCTTCCGATTTGCTGAGTAAGAGTCAAGCGCATCGAGGTTGCCAACTGGTTCATCAGGTGCGCTCTGGGGCAGACCTAGCATCAGGCAAAGATATCGATCGAGGTTGATCACACGCAACCATAAATCATCTGGTTCAACAGTGGCTCCTCTTACCGAAGGTGGAAAAATGCCCTTGTTGAGGCCCAAAACCTGGGCTATCATGACAGCACGACGCGCCGCAAGCCACGATCGGCGGAGATTGCCTGCGTAATTCTCATAAAGACCCTCGAGCATGATGCATTCTATGCCTTCGAGTGAGGAAATGAGGTCATCGTTGCAGGTGACATGATCATGCGCGACTTTGACAATCCGTGCCATTATGTTCTCGTAGCTTGTGCTGAGCTTTTCAAGGTGCTTTTCTGATGAAATCAGAGTGCCTTGGAGAAAGGTGGCGAGTACGAGCATTTTCCTAGCGACGAGGACAGGATGAGCTCCTCGTGGTGGCAAGCGAAGCAAGCTGGACGGAGATGGGAGCCTTGAGCCGCGTTCCTTTGGTGGTGCACATGTCATTGCTCTGATGATCTGCGAGGATTCTACTGGGACGCTCATGATTATTTTCATGTCTTCTGCGCTTGGCCAAGCAGATATCAGGGCTTGGTACACAGCATCGTAGGGTCCTGGATCATCGGGAATGTGAGACGGCGGTGATATATCGGACTGTGGTGTAAGTTCTATGGGGTGGATCTACCATTTGTGAGTATCATACTTTAAGTCATGCCTTCATACTTGACTTACTGAGAGGGAAGCATCGTCTGTTGATGCGGCATTGGTGTTAACGACTGCGGGTGACTTTGAACGTCTATGTCCATCTTCGCTTCGTCTTCTCGATACCGAGCTCGACGGCGAAACCAAACCATTTCGGGATCGCCTGTCGGATTGTGCATTCTTGAGAAGATGCTGTACCAAGGCTTCAACCTCCCCAAGCCGATCCACGATGTGCTTATTGCTTCCAACTTCAGGCGGCTTCTCAGATTCCTGACTCACACAGTCTGTACCGCGCCTCTTGCATGAGTCGCAAATACCGAGATCATCGGAGAAGATGCATTTCGCTTTCCGCCGCTTACACTCCCAGCAAGAGGCTGTTCCCTTGCGTAGCTTCCGACGTTTTGGGGCTGGCGCGGAATTGTCCGCCGAAGCGGAGTCAGGCAATGGGTACTGCTCGTCCAATGATATGCGTTCTCCCATGATTGATTTGTAGGATAGAATGAGGAGAATGGTAAATTATGGCGGCGTACGGAGTGGGAGACAAAAGCTGACAGTCGAAGGATTCTGCTGGGCATTCGTCCGCCGATTTCCCGGAGCTTTCGAGGTGGATTTGTCATGCTGTTGAGATGGTAAGACGGGGATAAGCATCGGGAATAAACATCATGGCGTTGGCAATGTCGGCGGACGAACGCAGCGACCCTACGAATTGGCGGAACTTCAGGGTACAAGAGAGTATATAAGAGACAGAACAGATAAGTCTTTAGTGATGGGTTCAAAGTGTGAGTATCATCTAGTGTCGATAAAGCGTACAGATTGGTTTCAATATGGTCAAAATCGCAATTGCAGGAGGAGCCGGCAGTAAGTCTTTATCCTCGATTTGCGATAAAGGTTATTGACCGAGTTCTAGATGTCGGCCAAGAGGTACTAGATGCTCTCATGGCCAGAAAAAAGCACGAGATAATCATTCTGTCTCGAAAGGTATGCGACGCTCCCTGGCCAACACTTCTCAACTGACATCTCAGGATGCGCCAGAAATAGAAATCGCCGCTGGAGTGAAGTGGTTCAAAACGAAATACGACAATGTTGAAGAACTTACCAAGATACTAGAGGGCGTACATACAGTTCTATCTTTTATGTCTGTCGCCCCTGGTGATACAGCTGCTGGGCCGCAGGAAAAGTTGATCGACGCGGCGGTCCGAGCGGGCGTGAAGCGCTTTGCGCCCAGTGAATGGGCTTCGTAGGTCAAACAACCTTGTGACTTGGTGTATAGCTAATAGCGGATAGGTCTAATCTGGATTATTTTCCCTGGTATGACTTCAAGAGGTCAGCGCGTGAGTACCTTGCAGAGCTCAACAAAAACAAAAAGGTACCGCACCCCATCTAGCACCACGTAAGATCCACTAAAGCTTATTTGTAGGTCATTGAATACACGCTCTTCCAGTTTGGACTCTTCACCAACTACATGACCTACCCACATAAGTCATCCAAGCACGTCAACCTTTTCGAAACGCCGGTCAACTTTCATGGCTGCCGAGCCCTGCTTGTTGACGATGGAGAAGCGGTAATAACACTCACAACTGCCCAAGACGCAGCAAAAGTAACTGCTCTAGCCGTTGAATACGAAGGAGAGTGGCCGGTTGTCAGTGGTGTGAAGGGTACAGACATTACGATGAATGAACTTGTTGCTCTTGGCGAGAAGATCCGAGGTAGGGATAACCCAAAGGAGAGCAATATTCGGACAAGATACTAATCAGGTTCCAAGGTCAAAAGTTCAAAGTCGAGTATTTGAAGAGCGGGGACCTCGAAGCCGGTATCGTCAAAGCTTCGTGGCTTCCACTCCCCGAACACCCATCAATTCCGGTTGAGATGCGCGAGAAGGTTGCTGCCGATATGATCAAGTGCTTCCTTCTGGGTATTAAGCATGGAGCTCTGCGTGTTTCTGAAGTGTGGAACAAACTTTTGCCAGACTATGAGTTTACTCAGCCTGAGGAGTTTCTCACCAAGGCATGGGCTGCCATTGATGGAGGAGCTAAGAGTGTCTTCACAGAAAATTAGAGATTCTAAGGAGTTTGGAGAGGGAACGTATGTAGTGGTGTTCAGAACTTCAAGATATATATACATGAGAAAATCGCAAGTAGAGTTGAGATGATATCGCCTGTGAGTCGATCCCGAAGCAAGGAAACTAAGTCCAGCGTTACGCAGCACCGTGCCTAACTATCCCACTCGAATCCAGTGACCTGACAGGCTCAATACTTAACAACCCCTATGACAGCTCTCACAGAGGCCATGAGGATAGTCCCATATGTGCATTGATATGTAAGCGCCATCAGAAACCACCAACACCACCTCCTCCCCCTCCAGCACCGCCAGCCATCGCTCCCATAAAGCCCCCATGATGATGTGTACTTCCTCGACCACCGGGGTTATGAAACACAAAAGACCGCTTCTGTGTCTTGTTTCTAGCACGGGCCTCTTTGCTTGCAGCGTTCATTTCATTGATTTCGTTCGCGCGGGTCTGATCTCTTTGTCGGGAATACGCACTGCTGCTGGAAACTGGGTACTCGCTGCTATAGTTCTTGTAGTAGCGCGGGGGTGGATCAACAGGATCTTGGAGCCTGGTAGAGAATGGCATACACATTGTTGTAGGTTCGTGCAAAATGCAGGACTCTTTGTTTAAACTCAATAACAGAGGCTGTTGCTATAATGATGCGATGTGGGCCAGAGTACTTGATGAGGCTTTGTGTTATTGATAGCCTGGAATAGATCTTCGTGGCAAGTTATTCAATAAAGTGGATACTGATTGGCCTTATATAAATCTTCTGATGTCTGGCAACAGCATACGATCAACGTTAGCAATGACGTGACTGTGGACGTCAATCCCTGCTTGAAGCCAAGGCTCAGCTCTAGGCATCACAATTGCTGAAACCGTCCAGGCTTCTGGACCAATGCTTGGCGATGAGCGATGGTGGTTGGTCAATTAAAAAGGCTATGCAGCCGTAAGTAATGTTAAATCATGCGACAGCAAGCACAATTACCGGTCATTACTTTTCTTGATCAAGTTCGCCTCTGATACTGTCAGCCTACATGCAGTTTTGATGATCTAGACTAGAAATGTGAGACGATGGAGCAATGATCGACCGGCCCCCAACAGATGCGAAACAGCCTTATCTAGAAGCCTAATAAACTTGTCTACTGTTATTACCACAATGGTTTGACGATGTAAACAAGTGGATAATTAGAAAGCCTACAATTTCCTCTGAAATGTACTTACAAAACCGAGTACCTTTGCACATAGATCAGACTCAACCAGGTTCCTCCAGCGAAGCTCTAACTTAGGCACTTCTAGATCCAGTGGCTACGAAGGGGAATGGTAGACTGTGAGAGCTTGTTTCTTAAGGCATTTGCGAATTGCATCGTCAACGCCTGCTCTGAGGCCAACGGTCTCAACTACGTTTAACAATCCTAGCTCAAAACTCCTATTTACAACTACGTATGAACAGATATTCTCATCAGCATCCTCCACCTCCCCCGTCACATCCACCGCCGCCTCCTCCTGCTCCATCACCTCCTCCACCACTATCTCCTCCGCCCCCACTATCACAGCCATAACTATCGCATCCTGCAGCGGCATCCCCGCCTCCGCCTTTGCCTCCAACATCACTACCGCCCTGATCCCAGTCTCCGATGAAGTGATGACCAGCGCCAAGAAGTCGAATGTACGCAGCTCCCTGGTTGACATTGTTGGCAGTATTGTAGTTGTTTGCGTAGTAATCATCCTCCTGATCTCGTTTTCGTCTAAAAAACGGTAGACACATTGTTGCAAAGGACGATGAAAGACTTCGCTCGTATATGTACTTGTATGAAAGATGTGTGAATTTTCTCGGTAGTGAGAATCCTGCTTGTATTGGTCTGATAGGATCGTTGTCCTGGAGGATGACTTTGCCACTTGCGTTTGAAAAGCAGCATAAGAATTTTAATGGGAGTCTCGAACTCTGAGCATTCGCACTTCAGGCCATTCTTAAATACCAACATTATTGTTTTGCCAAGAGTGTTTGGCGAGCCTACGAATCCATAACTTTCAATTCGAGGTCACAGCAGTCAGCTTATCCCACTGAACAGCAAGGCTCAGCCAGCCAAGCTGTAATCTCAGTTACTTGCCCAGAACATTTCTAGCGTAATAATGTACCTTGTGCATATGATTGGCCAGTCCTTGCATTGTATAGCCACCAGATGGCATGATTTACAGCTGGAAGACGGGGCATGCCCAAGTAAGGTATATGATAAAGTCTCGAACGCTTCTCAGATTGTTGTGCTGGTCTAATAAAATACAATACTGTACAAATCGAATGTCTCCTGCCAGGCCCGTATCTTACAAGATATCTACCATGAAACTCCAAAGCCCAATGTTACATTAGTTTATGAACATCCTCCTCCACCTCCACCATCTGCGCCGCCGCCTCCGCCGCCGCCATCACAATGACCTCCTCCATGGTGACCTCCTCCGCTATAATCGGCCCAAGCTCCCGCTAAATCACCGGCCGCTGAGGCGTAGTGACGGCCGTGTTTACGTGACTTCTTGCCGCCGTTGTAGTATCCGTAGTTGTTATAGCCATATTTTTTCGAGTAGCCCATGGCTGGTTGTGGATGGTAATCGTAGACCCGATCATGATTTTTCTTTCTGAAGAGTGGTATACACATGTTGGTGGTGTCTGTGGTGGGGTTTGTGTATTATGTCGATGTGTGACTTGGTTGCTAATGTTGCAGCAGACAAGAATGCAAGCTGGGAAATTGCAGTTATATTTTATAGAAGCAGGCAGTTTGTAGTAAAAGACTTCTTCTTTGTAGGATTGTTTGTGATGATGAGATAATTGATGGATCTCAACCAGGGAATGACACGCATTTATATACATGGAGTCTTTGGCTTGATACAGCCTAGAGTGACGTCTGTCGTCAGCTTCCTCGCTCCGAAACCAGGTCTGAGCCCCAGGCACCCCATTGAAGCATCCTTCGAGAACAATTCTACAGCGAATATGTCACTAGACAGCACTTGATTGATCAGTCTCGCTGCTGCACAGCCACCAGGGCATTTTGTTGTACAGCTGATCGCGTGAATCTTCCCCAATTGGTCTTAGATGGCCTCATCATTCCCTGCAGTTTCGCTGCTCCAATTTTCAGCCCTGTCCCCTAATGATGATCTTGTCCCAAAAGGGTATCAATGGAGCGATGCGATCGACCCGCCTCTCACGCTAGCGCTGCGCAGCAAGATCGTCGTCAGCTGCTGGTGCTGCGCCATGTTACAGCGACCCCGATTTTCAATACTTTCTGAAAGTCCTCATTGCACCGGACCTTTATGCTGTGAGAAGCCATTTGAATGAGTCAATCTGACTCTATTGACGGTCAGAAATTAGATGGCGATACTGAAATCAGAGTACCCTCTATTGAACCCCAGAAGTGGGATGGATAAATTGTCGAAGAACGCATCCCTGTGGTACAAGCCCAAGATCTAATAGTACATAATACACAAATTAAGTTAACGTTATAGCTTTCTCTTGCCCGTAATAAGCTCAAACTCCTTTTCCGAACTCTTCTCGAGCTCCCTTTTGACCCAAGCTCCTATACTTGAAGCAGCCTCCTGAGGGCTCTCCAAATGCAACTGAAAGAAGCCCTGCAATAAAGATGGTGTAAACGTATCGTCGGGAATCTCTTTCCCGAATTCCGCAGCAAGCTTCTTGATCTCATCCATATCAAGATGCGAGGTGCATCCGAGATCAGGAGAAAACATGCGAATGAACATCTCTTCTGCTGACTTTCGACTGATGTTGCCTAGGAGAACCTTCATATCGACTCGTCCTGGTCGTACCAATGCGCTGTCCAACTGTTCGGGATGATTGGTGGTCATGATAATGATGCGTCCTTCAACCGAACCAACGCCATCTAAGACATTCAAAAGCCCGGAAAGGGTGCAATTGGGCGCAGAACTTCCCTCTTGCCCGTTATCTGAGTTTGAACGATCCGTCCAAACTGCATCGATATCTTCGAGCAAGACGACACAACGTGGAGGAATTTCCTGAAACATCTGCTCCAGATCTGCATCCGTGGCCACACTGGGAATCTTGACTTCATAAAGATCCAGTCCAAATTCGCCAGCGATGGCAACTGACAGAGACGACTTTCCAGTTCCAGGGGGTCCGTAAAATAGATAACCTCGTCTATAAGGCATGCTCCGACTCTGATATCTCTTCTGCGTCTTGGGGTCAAGATAATTCCGAATATCGCCAAGAAGCTCTTGTTTCGTCTCATTATCGAAGTGAACGGTCTCTAAATGTCGAATCGGTTTCCGTGCCTTTGGTTTCCACGAAAGACCATAGCGATCTCGAGCGTAGATAATCACGAAAAACTGTGTTTGCCGATCTGAATACTCCCGACATGATTCGATAAAGGCCTTGATGGGCTCAGCCGACCAGCCAAAGCAGCTCACAGTGATCTCTTCCCCTCCGATACCATCATAACTAGGATCCGATAAAGAAGAGCTGAAGTCGTCGATTCTGCGAGTCACAAGAAACAGATTTCCGTCATAAAATAGCCATCTGGTGTTCCAATGAGGCGAATACTGAATAGAATGCTTTGTCTTTTTAAGAGCTGCTGCGCGATCTCCATTCTGTCCGATATCGGTGCGTCCATGAAATGAGCGATAGTGTCGTTCCCGGTTAGCCAGAAGCCATTTGACAACACTTCTGTTGAGAGGATCGCCACCGGGAATCGTCACTGATGCGAGAAAGAAACGTCGTATTGTACCATAGACTTCATGCCATATACGATGTAGAAATCTCCAAGCTGTAGGTACTGTTCCGGCAATGGCGATGAGCGATCCGATCTGTGTGATATCGAGTTCTGACCAGCGTGAGACAACATCTCTCATGATACCGATTCCCTGTGACATTGGATCGAGAAGATGCTGTCCAGTAGCAGCGCCAACGTGGAAGTGATGAGCCATATTCTCAATGCTCACCAAGTTGGCGACGTGCTCAATTGAAGCTCAGCGTTGAGTGCAATTGAGCGAACATTGATAGGTATAGTTGCAAGAGACAAAGAGTAAAGAAAATATAAGCAAGAAATAAAACAATTACATCGATTTAACGAGCGACAAGAAAGGCCAATTAAGAATACTGTACAGATTGATAGGGGATTCCGTCGTACTGTAACCCAGAAATTTGTCAAGATTTGGTAGCAATTGAAACTTTGCCCTGATTCCCCGCCTGCCATTCTTGGTAAGGCGCCCCTTTTTATGCGTCTTGATCCCTGTTGACGTTGCCGTGGGGTTCTGAACCTTGCTGTCATTTTCGTCCAATTCCCGCAAAGGCGACGTCCGTCCCTTCACTCAGTGTTTAGATTTCCAGCAGTCGCAGACTCTGAACCAACATTGAATCTTCTGACGTAACTCAGATAACGATACTACGCTTCTGAGTGAAATATACAGGATGATATGTGAGCCAGGCAGTATCTTGTGAAGTATAAACCAAATTTGATTGATGGGCAAAAGAACATGGCACCTAGATTTCGACAGTCCAACAGTCGTCCTATCATCAGCTCAAGGGATCTTGCTAATGATTACATCAACAAGAATAGTGGAATGTCCGCTTTGAGGCTTGATCTGAATATTATATCCAAGAGAGCGAGGAAAGTCAAAAGACATGTGAGGCTCATCAACCGGTTTGAAAAACGTCTCCTTACCCCATTCAGACCAAGCGACCTCATAATATGATGCAGTGCCGATACCAATGACCTGCACAGGACAATGGATGTTGACCCCAAACCAGGACCCATTGGGTGCATACCAGATAGAGTATCCGTCCATCTCGCCCTGTGCCCAGGCCCCATTGGTAAAGAACCACGCTAGGGATGTTGAACCAGTACGGAAATGTTTGTCTGGCATAGCCTTTACAGGCAAGATGAAGGATGGATGCACTTGAGCGTCGTAAAGAGTGAGAAGATCACCACCAGTTTGATTCCACCAGGTAAGGGTGTATGTGGCATCCACATCGCGAGAATCCTGAGGTTTCAGATCGGAAGACGGAGTATCTTTAGGCTTGGCTCTGTGCTGTTTCAATGCTTGGATGGCCGCTTCAAATAGTTTCGGATCTACCTCTACGGTTATCATGCGCTGGCAACAGTAAACCCGTTTGCTGATTCGAGCCATAAAGCGAAAAACAACTGTGCTACATCGGCATTTCCGGACTTAATGACTGGAAAAGCAGTACCAGAGAGCAGATGGTCTTTCAGAGCATCAGGACCTTCGGACATCGCTCGGACGAACAAGTCAACAGCTCGCTCAGAATCGAATTTGACAGAGCTATATGGTCCATCCAACCACCAATGTGATTCCCCTTCCAAGCGCAGTTCTAGGCGAGACATCCTTTGTAAGATACTTTGCTGGGAATGGTTGAGTGGTTTCTGTCGTAGGAAGCAATTCAATAACGACCAGAAACCCATCGCATTCTTATATCTAACACTCATGAACGCCAACTTTACTAGAGCAAAGTCTATAAGGCCACTGCCGGTCTATCCGCTCGCAAACGAACTAAAACTACCAATAATGGATACCAAGTCGGGAAGGCGGCAGTGAAAACTCCTACGATATGCAATATCATTCACTGAACTCACGTAAAAGCTTTAGTGACGCCGCCACCAACTCATATTAACTTCAGCCCTCAAGCCTAACCTCGTGGAAATCTCGTATTGCAACTTCTGGGATATTTTTTGCGATACTTCCCAGCTCAAACTTTCCATTCCATAGACAGTGGCTGTTACCATCGATTATAGTGGCCAGCCTTTTTATACAGCCTCACAGTTACGGCCAGCCACAGTAACCACTCAGAGCAACTTAACGACAGCATTCCAGAGGCAACCAGGTACTAATAGGGGTTTATTATTAGAATATTCCCCTCAGAATTCCCAGATAGTGCTATAGCTATCTATCAATGTCAATTCTTGCTTTGCCTGATGCACCAACAGGTTGCTGTTATTTAGGTTTTAATTTATCCACCGCGGATTCCACAACATACGGCTCTTCAATCACCCTCTTATCCTTACCAAATATCGCTCATTAACCCTTGTTCCCCTTGGCTTCATTCCAGAAGTCAATGAATTCCTCAACGCCTTTTTCAGCCATGCTCTCGATATGAGGTAGCTGCTCTTTAAGCCAGGCTTCTTCCTCGCCGGCCTGAGGCGCAGCCATTCCTCCCTCTCGAATCGTGACTAGCGGTACGAATTTCACCATAATTAACCTCGTCTTCTCATCTTCCTCGCTCCAAGTTGACTTCTCAGGTGGCGACGTGACTTGGAGCGTTTCGTACCAAGCTGCTTCGATCTTGGCACCAAGCTCATCGAAATCTGCTTTCGATCGGGCTGCAGACGTGCGAACGTTTCCAGAGATGCGGTTCGATGATAGAGGATGTGACTTTCCAGCGACGAAGTAAGTGTTGTCGGTGTTGTCTTCTGCGATGAAGCGTACATGGACCAGGAATGCTGGTGTATTGAAGGCTTCGCAGTGAAGCCTTGTAATTGCGGTTGCTAGGCTTTGACGTTGGTCCTGTGTGAAAGGACAAGAGTGGTGGACTTCATAGAAAGGCATGATTTGACAAGATGGTAGGACCTTATTAAGAGCTTATGAATGAGCAAGTTAAGTCCATGTGCGTGTGCAAGTACTTGAACTTACTGATGCCAACTTATACTGATCACAAAAGCGGGGTCGGCTTGCTGATCCACGGACGACGGCCAAAGGGCGATATATAGCCGTAGATATCAAAACATTCTTCAAAATCAGCCTTCGATTAATGCAAAATATAGGCAGAAGTTAATATAATTGCTGCACTGGCTGATGGTCACTGTACCAAGTGGCCATTCATATCCTGACACGCAGCTCACGGAATTACTGCCTCGGCTCTCGGACAAGATTCACCATGCATGTAATTACAACTAGTCATCATTCAAGTTCTAAATACCTTAATGAGATCATATCATGGACGATTGTGAGCCACGTTTCTCAATGGTATGGGAATTTTGCTTATGCAACAACGATTTGAATTATAATTGAGGCTAATGGCGCAGCTTCTACCACTTTTCAAGATAAGGTCGAATATCGATCTCCTGGGTAAATGCGGATCGGTGTTGAGTATGAAGGTTCCAGTAAGCCTCAGCAATCTACAGATATCATCAGTAACCTTCAAGATAAACGGGCTGATCAACTTACCGCATCAGGGCTAATCTTTCCATCCTCGGCACCGTCATTAGCAGCCCATTGCTTGGTACGAGGAATATCAATAACTCCATCAATAACTGCATGAGCTACATGGACACCTTTTGGACCAAATTCACGTGCGAGAGATTGATGCATCGCGCGTTGGCCCCATTTTCCAGCTGCGAAGGTGCTGAACTGCGCGGAACCCTTGATGGAAGCCGTGGCGCCAGTGAGGATTAGGGTTGGAGGGTAGTGAGAGTTTGGCACTGCTTCGAGAAGATGAGGGACAGTGGATTGTGCAAAATTGAAGAATGATCGGCTTGTGTCGTCAGTGGAGTGCATTTACGATTCGATAGGACAACATACATGGATCCATCAATGCTGGCATTGAGATCATTCTCTGTAAGCTCCAAGAAAGGCTTCTTAGCAAAACCACCACTTCCAACGTTGTAAATAGCGGCTGCGAGTTGACTATCCGGCAATTCCTTGTTGATAGTCTCAAAGGCCTTCTTCAAAGACGCAGCGTCTCCTACGTCGGCTGAGACTCCGATCGCCTTACCACCCGCCTTCTGAACATCTGCAAGAGTACTCTCGTAACTCTCAGGCCGACGAGCAAGCAATACGACTGGGTATTCCTGGGCGAATCGCAGGGCGACGGAACGACCTAGGTCAAGATCAGTAAGCAGGGGAGTCAAGAAGGAGGGGTAGGCTTACCAGTGCCAGGGCCAACGCCAGCGATGAGAGCGTAGAAGGACTTGGATGACATTACGGTAATTGGGTGATTGTTTACTTGGTGGATGAATTGATAAGAAAATATCTGATTGTGAAAAGATCGCGAGAATTAAATAGAAAGATCAGTGTTCAGAGTGGCATAATCGTTCTGCTTCGTTACGTCATCCGCTTATAAATATCGCTGCATCACCCCGGCATTTCGCGTCTTCAAATCAACGCCGACGGTGAACTTCGGACTACCGAAGCATTGGACTGTTGACAAATCCAAATGTTCAAAGCGCTTCTAATTCATTCATGCCTGGTATTCTACTACGCTATCGAAATTATTTGATATCGTTCTTAACCTTGTCTAACCATTTGCTCCCAAGCCCATTGAGAAGAGGAACGCGTACAAAATCCGCAATATCACGATACACAACCTCCCGCTTTTGCTTGCCAACTGTAACGCTCATCTTCTTTGTCTTTTTCATTCCTTTTTTTGCCTTACCAAATTTCGATCCAACTTCCCATATCATCCAATCCACGGCTACGCGCGTGATCTTGCTATGGTCTTCCCATTCAAAGACTCCAGCGTCGCTATCCGCATCGCCCTTCAGAACTCGCTCAAAGATTGAGTGCAGAAACTCCAAACCCTTCTCCTGATTTTCAGCGAGGCTCGACCAGGAGCCGCCTGTGATAAGAGTGACGGTTGTCAGGTTGCGGCCACGGCATATTATTCTAGCAATTTCTGCCTGTCTCTGTATTAGCAATGTTTCCTTTGTTCACGGATTTGTGGTACTTACGAGTTTGGTCGGCTCTGGAATGAACTCAAACACCTTCAACTCTGGAAGATTATCGACCAAAGTCAAGGTCGTGTCAGGCTCCAAACACGTTATTTTGTAGCCACTGGTCACGCCCCTGTAGGATATCTTCAGCTTGGTCAATTTTTCATGTTTGAGAATAGCTCTGACGAGTGAGTTCTTCAGACCGGGGTTGACTGTGATCTCCTGACGGTATTGGCCGTAGTCATGCAGCTCCAAACAGGTCAAAGTGTCGAAAGACGATATAAAGTCGATTCTGGCGTCGACATACGCTTCTTGCTCCTCTGGTACCACGAAAGAAGTTTCTTTTCCCATTTCAATTTCCAAACTGCGCAGCTTGATGTTGGCCTTCTGGTCATCTCGGGCCTTGGAAAAGATGTTGCTGAGATGTTCAAACAATATTTTGAGGTCATGTGAAAGATAGCCAAATTTCAATTCTTCTAGCGCAACAAAGTCTACAGCATTTGCCAGAGCGCTCAAAAAGTCTTCATCAATAGTGGCTCCAGTAAGAGAGAATGATTTGAGTGACGTAAGGCTCTTGCTTTTTGGCCAGTCATCCAAGAACACAGAACTGAATGATCCAGTCTCTATCTCTAGACTTCGAAGGGTCGATCGAGAGTTGAGAATCAAGGATAAGGGAGTGTTATCTTTTCGGAAGTTGGGGCTAGCAAAACCGAGCAGATGGATGGCCAAGTGCCTGAGATCTTTGATTTTGGCCAGCGATTTGGCCTCGCTTTCTCCCAAGTTACCGGCAGATACATTCAATGCCCTGAGATTCTTTTGGCTGGCTAGACTCTTGGAAATAGATCTGGAAATGTATCAGTCTGAGAAACCGTAGAAGAGGAAATGCATACTCTGTAATACTGGAAGTTTCGACGACCTCGAGATTGGTCATATTTTTCAGAGCTTCCTCGACATATCGATTCACAATGAACTTGTGGTTTTTTCCTGGGTCGCCGATAAAAAGATTGGCTTGACGGACGTACTCCCCAAAACGAGGCTTCTTTTGGGGATCAATTACGTTTGAAAAGCTTTCTTGTTGGCCTCGATACTGACCCTCCTTCCTGAGTTGTTTTTTCTGATTAATAGATAGGAATGGCTCAAGATTTCGGATGAGCTTGGGAATATGAGCGTGATATGATACAGAGACATTGATGCGCTCGTAGAGCCGAGGTGTAACCATGGCAAAGTAGCTCTTGCTGGTGCAGCTTAGTCTTCCGAGCGTTCTAGTATCCTCGATCTGATTGCGTTCAGCACTGCGCTATCTGAGTTATGGATGGCATTCATCTCACATGGTCCAAAATCAAGTTCAGAATCTCTCGTGGACAGGACCAAAGAAGATCGGTTGCTGTACTCGTTGGAGACTTCGCGGACAATTCTTTAGTCGTCTTGCCACTAGTTTCTGCCCTGACTTTCTTTGTAGCTGGCCTCCCATCATTACTGGCGATGTGTCTTTTCGTATTGCCGATGGCGAAGGGCTTTTCGTGCAATTCGCTCACTGCTCCTTTCCGCTTGGTTGTTTTGCTAGGCATGTCAGGTACGGAGTCATTCTGGGCGCTTATAGGCCCCCGGTCCTGCAAAGCGTGGAGTCTGGCGCTCCTTCGGGTGGACATGATCAAATACCGGCAAGAAGATACTCGGGTGCAATAGCGGGAGCCTCGAAGGCTATGGAGGAGATGAAAGGAGTATAAGCCCGAGCTAAGGTTACGCGACGTGTTACCGGATCCTGACTGATATCACGTGACAATGCTCACAGTTTACAGAAGTACTAAAGTCCTTGGGGAGTACAGCCTTCATGATGTGATCATACTCACAACAAAGGTTTTGGGACCTTGTTACTGTTTGAATAAGGCTTGGGGGATAAAAGGAGAGGCCCCATCACCGACTGAGAGAACACATTAATAAGAGCCTACTCGCCCCGCTTAGAGACAATTCAACTCAGCCCCTCAACACGCAAAACACAAACACAACAACGCTCGACTCTCATGTTTAGGACCTTGCAAAGATCCATCAAGGCCCCAGTCAAAAGCTTGATGGATCCAGGCCAAATACAGAGAATTTCCGGGAGGTATCGCATGCCACCGGAATGGCAAAAGCACTCTCAAACGTTAACTGCATGGCCATCTCCCGCCTCTATTGTAGACGAGAAGATCCTTCGACAAGCACGCGCGGAAGTCTCGGCTCTATCCAATGCGATTTCCCGCTTCGAGCCAGTCACGATGCTTGCCCGCCCGGAAGACGTTCATGAAGCGTCTGCAACAGTGTCTGATAACGTTACCGTGCGACCACTGGCCGTAAGTGAGCTTTGGATTCGCGATACAGGACCGGTCTTTGTTCATGGAACGCAAAATGGTTTTTCTACTGGGCTCAAGCTGAATTTCAATTACTGGGGGGCGAAGATACCATCCTCTGGTGATGAAGCGGTTGCTGCGAATATCGAGATTCCAGAAGCTTCTGTCATAGACCGTAAGGATAAAAAGGACGGAAGTGCGCCTCAGGGAAGTGTCATACCTATTATTGACGGCGGTTTCACTAGTGAAGGAGGAGCGATTGAGGTCGATGGAGATGGAACCCTTCTGGCGACTGAGAGCTCCATCGTCAATGAGAACCGTAATCCCAGGAAATCGAAGAAAGAGTTGGAAGAACTATTCGAGAAATACTTCGGAATCCACAAAGTGATCTGGCTTACTGGGGTCAAAGGCTACGATATCACCGACTTTCATATCGATGCCTTTGCGAGATTCATCAAAGAGGGCCAGGTTCTTCTCAGCACACCCTCTGAACGTGCTGATCCGCTGGTGATCCAAGCCTACAAAGAGGCCAAGGAAATCTTGAGAAACGCGACAGATCATCGAGGAAGACGATTGGAGGTCTTTGAAGTTGAAGAGCCTCATCCCAGTGACCTCCCTGGTGAGAATTGGGATCATTTCGATGTGACCGTTGCTTCATACGCCAACTACTACCTCCCCAACGGAGGCCTGATCATGCCACGCTTCGGAGTCGGAAAGCTTGATGATGATGCCTACGAATTGTTTCGCCAGCACTTTCCAGATCGGGAGGTTGTTCAGGTTGATCTGAACATCCTTCCCAAACTCGGCGGAGGAATTCATTGTGCTACACAGCAGGTTCCAATGGAGGGTTGGTTTGGAAGGGCCGTATGAAGGGGGGAATTGAAGTTCTAATGCTGCGACTTATGCACTTGGAGACAATGATAGTGTGGTAACAGCCATCCGAGGGCCAATGTCGGATAGTACTGACTTTTCTCGAATTAATACTCCACTCAAGTTCATCACTTAATTCTTTGCGAGATAGGCAAGAATGATATCGGAATTCGTAACAGCAGAGTTGAAGGGATACATCTATTTCGCATAAAAGGTGTCTCTTAATCGTTGATTCATACCATCGCTTTAGTAATACAAGAATTCATCTTCTAACATCGACGTCCAGCCTGTCTCAATTTCCGTTGCTGCACCTGGCATTGACGTCCAGGCGGTCTCAATTGTCGTTGCTGCGCCTAGCATCGTCGTCCTCCCATTCTTCTACCACCGCCCATCATGCCTCCCATGCCTCCACCCATGCGTCGTCCACCTCCCATTCCTCCCATCATACCGCCGCCTCCCATGCCTCCACCCATGCGACCTCCACCATGGTGATGGTGGTGAACTACCTTGACTGGGCGAGCACCCATCATTCCGCCGCCGCCGGAGCTATAGCGGGGTTGGCTTCTTCGGAAGGGGAGACACATTGTGATTGCAGTTGTGGTTTTGTGGTTTTGAAGTGATTTGAGTTGTTGAAGTTGTGATGGTTGAGTTGGTTGCTGACTTGCTGTGGAGATAACTCGTTATAGGTTCTGTTGAGTTTGGATGTGTTTAGAGTTTGTTGATAAGGTATGTGATAGAGGGTATCTGAAGAGTTTGAGTTGTATTGTTTATTGGTCTGTTATTGATGATGATAATGAATTGCGATGAAAGGAATCATGGGCAGTATATATAGTCTTCAATGCCACCTATGACATCGACATCTCGGCATTGCAACCCTCAGCCACTGGTGATGAACTTGGATTCATCGATAGTTTCCGTATGACGCCACTTCAACTCCAAGCCGTGGCCCGGAAGGCGCAGAGCGTTGGCAGATGTCATGGCTGGGCCCATATAGAGTTGTGGCTGCTCCGTTAGATGCAAACCTTGTCGTGCCAAGCCCCATGCTCGTCAGACCTAAGAAAATGGGGTCTCGGCAGCGTCGTCATCTCTTGCCAATAGCACCACTTCTCTTGACTAAACTAGTCCCTGATCTGTTGGTCCGCCAAGATCTCGGTTCAATCGGCGTGCGATATCTTGATGAAGTGATGTGATGGTTTTGGAAGGTTTCATTGATCAACTGCACGTCAGAGCATTTCAATTTAATTGACTTTGTTAAATAATCTCATTTTGTTCTTCATTATCCTGTTCTCAGAGGCCTGCAACATGTTGGAACTCTGCCTTGCTGCCGACATTGCTCTCGTTGAGCCCTAAATCGACTTGGCCAACATTAACCGCCACGGTTTCATAATTTGTCAAAACCTCAATTGACTCCTCAATATGAAATAGGGACTCGTTGGCAATGTTTTGTTAAAGAATTGACTCCAAATGACTTGTAGCGACTCCAAGCGCTGTCCCTCCTTCTGAATCCGCCAAGTAGCGATCCGCCCCAAAATCTAGAGGCGTTCGCACATCCACTGGTCCTCTTTTCTTAGAGATGATGAGACCAACGTGTGCAATAAAGTATATAGATATAGGTAAGCGACCTTTAAAATCGCAAGTATCGACACCTGATTGTGAATGCTGAAGGAAAGTTGACAAGAGGACAGGATTCGTCAGCCAATGGAAGTTGCAATGTGGAAACGTCTTGGCCTAGACAGTTCTTGCTATCCCAGTTCATTTTGAGATCGCAAATCTCTATTTCCCGAAGCGCGGGAATCAACTCGTAGTTTGGATCGTGGAGGATGGTATCACCGAGGTTGTCGGACGTATTTATATCGAAGCCACAGGCTTCGATTAGCAACTTACCCTTTCAAGTGAATCTGCTCTTGCCGGTAGAGCATGTATGGCAGCCCTGAAAGAGCCAATTTCAGAAGGAAAAGTTGCACTCTAATGTGTTACTATCAAAGCTACTTGTAATGGTGTGAGTCCATCACAGGTCTGCCAGCCGATATTGTGATTATCCTTCTCGATAAGGTCTAGTATTTAGTATTATAGCTCAATGTTTTCTCATCGGATGCTTGACAATACCACGGGGGGCTGTAGTGGCCTATAAACTCCGCTCCGTACTTTGCAGTCCGCAATCCTCATAGTCCGCAGTCCGCACAGTCCGCAGTCCGCACAGTCCGCAGTCTACATGACTACTTGCTGGCCATAAGATTAAACTTTCGGTTGCTAACACGCATTTTTAGGATACGATAGTCCGCAGTCCGCAGTCTGCAGCTACGGGCACTTGGGTTACTTTTCCGGTATTTAAGCTGACCTCGCCTCAAATTGCTCAATTTCTAAGGCAACCTCATATCTATCAACTGTGGCAACATTGGCACATTTGCTGTATCATATCAAGAAATATTCTCAGTGTAAAGCTCTGAGTCTGTCAGCGAGATGAAGGTCGCGATCCTCGGTGCGACTGGTGAGACGGGCGCTTCAATTTTGAACGGCCTCCTCAACTCAACGGAGCCGCGATATGTACGTCAGGTTTCTTTCTTGGCGTAAGAATCTTATTGACTTGCCCGATTCTTAGGAGATTACTGCGCTAGTCCGGCCATCCTCACTAAAGAGACCTGAGGTACTTGCTCTCCATGAGAAGGGCATTAAGGTGGTGCCTGCGGATCTAAGTGCCCCTGAGGATGAACTCTCGAGACACCTCCATGGTATAGATACCGTCATTTCAGCCATCAGTGCTACCGGCCTCCTTATGCAAATCCCGCTCATCAATGCAGCTCAAGCCGCTGGTGTCAAGCGCTTCTTGCCTTGCTGTTTCGCCACGGTGATGCCCCCAGAAGGTATTCTAAAGTTGAGGGATACTGTATGTCCATCCGAGTATGACATGGCTACTACCGCTAACAGGTGATAAAGAAAGAACATGTGATTAATCACATCAAGAAAGTCAAACTTCCTTATACTATTATCGATATCGGCTACTGGTATCAGCTGATGTTGCCTCGCCTTCCCTCTGGCCGTATCGACTATGCCCTACCACTCACTTTAGGGTGCATTGCAGGGGACGGAAATACCCCCTGTGCCTTTACAGATCTGCAGGATATTGGAAGATGGGTCGCTCGCATTATCGCTGATCCTCGGACCCTGAATAAGATGGTCTTCGCCTACAACGCGGTTCTCACAATGAACCAAGTATACGATATGTTGGAAGAGGCCAGTGGCGAAAAGATTGACCGCAACTACGTAAGTCTGTTATATGAAGGGAGGAGCCAAAAAGATGTACTGTACTAATCAGATTTGGGCCTGTAGGTCTTGGAGGCCACGATCAAGGCCGGAGTGGTCAGAGCAGAGGCCGATACGCCGCCTGCAGACTCGTTCAACTACTTCGAGGTAGTGAAGTACCAATACTTCAACTCACTCGGACTTCGTGGGGATAATACCCCGGAATACGCGCGTTACTTAGGATATGTAGATGCGACGGAACTCTTTCCCGACATGAAAGTGACAACCCCGGAAGCCTATTGTCAGGAAATTTTAAGTGGCAAGGCTACGACCATCTATCAGAGATTGATGTCGGCCGCTCAGTAAGGCGAGAGGTGGCGAGCATACATGACATTCAACCTCCTGTCACGTTCCGGAAAGCCTCTACTCAGCTCAAGCTTAGCCTAATTTCCTCTGTTATTGAATAAATATTTTTTTCTTTCTGATAGCAAAGCACTGACAGCGGAAGTCATCGCCTCTTGAATCTTCTTCTTTCCCCCCTACATGGCCTCTTAAAAGCGAGTGGCTAACAGGTATGGACTGCGCTGTAGTAAATTCCAAACTCTCAATCTCAGAACAGCCGTGCCATGAATCCCGTCAATAACATGTTGAAGGCTAAGGATTGCACTATGCCATACTTTCAGCTCCTCGGGTGCATCGTCAGATTTGTCGTAACCTTTTGCAGAGTTGGTAGATCTTGATACTCTCGTCGACAAACTGGCCGGCTGCGGCGACGAGGCCATCGACTTCGGCGGTCATGTTGCAGGAACTGACGCAAAGCATAATGGATCTCATATATGAGGGAGTTTCGTATCCCTTGTAATGAAAATGAAACAATATATTTCATATCTTGATGATATGACCATGTCGATGAGGGGTAACAAGCCTCACATTCTGGTGGCTGATTTTATCATGTAGCGATTGTTGCACTCATGATTTTTCGCCAATTATATCCGTCACGTTGCCTTCGTCAGCTCTGCGTAAGAGCTCAGGTAGGAATATGTTACACCCGGGATGCCAGGTCCTTCTCCAGAAAGAACGAAGAGCGATATTGTGCAAATATTGGCAGCGTGGCCATCCTCCTTGTGACCTCCGTAAACTGGCGGAGTGGATGGACTCAATAAGTGCCACTGCCCAATCCAAAGAGTGCCAAGTCTCCTGAGGTGTCACGGCATTCAGCTGAGTACATAAATTTAGCAAAAGTCTTGCCATTCTCTTCTTTTAACGCCTTGGTATCCGTATTGACACGGGCTGCAAGACATATAAATATACGTCGGTCAGCTCGACAACCGTAGGGAATGGGAGCCAGCTTCAACACTCCACCAAGCCTCCAAAATGTCTACTCACATAACTGTTCTTCCTGCCTCAACAAAAGTTGGAAAAGAGGCTATCCGCTTACTCTTGGCCTCTCCGGCCAATCCTACTATCCGTGGCATCTATCGTGACACTTCCAAGGCACCAGATGAATACACCAGCCACCCAAACTTCAATGCAGTCAAGGGCGGTGTTGCGTCTGAGGAAGGTCTCGATTTCAGCAACTCTGATGCCGTTCTCTATGTCCCGCCGCCGACTTATGAGATCATCGACCAAAGCGACTGGGCCAAGCAAACAGCAAACAATGTCAAAGGTGCCTTGAAGAAATCAGGCGTTAAGAGACTTGTTGTTCTGTCTGGTTTGGGGTCTCATAATGACCATGGTATCGTAAGTAATAGTAGCCAAGTCGCCATCCATGTCGATGCTGACGATTTAGGGCTTTGTGCGCTTGAATCATCACACCGACAAGATTCTCAAAGACTCTGTGCCTGAAGTGACTATCTTACAGTCAACTCATTTTCAGGAAGAGTTTGAGTACATGTTTCAAATGCCTTTGGGAGATCCGCCAACAATCTCATCATGGATCGCACCAAGGGATTTCAAGATCCCAATCGTCAGTCTCAGAGACGTTGGCGAAGTCTGTGCGAATAACTTGCTCAGCAAGCTCGAAAGTCCCGGTCCGCAAGTCCTCAAGATCTTTGGTCCTCGTGCCTACAGTTCAATCGATCTGAGAGACATGTTTGAGGAAATCACTGACAACAAGGTTGAGCTCGGACTTGCGCAAGGTGAGGATTTGAAGGCTTTCTTCAGACAGATCCTTCCTGAGCATTGCATTCCCGACTTTATGGAAATGATAGAATCGTCACTACCGGGTGGATTGATCGCGAAGGAGTATGAGGTTGATGAGAATACCGTGACTGGGAAGGTTGAGATGTTGGAAGTTTTCCGTGAACTAGGTGACAAGTATGGCTGTTCCAAGTAAAGAAGACACAGCCTGAACATTGACAGCTCCAATAATTCTAATTTTAAACACGGATGTCTGCCAAGAGGAGACGTACGCTACAGCAGCCTAGGTCTGGTATGCTCGCCTGCGTTACCTGTTCGACGCGGATCATTCTTATAAGGCTTTGTGATAGTTTTATTCTGCTTTTCCGCACAACTACTTATTTATGTAAAACGAAACATATATAAAGCGACGTCGTTTAACTGTTACATGAAATTTCAGAAGGTTTCATCATCATGCGAGCCAATAAGCTCTGAATAGGCGCAACAGCCTGACCATCTGCTGCCAGCACTGAGCAATGCCTCAATCGTCTGGTGACATTCTGATGCATCTAGTATAGACTATCGTAACAGTATTTAGTGTATATGTTACTAGATTGAGTGGCAATTGGCTTCATATTACGTGCGTGTATCTATCGGTTGATGCCGATAAACTTTGTGTGAATCACGCGAGAGTTTATCCACATCACCACAGTGACAAGGCGGGGGTTTATGCTACTGTATCAATTAACAGGCAACAGCAGATAAGGTACTGTAAGAGTGATAATCGGCTCAAAAATGCCGTGATTCATCAATCTACAAAGGTTCCTTGCTATGGATATAAATGGAGATCCTTGCTCCAAATGCAACGGAACTTATGTTTTTCAGTGTGACCATGATGCTCTTATTAATCTGAAACAGGAAGGTGGCTGGCCGTATCGCAAAACTATATGAGAAGCTTAAAGCCCCCCCGCGATTTATATCTTGACCAAAACAACAACATATTTCTATCACCAGAAAATATGTGGTTTGCTGGCTGCGCTTCCGCTGCCCTCTTGGCGCTCACCGCCAGAGGAAGCGCGTACAGTATCCCCGCTCTGTCCGCTCGAGCCTCCTCAGACTCTGGATCCATAAAAGTTCACAATATCTCGGTTCCCGTCGATCATTTCCACAATGAGACCAAGTATGAACCTCACTCGGATAAGAAGTTTCCCTTGAGATATTGGTTCGATGCGCAGCATTATCGCGAGGGCGGACCGGTCATTATTCTCGCCTCTGGTGAGACTTCAGGCGAGGACAGAATTCCATTCCTCGAACATGGTATCCTGAAGATGCTGGCCAATGCGACTGGTGGTGTTGGAGTCATTCTCGAGCATCGTTACTATGGCACCAGTTTTCCTGTTCCGGATCTCAAGACAAAGAACCTGCGTTTCTTGTCCACTGAGCAGGCTCTCGCTGATACAGCTTACTTTGCCGAGCATGTCAAGTTTCCAGGTCTGGAGAAGCACAATTTGACCGCTTCCAACACGCCTTACATCATCTACGGTGGATCCTACGCTGGTGCCTTTGCTGCTTTCGCCAGAAAGATTTACCCTGAGGTCTTTTGGGGTGGCATCTCCTCTTCTGGTGTCACCGAGGCTATCATCGACTACTGGGAGTACTTTGAGGCTGCACGCCTTTTCGCACCCGGCGACTGTGCCAAGGTCACACAAAAGCTCACTCAAGTCGTCGACAAGATCCTCACTGGCAGCGACAAGGAGGAGAAGAAACAGCTCAAGATTGCGTTTGGTCTCCTTGGTCTACGCGACGACGACTTTGCATCCACCATTTCCCGCGGTATCCAAGGGCTGCAAGGCAACAACTGGGACCCTGCACAGGACTCACCTGATTTCGGGATCTACTGTGGCAGTGTTTCTTCCGATGCTCTTCTCTACGCCAGCACTAGGCCTCTCACACCTTATGTCAAGAAGTGGCTCTCAGCTCATGCAAACAAGAACGACGTCAAGTATCTGACAAACCGTTTCCTCAACTACATCGGTTATATGAGGTCAAACGTTGAGTCTGATAAACAGGGAGGCTGTCAAGGCCAGACAGTGAATGAATGCTACTCTATTCGCGAAATGTATAGCAGCACTAGCCTTAACCCAGCATCCAGTGGACGTCAGTGGACCTATCAGACATGCACACAATGGGGATACTGGCAGACTGGCTCTGGAGTGCCTAAGAACCAGCTCCCTCTGGTCTCCCGCCTCGTCGATGTCGAGTTCAGCACCATTCCCTGCCGCCAGGAATTCAACATCACAGCTGAACCTGACGTCGAATCCATCAACAAGCTCGGTGGCTGGAACTTTAGCTACCCACGCGTGGCCTTCATCGACGGTGAATACGATCCTTGGAGAGCCGCTACACCTCACAAGATTGGTCTTGCTCCCAGGAAGTCGACGGCCAGTGAACCATTCATCCTTATCCCGTACGGTGTTCACCATTGGGATGAGAATGGTCTGGACCCTAACGCCACTGAGATCGGACTCCCTCCTCCTGCAGTTGCCAAAGCTCAGCAGGATATTGTTGATTTCACCAAGGCTTGGTTGGAGGAGTACGAGAAGGAGAAGGGGAAGCGTGCGAATGACCTTTAAGATGCGATACCTTGATATTCTCTGTACATAGTTAAAATCAGGCTTATGATTATGACTTCAAGTTAGTCCTAGCAATAGAGACCTATGTTACACCTATCTGGTTCAGGCGTCAGTCTTGTCAATACTCTTGAAGAGGAGCTTCTATGAAACACTGTGAACGGGTAGGAATCTCTCATAATTCTAACTTTCCTAGAATCTTTTGTATGACCAGTTGCTAAGTTATGGGTCTGGATAAGGCTATCAGCCCCAGAGAGGATGTCTACAAGGTTCAACAAGCATCGGCCTTACATTCTTATATGCTAAGCGGTATTGGGGACACTACGCGAGGTATATCTATGTGGACAGTGGCTTTCTTCATTCACATAACCGCTAACATCTCTAGAGCCAAGCGACTGTTGAGAGGACGGATGTTCTTGTATGGGTTCAAAGTATGCAGCATTATAAGAGCTAGGCATTTGAGGTTCCGATCGGAGAAGCACTCAAGCATGTCACACGAGTATCGGACAGGGTAAGATAAATGATAATCAAGGTAATTGAATTATATCTTGGACTCGAGGTCACATATATACAGCAGAATACTCAAATATTCATCCCATTCAGGATAGACAGGCTTTTGTCCTTGTAAAAGCCTTTCATACACAACCACGCTTAGTGGTCTGCTTAGTTCATGAGGTCACGAGCGTGACGGCGGGCCTTCATACCGCGCTTGGCCTTGCAGCCAGTCTTGGCGGGCTTGCTAGCAACCGGAGCCTCAGTCTGGACAGGAGTGGCAGGCTCTTGAGCAGCAGGGGAAGTCTCGACAGGGGCAGCGGGCTCCTCAGCGGCAGCGGAAGTGGCAACAGGAGCGGCAGCAGAGGTACCAGCGGCGGGAGCCTCAGTCTGGGCGGGAGTCTCAGGGGCGGCAGAGCCGGAGTCGGAACCAGAGTCGGAACCGGAGCCAGAGCCAGTGGTGGGGGTACCCTTGGCCTTCTCAGCGAGCTTGCCCTGGGTAACCTTGGGGGACTTGATGGTCATGGCAGGGCCGGGGATGGGGTAGCTGGTAGGGCTGTTGTAGAGATCGAAGACGATGCCCTTCTCGGTGGACTTGTACAGCTCAGTTCCGAGGGTACCCTCAGGGAGCTCAGAGCCGGAACCAGAGATCTCGAGGTTGAAGCACTGGGGGTAGTTCTGAGCACCGTTCTCCTGACCAGCGGCGTGGAGAGCAATGATCTCGTGACGGAGAACGTAAGAACCGGGCTTGATGTTCTCGGGGATCTCGATGAGCCAGCCGTTGTCGTTGGCAATCAGCTCGTCAGAGGCATAAGTACCGGGGTTACCAGACTTGACAAGACCAGCCTCGTCGATCTTGAAGAACTTGAGGGTTTCCTTGTCGACGGACTCACAGCCGGCAGAGCCGCAAGAAGCCAACATGTCAATGACTGGTCCCTTGTGGCTCTCGGGCCAGGTATCCCACTTGATATAGATCTGCTCACCGGCCTTTACCTTGGCGTGGCCCTTAGCATTCTTAGCATCGCGGTGGCAGATGATGTCGCCGGTGCCGAAGGCATCAGGGGCGACGAAACCGTTATCGGAAGCGGTGGTGGACCAGGCGATGAGGGTCTTGGGGGTCTGGTCGTAGGGAGCAGAGCTAGCATCGTAGCCGTCGTAGACGGTGCCAGCAACGTTGATGGAGGAAACGTGACCGTGGGCAGCAACGCCCATGGCACCGGCAACGGCGGCGAGAAGAGTCTTGGAGGTGAAAGAAGGCATCTTGAAAAAAGTGGGTTGTGTTTGTAAAGAGTGATGATATCCGACTGGCGGTTGAAGTAAATGAATGAATGAATGAAACGACTTCTGTCAAAGAAGCGTAAAAGAATGTGCAAGGAGCAAAAAGTGAATGGAATGAACTGCTGAATGAGCCTGAGTGAAGAAAGAGAGTATCTTCGAGAGGGGAAGATGGCGGTTTATATGAATGTTTGGAGACCTGAGCTGGCGGGTAAAGAGCCTCATGGCTAAACGGATCAGTTTCCCGCCTTGGATAGATTGATGCAGGGGTGTCATGATCGGGTCGATATGCCATCAGGGATGAGGGTGGTGAAGGGTTGCATGGTGTTGGCCAAGGCGGTTTCAGCCCCTGTGGTTTTATGGGTATGATTGATCGAGATATGAGCAGATCATGCAAGTATTACAGTGATATTCATAGTATTTTAAGTTTACAGTCGCATTTTACCGACGGTATAGTCGAGGCTAGCATCTGGATCTTCACGATAGTCTGCAGATGGCCAAAGTAAGATTGATTATTGCCAAGAAATGGCAAAACGGTCATTCAGTTGAATACTGCCAACACCGTCCCAAGCGAAGTGACATGCCCGTCTTGCAAGCGAGCAGTCCATCTCGGCCGAAGAACCGCTGTACCTGAAACTGGGGCAGAAGACAAGATGGAAAAACACAAGCGTTCTTTTGTTCCTGCTTTAGCGCCGCAGGGGTCATGGCAACGGTGTTTATTTTTCCGCAAGTCCCCATCTCAAGACCCTTGCAGGCCCAAGCTTTGGGTCAGTCGTCCTGAGACGATGGAGTTGCTTCTGCCCTTCTCCTGATGTCGCTTCCAAGATGTCCCCTCAAGTCCAGACGAATGAAGATGGATCTGTTAACCGCTGAATAGATTAAATCAACGGATGAATTAACCGAAGGAGACGAGAGGGCCTAGATTCTCAGGTGGCGTCAATCAATACGGTCTTGACAGGTCGCCTTGTGCGTTGTAAGCCGTCCTCTTGGGCCGATTGAACCGATCGTGGTGGTATTCGGTGGTGAAACCGTAAGAGCTTCACGATAACCCTTCAAAACACCAAACAGTCGGTCCACTCTGCAGTGATAAACTTTTAGGGAAACAGTATAGTTTTATGCTTTTCCTGCATCACATAATCTTCAACTACCGACTCTCAACAACTGCCATAGAATCGCGTGACTCCCATGAGATAGCGGTGTAAAATGGTACCATGTGAACCATTTTCTCAACAAAGTCGTAGTGTAGTATCTCGGATTAGTATTCGCATTCTCTCTTTTTCGCTAACTAACTTTTTTTTTTTCGCCCATCTAAAAGTCCAAGCTTTCCCATTTTTCCCGTGTAATCTCCCTAAGCCCCCTTTCAACAGCTTGGCGACGTTTAATTAAAATTTCCCACTTCCATGCATCAAAAACCACGAAGACAGGAAAAATAGGAATAAAACCAAACAAGTTTCCATGAGTTCGTCTCTGATAAGGGAAAAGATATGCTTACGACGGCGCAACTTGAGACACAGGGGCTGAATGTGCAGGGGTCCAGCGGGATTCTGAAACCTGACAACCTTGGCGAGGAGGAACGAGAGCAGAGAGGAGATGACAGTGGCAATGAGGGGCGCCTGAAGCCGAGTCTGCAGTTTACGGGGCATCAGCTCTTCTATGTCTTTGGGCTTGATGGAATAGGCGCGATGGCTTTATCTGGGGGTGTGAATTTCGCATTGGCTTATGGTGAGTTTACAGCTGAAGTCTGAGATGAAAAGCTAATGAGAATGGATAGTCATGTACACCACGCAAGACACCATCAAGAACCCAATTCGGTTGTTTCAACTGCCAAATACACTATCAGGCGATGCAGCTGTAACTATTATCGTCCAATGCATTCTCACGTGGTTCGTTGAGATGGGACTCGTCAGTTACGACCTTTCGAAACGCTCTGTTCAGCCGATTGGCTTTGTTCCTGAGCCCTCGCATCAGTGGCTTCGATGGCTGTTTTTTCTTCCACCGGTATCTGATCTAAGCGACTCCGAAGTTGAAGAGAAGGAGACTCAGAGAAAATCCACAGTCCCTCCTGTACTTACGACAATCGTGCAAGGGGCACTAAGAGGTTTTATACTCGCTGTCGTGGGTTTCTTACTCCTCTGGCCACTGAGCGTGGGGGTTTTGACCACAGTTGGAGAACGCGATGGCGGGGATTGGAGATATAAAGACCGCTGGACGCCACAGGCTTTCAAGGCGATTCTTGGCGGTGTTCTAGGTTTACTTACGACCCCTTTGATGGCTTTGTTCTGGCTGATCAAGGCGGGTTGGGAGGGTAATGATGAAAGAGCTGAGGCGAGAGACGCAAGACGGAGTCAATACGCTGAGGCTGAGAGGATGAATGCAAGGAGTTCAAGGCAGAGCCGATATATGGCGGAGGTATAGACATGCATTCGTGATAAACGTGGCGACGATTGCTTGATGGATTAATGACACGGAATTATAATACACCACTAATTATGCCGGAGCAGGGTCAGGATAGAAATACGGGCATCGAGGGTTGAGATGATATGCCGAACCATCACGAAAAAATGATAGTAAACATTATATAGACTAGGTAAAGAAAGTAATGATATCGTATAAATTAGAGTGGATGTTACCCCAGCGGCGAGCGTCCAGTGCTTAATTGCCGTATTCTAGAAGTCTAGGGTGGCTTCGATGGAATTATACCGTGGAATTACTAATATCGAGAGGAACGTCTCATAAATCTCACATACCGCTTCTCAATAAATCTGATAATGGTGCCGGTTGATGCAACAATTTTTGTAGTCGTAGTTTGATGTCGAATTCGTGATGTTGAGAGTGAGTGCTAATCGATCCATCTTGCTCAGCGTGTTACTGGCCCTGTGAAGTTGGCTTCTGACGAAACCTGTCAACGCTGTGATCCCCGTACAAGCAGTAAGTCCCGAAATGGCGCGGCCATATAGATAGGCTAATGTATGGACGGACAATTACCACGAAAGGACCGAACATAAAATATTCCATAATAACGGCGTTAACGTTGAAGCTGGAGGCGTCGGGCCAGCCCGGTGGTTGGTGATGTCTTGCCCCAGAGGACCCTGTGGCGTCCCCTAAATCCAGGGCTGTCAGCCTCCCATTGAGATCATCAAGATGGAAGGGAGCGCATTACATCCTCTATCTTCTGGTGTTGGCAGTCGATGTCGCTCAATTCAGCATTTAATTGATGAATATCATTTAATCATAATTTGAACCTATGACTAACGGATCACATTCGCTTAGGATTAACAAACACCATAATCTCCTCCCAGGCCTTGACCAAAGACGTCCCCATCGCCTCAATCATGGTCCATATCCGACGTGGAATATAATGGATCAACCAGAGGAGACCCGCGCCGATAAACCAGATACAGGAACCTAAAGTGCCAAAGATTGCTTTGAGCACATCGTAACTCGTTCTGCCAAAGGCCACGAAGAATGCGCCAATTGCTTTGGGCGCGTCCACGAAGATGGCGCGTACGAGATGGCAGAAGCCATTCCATACATCCCGAAGAGTGATCCCGCGCAAGAAAGTCACTACGGCCATGACTGCTGTGTGTAGAAGGGAGAACATCTTAACGAAAATGTTGAAGATGGCTTCGCCGATGCCCTTCAATCCGCTTCCGATCCATCTTAGAACAAACATTACAGCGCCGGGTATGCCTGTCAGGATCTTCCACAATACTTTGAAAATCGCCTTGACCAAGCTCTTCAAAAGCGACGGAAGCTCCTTGATGCCCTTCCAAACCTCCTTTGCAGCGCGTTTGAGGGTACTAGGTATCTCGAGTATCGCGTCCTTGACTTTGCCGGGCAACTCTTTGAAAAAGGTCTTTACCCGATGACGACGTTTCCAAACAGCGCGACATATCTCCTTCGGCGCATCCCAGACCAAAAGCTTGGGGAGATCCCAAATGAGTATCCTGACGAACTTGACGATTCTATCGATAGCTCGTCGCACCCGGTCCATTTGCTTTTTATGTACAACCGCCCATCGCTTCCACGCGCCGCCGCGAATGGACGGGAGATAATGAACGATTTCGCGATGGCGGTTGGCAGCGGCGAGACGAAGAGCGATCGCCCCGTCAGGCGCAATGAGGTCGTGCTTCGCACCGTAGTCTTCGATCAAGACTTTGACTAATGCGAGGTGCCCGCGCTCAGCAGCGACCATCAACGGCGTACGCTCAGGCAAGTCTGCAGCCTTGACGGTGCTACTGCCATCCCGTGCGCGACCGTACTCATTGACGCTAGCACCAAGAGCAACGAGGCGGCTCACCATGGGAACCTTGCCCGCGCGCACAGCAGCATTCAACGGTGTTTCGCCCCATCGACTTGTAGTATCGGGCGACACCCATCCGCGGGCTATAAAATCGGCGACAATATCGTCGTGACCGTCCTCGATGGCGGAGAAGAAGGCATTAACGATGTCGGATTCGACTCGGTATGCTTCATCGTAAGTTGCCCAATCTACATCGGCGGTAAGGCGTTGGAGGTTAGTCGGGCGGCCGGCGGGGGAGTGTAGGATAGGAAATTCGACGCTCCCGGCGGCTTCGATTCTGGTTAGAAGGTCGTCATTGTCGACAGCTGAGTACGTCGGAAGAGGGTTGCGAAGGCTTTCATTTAGCGCAGCAGGATCTGGTAGGACAACCCGAGGCATCGTAAAGTGTTGAGTGATGGTCGACTCAACCTAAGATGGGAGGAGGGGTAGGTATTTGAAGTCATCTCAGGCTTTTGTGGCTGTCTTCAAGGCGGAATCAGCTGCTCTTTGTTGGCATTCATGGCATTGGGCTGTGTGAAGTCGTCCCGAGGTTCTGGAAATTGGGGGCGTTTTCAGCTGCTGGTCTCTGCCACCGCCAACGGTCCTGCAGGGTTAGTGGATGATGTTTAGCGTAGGCTGCCTGTAGGGCTGAGCTGTTTGGTGGGCACAGCCACGGAGTTTGGCTGGGCTGAAAGAATGGAACTGTCAAATATCTCTATTTATTGGAACGTAGAAAATTATGCCTTTTGTTTGGCTTCTTCCAGTTCATCGGCTGGGTGGCACAGCTATTCGGGCTCAGCCAATGTTTTAAGACAATCTCAGCATGGTGGTATGGCCGTGAATGTGGAGGGGTTATTTAAGTTACAGTGCAATCGCTACTCATGGTGATTAACCGGATGATAAATCAGGATCTGAAGTGAAAAGTTGGCATAGCATGACAGCATAAATTCTCTTTAAAGTTCATACAAAAGTGTTATGAGCACCCAGATCTTATATATGATCGCAACAATGTTCTAGCATAACCATGCAGACTGTGGAGCGCAAGTTCGGCATTGTTTCCGAGGCAGTACAGGGTAGTCGATTTCAAGACAGGTCAGCCTCATAAACTCAATCAATCAACGTTGCACAACCCAAAACTTATATGTTCAAAGTCCATATACAGTTGAATTTTAATTCGTTTCCGAGACTATAATGACAACATCGGCACTATGCAACCTCTTCATCGCGATATCAATCCACTCAGATCCATCCTTATCTCAAGGCGTCAATCAGCCCCACCTTGACGACAGCATCATCGTGGATGTCTATTTGTCATCCTCTAGACTCAATATTCACTCATGATCTCCTTCAATTCTCCCTCTCGTACTTCCGATTGACAACTTCATTCCCAGTACCTTCATCATGACGCTCGTCAGAATTACCAACAACAAAACCCTCAAAGGCCACAAAGCCGTAATCTTCTCAACAGTTGAACCACCAAAGGCTCAGATTGACGCTATTCAGAAACAGTTCCCTGATTTGACTATCAAGACTTTCATTCAGCCATGGGGTGCACCTCTAGATCCTAGTTTCAAGGAAGAAGAGTGGCAAGATACTACTGTTTTATTGACTGCCACCTTGTTGCCAAAACCAGAGCAGGCGCCGCATTTGCAATACGTTCAGCTTACGAGCGCTGGTGCCAACCATCTAATCAAAGATCCCCTCTTTACGGATACAAAGATTCCATTTTCGACCGCCAACGGAGTCCATGGGTGAGTTGGACTTGCAAGGTGGAAGACTATAGCTAATTGATAGACCTCAAATTGCGGAGTGGATAATTACTACTTATCTATCTCATCGACTTCATTGTAGGACATCCAGGAGCTCCTTTTGAGAATTCTGGCTTACGATTTGATAGTGAAGGAATATACAAAGCTTCAAGATGAAGGAAAATGGAAACGTCTTCATCAGGGCGCCGAAGATACTGAAGACACAGCTGGCAAGCGAATGTCAGAACCCATACTCTCCTTTCCAGAGATTTTCGACTAACAAACTACAGTGGCATCCTAGGCTACGGCAGTATCGGCCGTCAAACAGCCCGTCTGTCAAAAGCTTTAGGTTTAGACGTTCATGCCTACACTCTCCACCCTCGCAACACTCCAGAGTCTCGCCGCGATGACTCCTACACGCCCCCAGGCCTTGGTGACCCAGAGGGTGAATTCCCTAGCAAATGGTTCTCCGGCGGATCCAAAGAAGAAATCCACGAATTTCTCGATTCAGGACTAGACATCCTCGTCATCTCAGTGCCATTGACTGACAAAACGAAGGGATTGATCTCGAAGCCTGAATTTGAAATTCTTGGTAAGAAGGGAACTTTCTTGATTAACATTGCGAGAGGACCTATCGTCAATACCGATGATCTTATCGAGGCGCTGAATTCGGAGACTATCAAGGGTGCAGCGCTTGATGTCACCGATCCTGAGCCTTTGCCAGATCAGCATCCACTGTGGAGTGCGAAGAATGTGACTATTACGCCACATATCAGTGCTGCTTCCTCATTTTACTATACGAGGTTGTTGGATATTTTTAGATTGAACCTTGAGAGGTTGAGTCAGGGACGAAACGATTTCATCAACAAAGTCAACCGGAAGGAAGGTTACTAGAGGTTTTCGAACGAAGATATGAAAAACCATTGAATATGTTTCGGTTTCCTATCTTCTATACGTGATAGAAATGGACACAGGAAATAAATAAACCGCATAATTTAGAGAATGTAGGAGTGATATTGAGCTACACGGTTACTGAACCATTTTCTTTTCCATCAAGACCCTGATCCTCTGCACCTCAGCAGAACCATACGTTTCCTCCAGCATCTCCATGACTCCCAACGCAGTGATCTCTGGATCCCACATATCCTTCGAAATCACAGCACTGACATCCGAAAACTGCACGAGCTCCCTTACAATCTCAGTCCAACGTGAAGTTCCTTCAGGGTTGATATCGTAGTATTCAATCCATTCCCTCCGCTTTGCATCGCGAAGATGACGAAGAACAGCCAGCCATGGAGTAATTGACTGATGTGTGATGAAGTGTTTGTATTTATGATTGGGACCTGGGTTGATGCGTGAGGGATTGTTGAGAAGCCAATGGACGAGCTTGGGTGACGACACGGGGAAGATGGTTTTGTTACGAGAGCAGAGAAATTCTGTCGCGTATGAGAGTAAAGGTGTAGACCCGTCCTCTTGCTCTTCTTCCACCGCTTGTTCTTCACGAGTCAGGTCCTCAACTTCCTGACAGACATAAGTTGCCAGACCGAACTTGGTCGCAAGACACAAAAACGGCCGATGAATAGGAGGCGCTTTCATCCTAACCTCATAAGCCCCAAACGTACTCTTTGCCCAATGGTCATAAGGATCAGACGGCTTCTCAAGCCAGAGCCAAGAAAGGGCCTTATCCATCTCATTCAAGAATTTCCGCTGAAGGCCCTGAGCATCGTTAACGATGTATCGTGCATGTGTCATGGCGAGTGCAATATCAGGATACCACTCATCTAAACGCCGATGATGCTCTATTTCTTCGAGAGGATACTTCAGACGAAGGACATATGATCTCTGAAGTTGAATATGAGGGTCAAAGTCTGGAGACTGGAGTGCTTCAAGACGTTTTCCTGCTCCGCCGTCCATGAGCCAGTCTCGAACTGTACGGTGTATGTAGATGACTTTGCTCGTCGTGATGAGACTTGCAACGTTGGCATGTCTATCCTGGAACTTTGGAACACGCATATTGCCCATGGGCTTGGCAACGTGGACGTTCAAAAGCCTTGCGAAGCGAGCTTGAATATACTGAACTGTAGTTCCGCACCGTCTCTGAATTTCTTCATCCGAAGCTTCCACCACTTCGCGATCGAGAGCCATAACATCGTCCTCTTTGAAAAGCGCAAAGGCAAGTTCCCAGACTGTCAGCGAGTTGGAGGACTCATCTTTGATAAAGTCCGCGACAATTTCCCTGGCATGCATGAGCTGGAACAGAGTGGCAGTCTGCACGATCTCCGAGGATGTCTGGTCCTTGAAAAGAAGCTTCTCGAAGAGATCATCAAGATCAGTGGGAAGTTCTTTCAGAGTTGTCTCCAGAACTTCGAACTTGCTGTTCTTCTGAAATGTTACGAGCATACGCTCAACTGCGAGTCTAACCCATAAGAAAACCCCATTGGCCTGTTCAACCACCGTAGTGACTAACAGATGAGTCGACTCCGGATTCTGTTTCATCAGCCTTCGAATCTGGTTATTCGCCTTGAGTGTATCTGTTGCATAGCGGTACATATCGTCGTAGCTCAGGTCCTGAAGCTTGGTATTTGGGACAGATGTTTCAAATGCCTTTTCAAAGACATCCCATGGCCGAGATGAGAGACAGAGTTTGAGTGACTTTCCATCATATCTGGATGTTAAGTCCTTGAAGAAGTTGATGATTTGGACATGATCGCCATCAAACTCATCAAGACCATCGATGAAGAGACAGATATTCACGCTATGCAAGGCCGCGTCGAGAAGAGAGTGAAAGGCAGCCTGTAAATCTTGGACGGTCCATTCCAGAGCAAAGTTGACTCGTTCTTTGGTTGTCATCTGTCGCAAGCGACTCCAGAGATCAGGAAACGCCTTTTCAATGAGCTCTGGATCAGAAGACAGCAACTGATGCAGGAGATATCGCAGCAGGCCAGTTTGCGACCTCTGCTGCCGAGATCCACTCGTCCAGAAGAAGAAGCCCGCTGTATTGACTCTCTTCTTGCCACCCCATCTGCGAAGATGATACAGCGCAACAGGATGCTGGGAGAGGTATCTCACGAGCGTGGATTTACCAGACCCGGGTTTTCCAGTGATCCAGTAGATAGGACCCAGCTCCGTGCTGCTAAGCCATGAGACGAAGCTTCCTCTGAAGTTCTGACACAGAGATTGATGGATGGGCGAATTGTCAAAGATCCAATCAAGAGTCTTACCGTGGGCTTCAGTGACTTGGCTTTCGCGATCATGCATACTTTTGTATGACAGACTCTCGAGAATGAAGTCATTGATGAGGCCGACGGGAGCTAGCCTCGGGGGTCTCGGGATAACCGGGATCTGCCCGGGAGACTTGCCAGCATCATCGTGAGCAACTGGTTCCGTGCTCCCAATTGAACTCTTCGTCTCAATCTCTTCCGGCTCAAGCTCACGGCCTGTGAGCTGTAAATCAGCGAGCAAGGGTAGACAGAGTTCACTAGCAACACAACGTTAGCGCACCGTTAGCTCCTGGAGAGCAACCAGTAAAGTCAACTGAACTCACTGTGACGACGGAAAGGTGTCTTGGCATTGATGCAACACTTCACGGAGCCGTACATTCAGCGCCGTGACATCGTCCAGGGGCCAAAGCTTGCGGAAGCCAGCGACATCAATTAAATCACTGAACGCGTCCAAGACACGGTTGATGTGGACGACGAGGTCATTACCGATCTGAACACAGGCAAACTTGATCAGACTTTTCTCATATTCTCCCTCCTCATTCTCAACACGCTTCACCGAATGCGTCAATCCCTCGAGCAAGCGAGCAAAGTCGGTATCACAGCGATCTGTATATCCCAGACTGTGTATCCCTCGCACAGCATGGCATACATCAACAGCCCTGGCGAGGAATTCAGATACAGTGTCAACGTTAGCGTCTACAGCCATTTTATAAGCTTGTAATGGTGTAGCTAGCGGGTTTAATTTATTTAACTATTATGCAAAAGTCCTTTTAATCTTCTCCTCTTGGCATGTGAGTTTCACAAAGGTTGAAGTTTAAAAATTAAAAGAGAGGTTGGAATGGAATGTGAGACTGGAATGAGGGGTTTAAATACGGTCTCATGTTGGTCACGCGTAAGCAATCATCCCTGCAGCTTCTCTACTATCACATTGCATTGAAACAGGCTGAATTAGCTATCGAGTGCCGGTCTGTGAAACAATTGGTTATAGCGTCCTACAAGGTTCACAGCCCGTACCACGCTTATCAAAAGCGTCTGTTTCGAAACGTCGTATAAGAAACGCCACTCTCCCTGCCAATTTTCACCATCGTCACCGAACAACAAACAAAAATGTCTGCTCTTTGTATCTTCATGGGAGTTCTCTCCCTTTCGACATTTACACTCGCGGCGGGTAATACACCTGGTCTTCCTCTTGTTATTAATACATGGGGTGGCGATTTCACCGCCGCTACGGATGCGGCCTTCACCGCGCTGGGGAAGAAGGCTTCTGCTCTTGACGCGGTTGAAATTGGAGGCACGACGTGCGAGAACAAGCAGTGCGATGGGAGTGTAGGCTTTGGAGGAAGTCCTGATGAGAACTGTGAAACTACACTTGATGCGATGATCATGGATGGTGGGAGTATGAATTCTGGTGCTGTTGCTGCTCTGCGTCGCGTCAAGAGTGCGATTTCTGTTGCTCGACATGTCCTCGACCATACTACTCATTCTCTCATTGTCGGAGACCAAGCTACAGAGTTTGCTATCCAAAACGGCTTCAAGACCACAAGCCTGTCTACCAAAAACTCGGATAAGCAGTGCAAGGACTGGAAGGCCAAGAAGTGCCAGCCCAACTATCGCATCAACGTCAGCCCAAACCCGGCATCAACATGCGGTCCCTACAAGCCTCTCACCACCCTCACGACAAGCACCATGAAGACCAATAAACAAACAGGCCATGACACCCTCTCTCTCATCACAATTCACAAAGACGGCTCCATGGCCGCAGGAACAACAACAAACGGCGCCTCCCACAAGATCCCCGGACGCGTCGGCGACGGCCCCATCGTTGGAAGCGGCTCCTACGTCGACAGCGACATTGGCGGCTGCGGAGCAACAGGCGACGGCGACATCATGCTCCGTTTCCTCCCATGCTACCAAGCCATCGAAGGCATGCGCAACGGCCTCTCACCAAAGGAAGCAGCCGAGGATGCAGTTCTTCGCATGGTTCGCAAGTACGGCGATCTCAAGAGCGGCATCGTCGTCGTGGATCGGTACGGAAACCATGGCGCTGCGTGCAGTGGGTGGAATTTCCAGTACAGTTACAGAGGAGGAAAGATGACCAAGACCAAGGTCGTTACTGTGAAGCCGGTGCAGGAGGTACGTCTTGACTTGTAGCCTTGACGAATGATGAATGTGGTTGACAAAGACTTAGGTTTAACGAGCATCGAGCGCAACAGCATGTTTGTATTTTAGTTGTATCAATCGACAACAGTTATGCCTTTGACTTTAGTAGCGATTTAGATATCCAAGAACAAAAATGGAGAACGATTTTTATGTTTCTGCTCTTTGTGCATGTGATATTTAATTGACCCCCCCTCAAGAAAAGTCTTGATATATCGTCAAAAGCTGAAACCACAGCCTTGATTCACCATTTCACAGCCCATCATCGAGTCGAAAAGGAGCAGACCATCTCTGCATCACGATTAGTCCGATCCTTCATGTATAAGAATCACATACCGTATCGTGAGGTCTCGAAGAATCCACGAATCTCAAATCTGTTCCAAGTCGAATTCGGTTCTCAGAATCCTTGTTGATAGTTGAAGCATGAATCTACACAGCATCAGCCGAGTTTCTTCCAAGTATCGCAGATACGTACCATATGTGGTTTGTGAAAAACAACATCGCCGGCTTCATACTCTGTCAAAAGCCATCTTCCACCTCCATTATCTTCTAGAAATTTGATGGGACCGAGTTCTAAGAAACCATTGGACATCATGTTCTTATTGAATGCATCAATGCGTTCCTCTTCAGTCATACCGCCGTCCCTAGCCTTTTTGTTAAATGCATCTTCCAGTGTTCGACCTAGGGTGTCGCCTTTTTGGCGGTTAGCTTGGGGATCTCCATGCTTTGGAGGAAGACTCACTGCCTTCGAGGTATATCAGCCCGCCGCCTTGTAAACTGATGTCCCCAATCGGAACCCAAGCTGTCACTGAAGTAGGCTCTCCATATCGTAGAAATGACTGATCATAGTGCACTCCAATTGCATTGTTATGTGGCGTATTATTCCTCAACAAAGACCTTGGGAGTAACTTTGTATCATCGCCCCAGCCTTTCAAGTTGGAAACAAAGTCTCTCAAGGCTGGATGTCTCGAAAACTCAAGGTAGAAGTCCTCTGTGTGAGCTTTCTCCGCAAGACTAGCGAATGAACCTGGGTTGATTTGATCTTTGCCAAAAGGGCCGGCACCGATACTAGGATAGTTGACACCTTTGTTGTCAGGATCGAAGATACCATCAACGGGAGCCGAATTGGGTTGTAGAACACCACTGGGGCTGAGAAAATTGAAGTATGCTTCTCGGCAGTCGAGTACGTCAGAGCGAGGAAGAAGGCCTTTCATAAAGAGATATCCTTCTTTCTCGTAGCGGGCTCTCAGGACTTCGATCGGTTCGGATGAATACGACTGTTTGAGCTTTCCAATCATGCCGGAGTCAAGAAGTCCATCATTTACGAGATAGCCCTTCTTGAAAGCATGCTGAGCAGTTTGTATCGCAGTCTGGGCCATAGTGCAGGAAATCAGTCTGGCAGCAATTGAATTGACATGAAGAGGTCAGACATTCGTGGGAGGTCGTCATTTTATCACTTATACGAGGAGGACACAGCTTCATGACTGGGAGCCACTTACACACATGGAAAATGTCTCCGAAAAAAGATCTTAGTTTCTTACCAAAAATAGTAAGATTTCGGCGAGACATTACCTAGTCAGACACTCTATCAGGGCAGCTGGACATAATATGCAGCCACAGAGTTGCGGGGTGCAGGGCTAGTGGGGGAATGGCATCATGAACTCGATCAAACAAAGGCAAGATTGACGGTTCCACGGGAGCTCTATCTTTATAGTCAAAGGAAGGGTAATATTGATCGATTGTGCTGAAAGAAGCAATTGCTTAGTTGGGGACTTACTCGAAGGCCTCACATTGAGGATAGAGGCTGATGTTAAGCATATCGCTGCGACACATGACAAGGTACAATGACAGACTCAGGATCTAAATTTGTGACAGAGATACAAAGCTGCAAGCGACGCTGGTAACTGGGAATCATCGCCCGAAGCACACCGAAATGACATTCCCTATCGACTATCGTCCACATCATCCTACTAATCACCTGTCACATCCTCCAAACTCCTCCTACGTATAAGCCCAAGCAGCGAACTTATCCCCTGCAGTCTGGATCTCAATCCCCTCGACAGTCAAACAGCCGCTTCCCGTAAAAGTGCCCGTTGTCGCCTTGAGAACGGCCTCCTTCGTGATCGGGACATTCCTCGCCGTTAGACAAGCCCAAAGTCCGGGATTTGCGTTCTCCGGTGACCACATGAGTATCGTGACAGGCATCTTACACTCTGAGATGACATGCACGGGATGGAACCCGCCCATTTGTGAGCCTGGGGGCCGGAGGGCGGAGTGTGCTGGCGGGTAGGATATGATTCCGTCGGGAGCGACGAAGATGAATTGACCGCCTGGGACTGCAGCCTGTTGCTATGAGTATGGGCTGAGTGAATGGTGATGTGACTTACTGCGAGACCAGTCATGTTTCCATCGACTTGTGTGGATGTGCCATCGGGGCATTCAGTAGCATTGTCAAGACCGCAGAACGTGCTGGGTTTCGTGGCGCCGATGATGAAAGCTTTATTCCTTGCATTGATGATGCGCGCGTGGATCTGAGGAAGCGAAGGTGCGTAGACAGAGAGGGTGTAGTATGCATTCACCGCGACGATGATCAGGAGAAGTAGAGCGAGGAGTCTCATGGTTGCGAACTGCGCAAGGCGCATTTACGTGTTGACATGGAATGCGAGAAGCTGGCAGCTGCAGTGCTATAAGATGATGGTGTTGGGCAGGGGATGTCTTGGCAAATGCGGATAGATTGGACGAGATGAAGGCGATAGAGAAAGAGAGGAAGGCCCGAGCCTTTTCTACTCGATACCTTCTTATCTCGGTTACATCTCGCGGGAATGCCTCGAAGAAGAGATGATCAGAATATGCCATAAATAATTCTTATCATTTAAATCTCTGTTGTTGTATTGTAGAACTCCAGAGTAATGTTGTGTTCGACTCTTCGTCTTCTCCTCCACATGCAGATTTGACCTCTTCTTCCATTCGAGGCTGTTGCGAGAACGTCCACGTCGTCCTTGAAGACGCCAACTACAATTCGGGCAGCCCTTGAGTGCCTCGAGGACCCTGAACACATGTACACCTCAACTCGTCATCTGGAACCTCAACAGAGATGCGATAAGTTCGTGTCCACGTTCCCCAGATCTAATGACGCGGCCCGATGATGCTTCAACAAGCACACTGCAGGGTCGACGTGACAAAGACGGTAAGACCGGGGACACACTTGATCGCGTTGACCATCATTCGTGATCTCTTCCCCGAGGCCATGTACTCGGATCGCAGGACCATGCCAGCTGAAGACGACTGCAGAGGTAACAGGAAGATCTTGTATTGTAACCAAGAAAATAACTCATACATCATATCTATTGCTTCCCAGCCTTGCCCTTCATTCTATTAACAAGTCCCAACAGCTTCGCCTTCAAAGCCGTACTCTGCGCCTCATCGGCACCCACAAATCTCCTGACCAAAATATTGTACAATCCTCCAAATGCCAGTGCGATCGCCGTTGATGTAAAGATAATGACGTTATAGGGCATGCTAAAATCAGGCGTGGGTAGGTACAGCAGCAGTGTCGTAGTGCGGATGTTGAGAACCTTGGGCTCTAATGTTGTGATGACAGCGGCGGCGACGTCGAAACCTCTATTAGCGTCAGGAGGATATTCGGTGTATCGCAAAATGGACTTTTCGAAATCGTATGTCAGGAAAACGGTGCAGTGCGGCGGAATGCGCATGAGGAGTTCAAGCTGTGTACCCCTTGCGCGGTCGAGTGCGGGACGGTAGTAGATCTCCTTGATCAGGTCGCTCGAGTTCGACCAAGGCGAATCGGCAATACGGGCCGAGAGGGTGTGAAGATAGATACGCATGAACCATGGCAGTGACTCCATGTAGACGAACTCAACATCGGTGTCACTAGGGTTGCTCAAGATGGCCTGTACACCACCGTGTTCCTGGCCGTGGCCGTTGAAGCTGCGATCAGCGTAGAGAAGGGGTGTCTCGGGCTTATTAAGGATCTTGTCCTCGTCTTGTGACTCGGGCTTGACGAGCATGAGAGTGAGTTCGGCGTTCGTATCGAGACTGTAGCAGCGAGAGTTTCCGTCTTGGGATCGGATCTCGCGGGCGCCTTCGGTGGTGTAGATGTCGCGGGACTGGGGGATCTGAACACAGACTGGAGGAACATTGGGGTCGGTGAGAGGACATGTACCCTTCATGGGGCGACCGAAGACTTGAGATAGAGTCCAATCTTGACCGTCAAGACTGTCGGCGGGGTAGCATGCGTGGTCAGAGTGGTAGGGTTTGGAGGTATCGCAGAGCAGCTCGTGAGCAGGAGGGGGTCGCGGAATCGGGTTGTCTAAAATTGTTAGAAAGGTCATTCAACAGCATCAAAGGACATACTTTGAGGCCTCTTGGATCGATTGACATCAAGAACCATATCCACAGTCTCTTCCATCTCCAAAAAGCATTCTCCATCTGCATTGCACTTGGGTCGAACATCAATTGCCATGCTCTGATACGATGCATCGAACAACTTGTGACCATCCAGAAGCGTAGCAATACCAGCCTTGCCCTTGCACGGCAACAGCTTCAAGAAAGGTGTCAGATTCTCTGTACAGACAACCTCATGCGGCAAAACACCATGAAGAAGTCTCATGTTCGCAAGCGACGAGTTCGAGTGGTCGCCGTCGGGCTGGAAAGACATAACAGGTCGAATCGTTCTCGTCTCATCGATAAAGTTCAAACTGGCGCAGAACAATCCCGAAAGGGCGTTGGTCAATGTTAACCACTTCTCATCCGCCTCTTCATCAGTCTCAGCGTCCAACCACGCCCAGAGTTCAACACCAGTGCCTCCCTCGCGTGTTCCGTCCCACGGTCTAGCACCCCACGACTGAGCATCCCATCGTCCTAGCGTAAATCGTAAATGTAACTCTCGTGTCCCAGCATACTGAAGAATCTGCGCCAAGGATCGAGGGAACAGTCGAAAGTTATGGGCTTCAAAATCCGCAATCGATGTATTGGCTCGGAAGTTGAAGCTCGCTAGGAGCTGGGACAGGGGTAAAGGTCGAAGCGTCAATTGCTCGTGATAACCGGATGCGGCTGCAGAAGTGAGTGCGAAGCCATTTGCTATGGCCAGTAAGAGATAGGCCAGAAAGCGGCGCATCTTGAAAGAAAAAGGCGAAAGAGTGTGGAAGTCGATCAAGACTTCACATGGCACCTTTGCCCTTGGGAGATCGATTTGGTGTCGTAGCTTGGAGAGCTGTTGCGACGTGGAGGATTCGATGAGGTAAGCGGTGGGATTTGGCAGAAAGTTAGCTTCCCGGCGCGTTCCTCCACATGCCGTCGCATCTTGAATCTTGAGGCCCCGCCAACTTTCAGCATCTTCAAACGACGTATTCGCAATGGCCGCTGAACAGAGAAAGCTGCTCGAGCAGCTTATGGGCGCATCTTCAACATCGCGCGCCGCTCAACTATCGCTCACCGACCCTAAAGTCTGTCGATCATATCTCGCAGGCACCTGTCCACACGATCTCTTCACAAACACAAAGCAGGATATTGGACCGTGTCCGAAGGTGCACAATGAAGGGTTGAAAGCGGAGTACGATGGTCTATCGGATCGGGAGAAGCAGAAATACGGATTTGAGTACGACTATATGCGCGATCTGCAAAAGTATATCGATGACTGTAATCGCCGAATCGATGCTGCACAGAGACGATTGGAGAAGACACCTGATGAGATTCGTCAGACCAATGTTCTGGTACGTCCCTAACCCTGTTTATGCAATGCGAGATACTAACCTATCTAGCTCAAATCTATTTCCGACCTCACAGCTTCCATCAACAACGGCCTTCTGGAAGTCGAAATCCTAGGCTCAATGGGCGAAGTCTCGCGCGCTCAAGACGAGCTCTTCCGCGTCCGTCAAGCCTCACAATCCAAATCCGACCGCGAAAAGGAACTCAAAGCCCTCTCCGACACATCTGGTCCCTCAGGCCACCAGAAGCTACAAGTCTGCGATGTTTGTGGTGCCTACCTCAGTCGACTCGACAATGACAGACGCCTGGCCGATCACTTCTACGGAAAGATGCATCTGGGATATGCACAGATGAGGAAGACGTACGATGCTTTCCCTAAGGAGATGAAGGGCCGATCGAGGGCGCCTATGGATGATGATGGACCTGGTGGACCCCGAGGACCTCGAGGTTCAGGATATAGGAGCGGCCGCGGCGGAAGGGGATACCGTGGAGGATGGTAATCAATGTGTAATTATTTATTGGGATGTTCAGGCGTTTGGCGCTGTGTATAAAATGGACGGAAATAAGAATGAAAGAGTTGGCGGAGAGCAGGATAATACCCTTTCTAGAAAAGCAGCTCAGCGCCGAAAGGCAAATAGAAATGAGGAGAAGTCTTTCAATCTCGCTTCGGCTTTCGATGCTGTCTAACAATGCTACCTATGGTATTTTTCCAACTCCGCTGTCAAGCTATCCCTAGTCTTCCATCTCTTTCAATTTGTTCATGACTTCTTGTTCAGCTCATCATACTCATCCATCTCTTCATCCCACTTTCCACCAGTGGGTGGTGGCAGTGGTGGTGGAGGTCCAGCTGCTGCAGCCGCAAAAGCCGGCTTATCGTTCGCTGGTGCCGGTGCGCTCTTCTTGACCTCACCGGGTAGAGCTGGGAAGTCTTCGGCTGCTGGGACGGCTTGTTTGACTGGTGCTGGTGGTGCGCCTTCATGGCCACCGCGTCCGCCTCGGCCTCCTCGTCCTCCCCGACCACGACCTCTACCCCTTCCACCACGATGTCGCTCGTCCAAGAAGCGATCCACGTCATGTTCCTCGTTATCCTTTGAAGCGTATCGACTTCCACCAAGACCGGAGCTTCTTGATCCTCGAATACCACCATTTGCGCCGCGGAAACGTCGGTTTTCCTCCTCTTCAAGAGTATCCTTGCCCTCATCCCATCCACCCTCCTTCATACCCATGGCCTTGAGTTTTCGCTCTCTGTTCTTAGCGCGCTCATCATCAAGTCTGCGCTTGTCCTCTTCGCCACGTTTACGTCGCTCAGCTTCCTCGGCGCGACGCTTCTTAGCCTCCTCCATGCCGCGAGCATACGCAGCAGCATGATCCTTCTCATCCTTTTCGGCTTTCTCAAACTTGCGCGCCTTCTCTGCGTTAAGGAGCTTCATCTTCTCCATCTTGGCAGCGAGTTCTTCGTCCGTGAGCTTCTGTCGTGGGTTTGCGCCAGATTGAAGACGAGCTGCAGAATTGGCGGCGGTGTTTTGCGAACCATGGGTGTTCTTCTCGCGAGGAGCAGTTGGAGCGTTAGGAGGTGCGTTGGATGTCGGTTGGGGAGCTTGTTTTGCGGGCTTGGGAGGAGCTGGTTTATCGGCATATCGTGACGAGGAGAGGCCAGCGGGTTTTGAGGCAGGGGCTGAGGGTGCGGGAGCTGGCGCTGACGCTGGCGCTGGTTTCTCTTGAGGAGCGGGGGGTTCCTGAACCGGTGCTACAGGTTCAGGCTGGGGTTCCGGTGCGGCTTCAGTAGTGACGACGGTCTCGCTCTCGACCGGTTCGAAGTCGTCGTAGAAGAGATCATCGTCAGTACGTCCTCCAAATTGGTCATCCATGGCGGGCAGTTGTGGCTGCTTGTAGACAAGTTGAAACAGGACAAGAAATGATATTCAAAATAATGCAATTGGCCACGCAGAAGCTAGGCCGAGGAGTTGTCCAAAAGGGAGAGGGGGGCCTGGAGAGTTCAAGAGGGATGATGAAGTTCGCGAAACACCGATACCCCGCGGAATTCAGAGGGTCATCGCAAGGTGGGGGAGGTTCGGCGGGTGATAAGTGGAGCCGGCGGAAGGCACATGCGGTTAATTGTTGCTCCGGCTTTGGTGCTCTAAGTTTGAACCATAGATGGCTTGCTTTAACTTAAGGTTATCATAATGTTTATTGAGCCCATGACGACGTTCATAGTTTGAATTCTGAACCTAGTATCACTGATAAGACGAATTCTATGCTTATTGGTGGCAGTTATGTATCTTATCTCACCAACATATTGGCATAGGGTAGTCTACTGGTGGTGAAACATCATCTACCGTCATTGTTAGTGTGACTGGTAAACGGGATGAAAGGCGGGTGATGTGAAAGACGAAAAGTGTGGCACAAGATTTTTTGTGAATGCTTAATCATGGAGTAGTTGAAATGACAGGAACGCATGCGTTCCAAACCTTTGATGGATAAAGATCAAAGCAAAAGTTCATAAGAAAGAAAGAACCAGACAAGCAAGAGTTAAACATGATACATTGTTTGAAAGCAAACAGGGAATTCGTTATGAGAGTGAATTCGTGTCATGCTATCTGAAACAAACACCCTTCTTTATCCCACCGGCTGATATTCCTTTCCCTTGGTGACTGGGCGCATCTGTTCTTCAGCAGTTGATCTTCGCTTGTGATATGTCTGCTTGAGCGCTTCGATAGATCGTCCAGGAAAGTGGTCCTGAGAAATAGCATGTCAGTATTTTGATGGGACGGGTGGCTAAATCTAAATGATAACTTACGCTGATATCTCTCCATGACTTTCCCTCCCTCTTCAGCTCGATAAGGCGCTTCACTTCGTCTTGGTTCCAGAACTTGTAGCCCTGGTTGCTGTTCTGCACAGGACCATCATGTCAGCGCTGGATGTATAGTCAGTCATAGGCGTCTGGGGACTTACCGTCTCAGCCTCCAACATGGAGAGGGCTTCCCCGGTAGTTGAGGGAAGTGAAGCAAAGGATGATCCTGTAGTTACCGCAGCTTGCTGTCCAGGTCCAGACGCATCTTGCGTCGAGCTGGTTTCCAGCCATGGTCGACAATTAGGGCTTTCTGGCAAGGGTGTTCTGCCTTTCGCCAAGGCCCGTGATTGCCAGGGTTTGAGAGCATTAGGAGGAGTTTCGTTGTTGATCCCAGACATGATTAATATAAGGAAACGATCAGGACAGTGATGTTGGTGTTCTTGTAGAAGAACAGGTGAAGATCTGGCAGTTGAAGAAGCTGATATACTAAGAAATTAAATAATTATATTTACTGGAGGTTCTTGGCGAATTCACAAGTGAATGCTGTGGGCACTGACAGAGGACAGTGAATGAGGCAGCTTGATTGTTCTATTGAAAGCCGGTAACAAGGTACTGTCAGGATGACCATATACCAGTGCAACTGCATCTTTCCATACCATAGCAAGCCGAAGACTATTGTTCCAAAGAGAAGTGAATGATTGGTTATATAAGGCAGGGGATTGTGTTGAATTGTAGCCTATTGTATCGGAATTGAATATTGTCCCCTATCCCGAACAACACTGTCTTCAATCGGGTCTTTCAATTTGCGAACTTCAACCACCGATTGATACTTGCAATGAACTTGTCTGTGTGACTAAGCGTCTTTCTTGGGATTTCTCTGTTATAATTAGATGAGCTTTTGATAAGAGGATTTGAGGGAACCACCGACCTCGACCTTAGAGCTCACGTCTGATCCCGTTTGAGACCCACTGCTGGACCCCTTGTTAGACTTATCAGCCTCCGATGGGTCGAGATCAGTATCCTTCCTCAGCCATGGACGATAGCCCGGCGCGTCTGGAAGGGGAGTTCGGCCCCGTTCAAGAGCCTTTCGTTGCCGCGGTTTGATACGGCCAGACATTGGGAGAGTTGATGTGGGTTGAAAGTGATTGAACGTTTAATAGGAGAAATACAGTTATTTATATTCATTGCCAGGAAGTTTTGAGTCACAGTTAAACGACTCCGTTTGATGGTGGAAAAGCATAGAGAGACCTTTGTCAGAGTGAAACGTGTGTATCTCGTTAAGCTACCTAACAAATCGCCGTAGATTAGGTTTGATTGTAGCTTGAGACGAACTTATGTCTTTTATCGGCTGTTTGGATTAGACCCCCTTGATCCTGTTTTCAAGACTTGATCGAATTCTCTCGCTAAACGTGCGTTTGTTCGTGAAAAATGTGAGTTGCACTTTATGTTGCTTTGTTGAGGTGAGCCAAGCTTTTCATTTCTGGTAAACCTTATGACGTTTTAGCGAGGCATATGTGGTCAAAGCCTAAGTAAAGCGATTAGATCTCATGTTTCTTCCCTTATAGTTCGGGCAACAAGCACAGCCTGGAGCAAATATGGTTCTGGCAAATCGTATGCCACTTGGTGAAGCCAGTTACCATACCCAGCGCCTTGAAGGTGTCGTGCACTGGGTCGAGGCGAAAGATTATACTATAAACGAATCACCTTAGACGAATCCATGTTTTAGCAATCGTGAGCTTGAGGTATCGAATCTGGTCATAGAGTACCGCGATATCCTGGCCGGAAATCTGGGTGTTTTCAAAGCGTGTGTAACTGTCTTATTAGACCAGGACAATACATATATATATATATAGCTAGGAAGTATTCAAAGTGTCGCTGCGATTGATATAGTGTGGTGAACAAGGATTACTGTCCTAATCATTTTCGGGAAGAGTTTGGTTATATTGTTGCCATCGTTGTGGCTGTTATAGCTCTGCATCTATCGGACGGCAGACTTGATCTAACCCTTCTTTGCTGCTTTGTCACTGGCTTTCTCTTCCTCAATCTTTTGTTCCACTGCGTGTCGACGCTTGTGGTAGCTCTGTTTGAGCGCCTCAAAAGTGCGGTCAGGAAAGGCTTGCTGTAGAATTGTTAGTACTTAGGAATGAATCATCTATGGGAGATCAGAAATGAATCTGACCGCAATGACTCTCCATTTTGCCCCACCAGATCTCATTTCTATCAAGCGACGTAATTCAGACTCCTCCCAGAAACGGTATGTCAAGTCTCTACTCCCGTGATACTTGGTTTGGTAAGCTGTGGTGCTGGGACTTACGTTTGCTTCGGTTTGAGCTGGGGTTGATACAGGAACTTCGGCCTGATTGGGGTCTTGGGGAGCGCCTGACACCTCGAGATTCGCAGAAGGATGCTCAGAAGTTTTCCAGGGTGAGCCATGGTCTCTAGCCAGGGCCTTCTGGCAAAGGCGTTCGCCCGCGCTTGAGTGCCTTTTCCTGCCAGAGCTTCATCCGGACTATGCTTTTGTAGTCTTTCTAATCTCTGGGTCTTTTGTTTTTTGTGGATATAAATGAAGAGAGCTGTGAGGCATAATCCGAGAAGAAGAGGGAGAGGTACGGGGAACAAGAGTGAAGTACTGATGTTGCCAATGGCAGCAAGCTGTGCAGCTGCTGGCATTGTCCGGCAGTGTCATTACACTGCCGTATCAGAGCAATGATAATATATTTGAGCCTCCGAGAATTTTCTAATATAATGGTTTGATTGTATATATGTTCAGTCATTGTTTTTATTATTGTGACGTAAGAGTAAAATAGCTAATAGTGAGATTTGACGTCAGTGTTAACGTTGTGAAATAAAATATCGAAATACTTTCTGGTGGACGAACAGGAAGATATCTTACTACCTGGGAGAGTTCTATCGTCTTTTGTAAAGTTATCAGTCCTCAGAACCTGATTTTATAGTATAACCGTGTTGGTCATGGCCATCCCAGAGCCCATCGTCAAGTAGTCTGACTCGGGAGAGAAAATAACAACAACGCTTATCGATGTGTATATAAGAACCTTTGTAACTATGCAAATTCAATGATAAAAGGACAATGTAGGTGGCAGCGGAGTACAGATAAGAGAGTGACTTTATAGGATTTTGTAGTATTTGGGTAAGATATAGTAATTGTGAAAGGAGATATGAGGGCCATGGCAAGGGTTATCCCCATTACTCCTAGATTGTAATCTTTAAATCACTAATTGCTCTTCTCATCGTCGTCGTCAATAAGAGAAGGCTTAGCAGAAGTCGCTGCGAACGCCTCTTTCTCCATTTGACGCTCAGTAGCGAAACGACGCTTGCGGTATGTCTGCTTGACTCCCTGAAGAGTCCGGCCTGGGAATTCTGCCTATAAATGAAATTAGTTACTTTCTAGATACTTTAAGTCAAATACTTACGCTGATAGTGGCCCAGGACTCCCCGCTGTTTCTCAGATGAATGAGACGTCTCATGTCACTTTCTGACCACCAGCGGGAGTGCGGTGTGACAACCTGTTAGCGATGTTAGCTGATGTTCAGTTTTGACATGGATTTGGTGATACTCGCCACAGTCTCGTGGTTTAGGGGTACTTGCATTTATTAAGGCCGTTAAAGGAGTGGCGGATATTTCGGTATCTGGTGAAAGGTTTAGCCAGGGCCTTTCTCCTGGACCTTCAGGCAGTGGCGTACGTCCATTCTCGAGAGCTCGCTTCTGCCAAGGCCAAAGCTGGACAGAAGTCTTTTCGCTATTGTCAGTCATGCTTGAAGATTTGTAGGCGTATGGATATTGGTATATTGTTACGGGTTGATGTATTCAAGTTTGGTGAGCTGAATGTGGAAAAGTGAGAATGGGAATAAGTAATGCCCCGAGGAAACAAAGAGGCCATTGTAATTTAAATGCGCAAGTCAATAGAATTGGTGTTCTATTGTTCACACCAGAGAACAAGTGGTGATACTCCTATCGCTGATGCCCCATTATTCAATCACTGAACATGCACTTGAATAGAGTCAAGCTGAAATTGGCTCATGTCGTTTACACGGATCAACGCCCCAATGACTCAGGACTGTAAGAACAAAGAGAAGAAGTATTAAAAAATAACAAAGGATCTGACACCCAGATGAGAATATTGGAGCCTATACCCAATAATTTCTTTCCATGATTGAGGAATATTGCACGAAGGGGGCCATGTACCAACATCGCTCTACCAAGAAGCATGCAGGACAAAAATAGGAAAATATGGTCCTCTTTTGCCCAGACTAAGTTAGGCATGACAAATCACAGAACTGCGACTCTCTATAGAGCCTGAACGCTTCAACTTAGGTAAGATTATGATGAATTTAGAATCATCTGATGACTGAGGTAGGGTGAATCAGTGAGTTGGAATAGGAGGCATAAGCTGCCCCTTATATAGTTATCTGGAAAAAAGTCCCACGAAAGATATGTGACGAGATTGTGCGAGAGCCCTCACCAGATCTAACAAGCATTTGCTATTAGCAAGCTATGTCGCTGCGTGAAGACATAAGGACACCAATCAAATCACTCAAAGCCGAATGCGAAAGTTGGTTGATAGAACAACTCAAGATAAATCAATCTACCAATTCAAACACGACCCCCAATTCTTCGTCTGTTCGTCTGAAGTGTTCAAAACAATTGTGATATTTCCAAAGTAGACTGTGGACGACCGTAGAGTTGAGTGGCCAATCATTGGCCACCTCTGGCTGTTGATACTCACCAAAGGCGGGGAAAGTCAGCATTCCATGGATTCTGCAACTTCAACATTTCACTTGCAACGTACTGAGTTGCGTGCCCAAGCCTCCATCATGGAGCAACACGCTAAGATTGTTATGGCTCCTCGCAGGCCTGACTCAGACGACAAAAACACATCCATCTTCCTCGCAGGAATAACAACAAGCACCGGCGAGCCTGACTGGCGAGAAACTCTGACAAAAGCCTTGATGAATCAACACGTGACGATTCTCAACCCAAACCGACCAGATTGGGATAGTACATGGAAGGAGGACTTCTCAGACAAGCGGTGGGAGGAGCAGGTTTGGTGGGAGCTTGATATGCAAGAGGCTGCAGACATCATTGTTTTCTTTTTCCACCCTTCAACTGAGGCCCCAATCAGTCTTATGGAGCTAGGGCTGGCTGTCAAGACGAAACCAGAAAGGGCCATAGTCTGTGCCCTGGATGGATATCGAAAGAAAGGGAATGTTGAGGCGGTTTGCAAAAGGTTTGGGGCCAATTTGGTGCACACGGAGTCAGACCTACGAGATACCTTGCTCACTGCCATAAAGTCAGTGCGCGTTGAGTAACTCTCTTTGTTCTATTTGATTGTTTATTTTAGAACAAGGGGTATGTTGTAATTGTTTTACTATGAATTACATACATAAAGTTGATGGACCAAATCATGATCAAAACCACTATTAGCTACCCATTAGTTGCACTGTTATCTACACCTATAACACTTACAAGTTCACCTGACTGCTATCCTAGAGATGTGATGAATCTCAAGAGATTAAAGTGATTAACTCAAGGTTATGAGGTAGAAGAAACTTCAAGCCCCGACTGGTGGTAACTTCAGTTAAGAGCTTCAATACTAAGGTTTATTCAAAAGGCAATTTGACGCATTTAGCGCCTTTTCTATACTCTTTGAACATGTAAGGTTTTGTAAAAAAAGCTTTCAAAGATGGAGTTGAGGGCCGCAAGCCACAATCTATTTCTCCATTTCAGATTACATAGCTGTAAAGCTTTTATCAGCCATTCTGTTATGTTTTAAGTTATCTCTGATTCTTCTCCTCTCGCCTACAGCACTTACCACTTCTCTTAATCATGGCGAGCCCTATATCAGGGCAAGGAGGCGTCATCTATGGCGCTGGCTGTTTTAGCGCTCCTAACCATCTTTTGTCCTTGGACGAACTCGAGGAAAGGCGGGAATACGCGAAACAGCTCGAGAGCTATTTCCTTGGAACTGGGACATGCCCATGTTTGGGACTAATCTCAAGCTCAATGACCATGTCCGTGACTTGGTTGAAGAGGCTAAATGCTTGGAACGTGATGGCAATTCTTGTGTTGTGCTGGGTACAGTAGACCCCATGGTTAGCCACATCATTCCGTACACATGGTGGGACAACAAGGAGCATGGCAACACGACTGGTGATATCAAGTTTCGCGGTCCTGGCTTGCTCAGTGTCAATCTTCTAGGAGGGAACTGCTATGTCTACAACCCGCATGAACTGAGAGGCACCGATAAAGTATGGAACATGATTTGCCTCCATCCTGATTTGCATAAGCTATGGGCAAGGGGTTACTGCGGATTCAAGTATATATTCACGGAGTCCTCCAACGAGAATGAATCAAAAGTGACGTTGCAGTTCCGATGGATGCCTCGAACCAAGAAGCGTCTCGGTCAAGAAATCGACATCAGCGGCACAGGTCATGGGAGTGACCGGCGGCAGTTAATCGACGAGCTCAATTTGTTCCATGATCGAGGTAATCCACTGCCGGTTTCTTGTGAAGGAGCATTACGACACCTCACCAGGTCGGGTAAGCCGCTGCCGTCAGGATACCTTATCCACATCAACATGCAAACAGACGAAACGAAACGCTTCAAGGAGGCCATAGACATTCAGTGGGCGTGCATCATGTTCGCGGCTTTCAGCGGCGCAGCGGGCAATCCCGAATTACCTTCGAGGCAGAACCCGGATGATAAGGCCATGCAGTGGATTCAGAGCCAGGCGAGATAGGCTGACGAGCAGGGCCATGACTCTGACTGAAGACTTTGGATATTAGGGCAAATTTGCCCGGCTTTTACTAAGGCTTTGAACGATTAATGGGTGGAGAAGTGCCTTTGTCCCAGATTAACCACAATGATGGACGTTATTCATAATCAAGATCAATCATCATGTATCTAGTCACGGGGCTGGCACTTCGATGTGAACAATGAGACAAATGAGGATGGTGCGCAGAAGAAATCATGACCTTCGAGCATTTTGAAGTATGGTGCCCATTCCAAAAGATTATCGCAGCTACTCGGCCATGAACGTAAACCATCCTCCCAGTCACCGAATTTAAGAAGCAAAGCTTCCTTGAAAATCTCACCAACATCAACCAAACTAAGAGTCTGTCACGATGGCTACCTCGGACAAAATCCGTATGCAGTTCTTCTCAAGACTCATGCCTCCTGATCATAGCGCGAAGATTGGATCGTCCCCTTACGATCCTTGTGCACCAACTGAAGGACTTTGTCAAACTGGCCAGGCCCATGCAACTGTACCTCCCAGCACGGATGTGTAACATGATGTGGCTTCAAATGAGCTGCCACAGATACTTGAAACAAATTCGTAAGCCGCTTTGACTGGAGAAGTTTGCGTATGTTCCTGACAAAAGCCTTGTAGTCCGGAATACCGATCTTCCTGATCTCAAATTGCTCAATCGAGGTTGGAAGCATGAGTTCAAAGTCAAGCTTCGACGGACTGGGAGGGGGAACGGAGGGTCCTGGCACCGTCAAGTGACGAAGCTCCACGCTCAAGGAGAATCTCTTGAGACGGGTCAGGTTCTGGAGTGATCCAATGTTGTTTGCCGCCCATGTCTGCTCCTGAACCTCCCTTCCACCAGTCAAACCGTCCGTCCACCGCCTGGATGCCTTGATTTGAAGGTCAAGACTCTCCAAGGCGTGGCAGTGTTGAATCCAGTCACCAAGACGGTAGTTGAAGGGATCACACGTTGTTGATAGCATTGTTCTGACCTTGATGTCCAGGAAGCGGAGACTGTCGCAGACTGACAGCAGATTTCGCAAGCTGCCGGGTGTGATCCATGCAAAGTCGGCGTCAAGCCTTTCGAGTCGTTTGCAGGCATTCTTTGGCATGTCCAAGTCCTCGCTGCTGCTTTTAGCAAAAAAGGGCATGTCATGGATGGTCACTGTTTTGAGAAAGGGCAGCTGAAATAGAATCAAGCTCGGCTGGATGCACGGTGGTATACCGCTTGGACAAAGCTTGAAGTCGATTCTCGTCAACCGCGGGAATCGCCTTGGCTGCCCGTTCAAACTCTTTTGTACCATTTCCGTCAAGGCTTTCATGTCGTAGCTCAGGCTGATAGTGAGCCTGTTCAGGTTGGGCAGCCTCTGCACCCAGAAGGCTGTTGCTTGGCCGTAGTATTCCTGCCGGCCATGTTCACTTTCGAGCCAGTTCGGAAAACTGGCACTCCATGAGGATGGGAGCCATATATAATTTCGAAAATGTGGGTGTAGCAAGGCATTCACTACTTCTTCATCGTAAGGGCAATACAGCTCTCGAACCAGACGACACAGATGAGGATTTTGGCCAAGTGTTAAAAGACACTTTGATGACCGTGCATCGATGCAGCGATACAGGACTCTTTGAGCAAGGCTTTCGAGTCGCCTTGATGCCAAGCACGCGTTGAAGAGGGTTATGTTTGCTTCTTTGGTGGAGATTGCATCAGGGTCGTCACTGTCCTGTAGCGTGGACAAGATATTGAAGAGGACCTCGTCAGGAAGCCATAACGCTGTTGGCTCCGGTTCACTCATGATTAGGATGACTGTAGGGCTTAGAATGAAAGAGACAAAGGTTTTGGAAACAAGAGGGAAAGAAAAGGGGAAAAATGCAGGAGGGCAAACAAAAAGCTAAATGTGAGGAGACTATGGCAAGCCACAGGCAAGACAGGTATGTTGAAACCAGAGATGCACACTGTGGTAATATATCTGAGGAGCTGTCCTGCAGGTCTTAGTAGGAACTTCCAACAAGTAAAATTCCTTGCAGTACTTCTGACAGCTACGTCTCATGGATCAGTTATTCAATTATGAATTTGGTCACATTAAATAAACCCTCTTCAAGCTTTTAATAATAATGGTCCATAGCGTGCGAATTCGACCATGACCCAACAACCAGACTCAAACAAAACGCCATACATCCCCGCATAACACCCGTTGTCCAATCACCGAGAGCGAGATAGCCTATCAACACGTCTTTACCGCTTACATGGTAACACAGGCGTTGGCTTGGCATCGAAGGTGGCTTTTTGTAAGATTGATCGTCTGCACTAGACAAGGATATCGATAGTAGAGATGCTGACCTTGTAGCGGAGAGTTTCTATTCAGGGTTTCTTGTTCGGAGATTTCCGAGCTGGTGATAATTGCATGCGGAGAGACCTGAGGCTAGTAGTCGTTGGCAGTCGATCCGTATAAATGAACTCCGCGCTCAAGAACTTCAATCTCATCACCGACTTGAACATACAGATTTTCAACACTGTCCGCAGCCTGCTGCAAGCCTGCATTTTCTGGGACACAGTGCATGCCAAGGTACCCCAGAGCCCTCGGGTTTCCATCCTCAACCGTTCGATGCTTAACAAGCGTCGAGCTAGGCTGTGCGTTTCCTCTCGTTTTTCCACTGTCCGGTTTATCTGTATCAAATTTACCAGTAAGTGGATTCACGTTCGGCAACGTGCAGCGCGATGTCCGGCAAACGACAGAAAGTGAAGGGGAGGCTGCATGTTGTTGCTTTGGCACAACGCGATATCGTTTCCATGTTTCTTCGACAAACGCTGGAGCACCTGTGATCCAAATATTTGCGCGAAAGCGAAGCGCGTTGAGAGGCTGGTTTTCTTTGGGGAGAAGAGCTGAAACGGCGTGGACGGAGGCGAGATTGTTCACGTTGACGGGTTGTTGGTCTGTGTAACCGTGAACAGCCGGTTTGCCGATGTGCTCCAAGGGCGCTAGGTTCTTCTCTGTTGGCACGAGAGTGTTTTGTGTGCAGCGCAAAAGAGTGAGCTTTTGATGCTCGGGGATGTTGAGGAAGCGCTTGAGTTTGGGGAGTGTGGCGGCAACTGTTGGTGCGTTTCCCATATCCAAGCCTTTTGCTTCTCTTGAATGAATGGCAAATGTCTTCATGGCGATCCCATGCTTATTGAGATAATTTTCATCTGGAGAGAGCGACACGAACGCAGAGACTTCCCTCGGATGAGAGAACAGCATGGATTTTAGCTGTTCCAACAGAGTCGGAGGATCTGGATCTGGGAACTTGAAGACGAGACATCCCACGGAGTCGAAAGGAGAGCTCGCATCGCTACCTTCGGGTCTGAGCCATAACTCGGTCTTGATCTGTGACATGAGCGGTTTAGTCCGCTGACTGATAAATCGCCATATCGGGCCCCCTTCTGATTCCGCACGATTGACTTCTGTCGCCAGAGCGAAACATCGATCCCAGACCAAGCCACTCTTGATGAGTTGCGCTCGGTTCAATTCGACTGGGGCGCAAGATTTGATGGGATGCACAAAGATTGCTTTGATACGAATTGGGCCATCATTTTCAGTGCTCTCAGGAAAGTCGTATTTGGAATCGGTTTGGTCGCTCATGTTGCTTGATGACACGCCTTCTCGTCGAAGATTGCGAAGCTCTTTGGGTGTTGATGGGCCATTTTGAAGCCAGATCGTGATGAGACTGCCCAGCAAGACCGCGACTGAGATGGCGATCGATGTCGGCGTCAGTTGATTGACACTCTCTGTGAGATTGCCTATGAATGAGTCGCCCATTATTTCTTGCACACAAACCTTTGTGTGAATTTCGTGAGTTACAAAGGATTGTGAGTGCAAGAAGTTTGTGAAAGACCCCTCGCAAGCTTGAGAGCGCTGTGAATGCCGATGATTTGACACTAACGGTGGTGCTAAAACAGGCCCACCCACATCCTTTACAGTGGAGTAATGATGAGGAATCATCTTCACTGATCTTTGCTTGCACTGACAAGTAGAGGCAATTGAACGTCAGCGTTGAGTACGTTTAGCTTTGTGATTCCATGTCTATTGTGCCATTGACTGTTCGTAAAGAGATATCTAAATATTACTCACCCAATACCTCCGACATGAGAAAACCAGAACACCACATTTATGCGAGAAAACATATACAATCATAACCTCAATCAATAATCCCAGCCCCATCATCATTTACAGAATCAACAGAGATCCAAACAGACCCGATACAAGCACCATACCCAAGCTCGCGGCAATCTTGAAAGCATCAGACTGAGCCGCACCCGTAGACGCGGCGTCATCTGAGCCGGAACTGGAGCTGCTTCCAGTCTCCTCAGAGTCATTACTCTCCGTCGTCTGAGGCTTGAAGGGCTTGACGGCACGTGTGCTTCGAGATGAGCCAGTCGCCTCGGTCTCGGTGTCTGAGGGGGTACCAGAGTCAGTGGCCAGCACTTCATCGTCGGTTTCAGTGGCTTTCGACTTGCCAGCACGTCGGGCACCAGTGGCAGAAGGCTCATCTCCAGCTGGCTTCTCAGCCTGTGCGGCTCCCGTGTTATCAGGAGCATCGTTTCCAGAAGGAGAAGCGCCAGGCTTCGAGTCACCAGCAGGCTTGGGCTTATCCCCGGCATCGCCGCCAGTACCCTCAGCAGGTGTGTCATCCGCAGGCTTGGCAGGTTTCTGAACTGCGGGAGGCGCAGGTGGAGCTGTAGTAGGAACCTGAAGCTTGCCATCCGAGACTTGACTGACAGGAGGAGCAGTAATGATAGGGATCTCCATATCATCGCATGGCGTCGTGCGAACCTGAACCTGTCCATCGCCAATCTGGCACATGGGAACAGCGATAGTTGTAGGAACCTCCCTCGTCGTGCCATCAGAAACAACAGTTACAACAGTCGTCGCGACAACGCTGCTTCCCACAATTCTCTTCTTAGGGGCGGACTTTGCATTCTTACTCTTGCCACAGGGCATAACGCCGAACTCAACAGGCTCACATTGCTCAGCCCAGTTGCGGTCATAGAGGTTGTAGAAATCGCCGGATTGACATTGCCAGAAGATTGCGGAGGGTCCAAAGGCAAGAGTTCCGTTGGAGCAGACTGAGAAACCGGATGTGTAGATTGCGCCAGCCTGTGCGGGCTTGTCGAATTGGAACTGGTAGCTGTCCGAGATGTAGCCTGTTCGACCTTGAGCGTCCTTGAGAACACCGTCTTTGAGGTTCAGGACGAGAACGCCTTCACCATTACATGATCGCTGTTGTCTGTTAGTTGAGCGTCACATTTGAGAGTGTGAGCTCGCTTACCTCAGTGACATCCCGCTTTTCGTTTCCAGGCTTGAAGATTGTGACTTCAAATTGGCCATCATATGAGGTGGTGCAACCCTTCGGGGCTTTACCTTTGGGTGCAATATCTTCTGTGACTGCTTGGGGAATGGCAAAGGCTGTGGCTGCCAGAGCCAGGAGAGCCAGTGATGTTCTCATCTTGGAGTCGAATTATGTGATGAAAGCAATACAGAAGACTTTGTTGTCGAGATGGACGAAAGATGTCTTTGTTTCTGTCTGGTTGCTTGTGATGATGAGTCTCTTCAATCGAGAGAAGCAGCCTGCTTGATATACATGGCGTTGTACTCCACTCATCCTGCCTGGAACGCTATAACAAAAAGGCTGCGCATCTTCGTATCGATACTGCATTATTCACACGTCAACCCGTGTGGCTGGGAAGTCCAGAATTACGGTACTAAATAATGCGATAACCATTAAAACGCTTTGTCGACAGTCATACATACCAGTTGCTCAGCTTTTCAGCGCCTTGCTGTGGCGGAAAAGCCCTAGTAAAGCAGGGAGAGTCCTATCGTCAGGGCCTCGTTCACGGGCGTGGTTGGATGCCTGCTGAGTAAAGTGCTGAAACGCGCTAAATTGAGAGAAATCTTTACGCGCTGGAATTTTTGTGTATCGATTTGAATGGCAGCGTGTTTGAGGGAGGCGAGATGGGTTGGTAGGAATGGATAAGGGGCTAGACGAGCTCAATGTCTCACTTTGAGATGGGTCCAGGGATCGAATCAATTGAGCCTGTCAGAATTATAGCGAGGGTGAAAGTTCAATATTTAGTGATTCTCTTTTAGTATGGAATTAGTTAACCTGCTATAATGGTCTTACTTTTGATATTCTAGCGCACTTCCATCACAGATTGCGAACAACCTTCCGCCTCACCAATTCGTTGAGTATAGATACCAGTAACATAACACAAGACGAGTACATGTATGATGCTCAAGAATATCTCTTAGTTCTCTTATTAATACTATCATGCTCCCTCGTGATCTAGACTTGGTAACTACCGATTTCCGAATTGAACAGCGTGATGACTCTTGATCAACAGGAGCGACGCAAGGGAGTGGCGCTGAGACATGATCGACCCTTGCGCCAGGGGCCAACATGGCTCCCAACGATCTTATAGGCTGCTTGAGAAATGTGGCTGGCAATACATTGAAATCCTTGAGTTGATCGGGAAAGTCGGAAAGCTGAAGATTCTGAACTATCTGCGTTTACTGCTGTTGGTTCATCTCTGACATGAATTGGAAACCGGCTACGACTGCAGCTGAGCTTTCAGCCAACTCCTGAAATGCTGTCAGCTTGCCATGGTATGTCACTTGTCTTATTCTACTACAGTCAAACTGCAGAGCTCCTGAATGTCGAGCCATTGACTAACATCTGATATGTAAAAGTTACTGACTATCTGACTAGACCAAAACCTTCAGTCACGCTATTCTCAGACCTTTCTGTTCCTCACTCTGATCCATGCTCCTGCTCTAGAATCTTATCCAAAGTTCTCATTAGCAGCTGGGGATCCGTTTGGTGAGGCGAGTGAGACGTATCAAGCTCAAAAACAGGGACAGGTCGGCCTCCGTTCTCTTCCAGTCGTGAGATGAACTGCCTCTGAGCTGGTTCGGGAACAAGCACATCCTTCTTAGTCAGGATATAGCTGGATGGAATTAGTTTGTGGAAGCCATCGTATGTCTGCTCATCGCCGAAGACCCTGACGGCCTGAGAAATCTTGGAAGCGTCCTGAGCTAGTTGTTGGCCTTGCTCCTTTGTGAGATTGCTGTAGAAGCACATGGCTGTTTCTTCATCGCATATAAGATAGTCGCCCTGCGTAGTTACAATTAGTTCAAATGCAATCACACATCAAAGTCTCACGTACCTCGCGGCGGGGATAACGGCCTGGGTTGGCTTCATATAGCCCCCGAGTACTTTTGCCAGGAGGTGCAAAGATCGCAGCCAGAAAGATCAGGCGTGTTATCCCGCCCTTTAGACCTGCCTTTTCTCGCTCGTTGCGACTCAAGCCGCGAGTCGCTTCAGTTCCGACCATCCCGCCATATGAATGCATAAGCATGACAACATCTTTTCCTTGGTTAATGTGCTTGTTCAGAACTGACTGAGCCTCCTTTACGTCATCGGCCAAACCTGGCGCAGGATCAATCCTTTCCTCACGAGAAGACTGAAGAGGAACAACTTCGACCGGATAGCCCTTGTCTTCAACTGACCGCTGGATGGCGCTCCAGAATCGAGGTAAGCTGAAGTTGCCAGGTACGATCACCAGGGCAGGTCTTGCGGCTGCAAGAACAGCAGCCATATCCGAGTTAAAGTTCGAGGCGACGGAAAGTTTAACGAAGCTCAAATAGCCGTGATGAAGCCTTCGAGGTTATGCTACATCCAAGTCTGTGAGAGGTAAATTAACGGCTCCGTTGATGGTGAGACTCGGATCCGAAGGATTCCACGGGCTTATGTCAGATTTCATGTTTCAAGACCTGGGGGGCAAAGCACTAGCAACTTATATGTTTTCTTCCCTGGGCCCACTCTATCTTCAGGTCTTTAAAATGCTGAACTTTGACAGGTGTATCCCATTGTCTGCCATTATTCCCCCAGCGAGGCTTTCTACGAATATATGGACGTCAGTTGGCACTCAAGATGAGGGCGTACCATTTGTAAATTGGGCCTTGCTTTCACATCGCCAAGTGGCCAATGATTCCGGAGTTGGCGACACATTTGGAGGCGTCACTCAAGGCACTTACAGGACTGTCACAGCTTCTATATACGATAACACGATCCTTCAAATGCCTGCGAAGCACCAAAACTACAGTTATACCCTCAAATACCAGAGGCCTCGACTAAGATGTGCTGATGTGACCAACCAAACATTCTTTGGCTAGTTGGATCTTCGAGCCAGAGAATGGGCATCGAGAATCAGAGGTGTTCAAACATGGTACAACGCTACTTCGCAAGATACGTCATTCGACATCCACTTTTGCACTTCGAAAAGGAACTTCACTTGTCAAACCTACACGAGTATTTTCTCTATTACCAATGGCGTCCAAAAGACCAATACATCGCATGCCAGCTTTGATGAGCGGCTGCATAAGGTTGCACCATCTGGACCCAGAGCAAGCACTGAATGTGGCTCACAAATTTATGGTGTCACAGCATTATGCAAGGATATCACAATAAGGAAAGTTCTCAAAAGATGCAAAAAGAGTGATAATAGTGGAATCTAACCACCGACGTTGGACGAACAGGGAATCGAACCCTGGACCACTCCCAGAGGTGTATCTTCCAGAGGATAGAACATGCTAAGGGAGTATTATACCACTAAACCATTCGCCCGGAATTGCTTTATGATTGGTTGGAGCTCAACGAGAAAATTTAGGTATATATCCTCCTCAACTTGAGACTTCTTTATTTTCCAGTTCGTTTTAATGCCACCGCTTCGAGCTCAGATCTCACTTAATTCGAGTAGACATTATGACGAAAGCAAATTCAAAATACCTATGAGTTGAGGGAGTTTACTGAAATTGACTTAAAATAGGGTAGCCTAACTAGGTGGGAAAAGCACTAGTTTGACATCAACATCAATCTCTCCCATGATTGTAATAGCAGCAGAAATTACATCTAAAATAAAAAAGGGTATTTAAAATGGAACTACCTTCTTAAAAGAAAAATAAAAGATTACAGGGATAGGCCCCGGCGGAACTGTTGGCGATTGAGAGATATTGCAACGGCTCGGGGTCAAGTCCGAGGCTGCGGGGTTCGGGTCCGACGAACTCCAGCTTGAGTCATCATGAATCTATTGCTGACATATAACTACTGTGGTTGAGATATGAAAGTTTAACTTCCCTACCAGTGGGTTTTACCTTTGCATTGAAAGTTCAATTGAAATTCAACATGGCGTCTCCTCAAATTGGTTGGATTGGTAGGTACATTTTCCGTTCACCACCTACCTTACATCAGAATACTGACTGGCAGGCCTGGGGTCGATGGGCCTCCCTATGGCAACAAATCTCCAGAAACACTTAACCTCAACCGGCGCCCCCAGCCTGATTTACTATAACCGAACTATCTCTCGCGGTGACTTTCTCAAGAGTCTTGGCGCTCAACCTGCGCCCTCAGCTAAAGACCTCGTGGGAAATTGCGATACCATCTTCCTGTCTCTCAGTGACGACTCAGCTCTCGAGTCAACCCTTGATATAATCATTGACACTGAGGACCCTGAACAGCTCGCCGGGAAAGTAATCGCGGATACTTCAACGGTTCACCCGGACTCTTCGGCCAAAGCTCAAACCCGTTTGAATGAGAAGGGCGCTCAGTTCATCGCCTCACCTGTCTTCGGAGCAAGTCCTGTTGCGGCGCAGGGAAAGCTGCTATGGATTGTTGCTGGACCTGACGACGCCGTCGAGAAGATTAATCCATATTTAGAGGGAGTCATGGGAAGAGGCGTGATTCGAGTTGGTGAAGATGTGAGACTATCGAGCAAGATGAAAACAGCAGGGTAGGTGCTCTCCCCCGAAATCCGAGCAGGGCTAATGACAAGATAGAAACTTCATCACAGCTGGTATGATGGAAGTCGTGGCAGAAGCCCACGTCCTAGCAGAAAAGTCTGGCCTAGGCAGCAAAAACCTCGAAGCTTTGATCCAGCAACAATACGGTCCTCTGGCACTTTCCATGTCTCAACGACTTACTACCGGAGCTTACATGCCAGCGAGAGGCGACCGGCCTTGGTCTGATCTAAACCTAGCAATTAAGGACGTTGGTCATGGAATTACTCTTGCTGAACAGTCTGGAGCGAGACTGGAGGTTGCTGAAGTGGCCATTAAGCATCTGAAGGAGGCGAAGCGGTTCTCTGAAGCTGAGGGAAGACCTCTTGATTCTTCTTCTATGTATGGGATACTGAGAAAAGAATCTGGGTTATCTTTTGAGACAGATCTAGTCAAAGAACGGGATGAGGAGAAGTAGAGAGTGAAACATGACTGATATCAGTCTTTTATCATTAATCTGTGCAACTAGTGCACGAAAACGCTATATCAATAATCCTGAAAGAGTGCTTCGCTTCGTATTTTTGCCATTCATACCATCATTTATATATTCGGTGTCACATTACTGCTTATAATGCAGCTTTGCCTCTAGACTCAAAAGGCATAATTAATACCAAGAGTCCAGCTGCTATGAATAATGCGCCACTTGTGTATACAGGGGCAGACGTTTCCAGGTTTGCAAAGATGGCAATGATTGGCTGTGAAAGTCAGTATTGGGTTGAGACAGATTTTGACGGTGAACTTACTGCCATGATACCAAAGATTCTGTTACAAGACGCACATAACGCATTACCGGTTCCTCTATGAGGTGTAGGGAACAGCTCTGGCGTGAATGAGTACAGAACCGCGTACATGATATTACTGAAGAAGTTGAAAGCGCATTGCCAGCCGAGTAAAGCATCGCTCGTCGTCGCAGTCGTGGAGCAGTAGAGAAAGACGCCGGTAAGTATGGTGCTGAGTGACAGCGTGCCCTTTCGTCCCAGTCGTGGTAATTCGACAAGCCATCCTCCCAGAAGAGCACCCGGCACACCAAGAACAGCAATGATAAGACTGTTTCGGTATGTGAGGTATGTACTTCCATCGCCAAAGTCGGCACCCTTAGTCGCTTGAATATACGGAATGAAGGCGTTATAGAGGGGATATCCAAGACCGATGAGTGCCCAAACTGCCATGATCAATCCTGTACTGAGGCCGAGTTTTCTTGTAACGAAGAGAGCCTTGATATGCGACAAGTCGACCTTCTCCAGATATCGCTTTAACGCGGCGCTGGTATCTGTCTGCGCAACATAACCCTCCGGTTCACAAGCCTTCAAATCCTCGAGACTGAGCGTTGACGTCTTCCCGTTCTTCTTGGCAACAGTATGCACAACTCTAACAGCCTCTTCATCGCGACCCTTACTCATGAGATACTTGGGTGACTCGTAGATCTTGAACAGAACAAAGCGCACAAGGAACATGAGAAGTGTTAGTCCACCAACCGTGATGGTAAAATATCGCCAGCCCATATTATCTTTTCGTCGACAGACCGTATCTTGCTCGCATGTGTAATTGCCCAAAAGTGGCCATGCGATGAGTGTACCGATGACTTGCGCAATAGCCCAGTCAATCGAGAGAATCGTGAGGAGGTATTGATGCGACGCTGGTAGAAACTCGAGAAAAATGGCCGAGTCAACTGGTAAATTTCCACCAACACCAAAAGACCATAAGGCGTCGAAAATGCCGATAGCTGCGAAATTGGGGGCGCTGGCTGAAATGAGGCCCCAAATTGCTGTAAGACCGAGAGTGATGTTGAATGCCCATTTTCGACCGACTAACAAAATTAATAAGCAGAAATCGAAGGGCGCAGGGCGGCGATGACTTACAAACATCGCAACCAAAACCCCAAAACATTGCACCGGCTAACAGACCAATGTTCTGCGCCAGCGTGAGATATGGCGGATTGCTTACGCGGAACTCATTGGCAACAGGTGTAAGAATAAGCGACGTGACGATTGGCCAGAGATTATCGCTCGCCCAACCAAAGCCTATGACGACGAAAAGCTCCCACTGATACCGCCCCATACCGAGATCTTGGATCTGACAATGTTAACGCCCACCCGATCAAATAAGATGAGGCCAAAACTTACAGCACGGTTCAGAATACGAGCTTTCGCCTCATAAACCGGATCAAGAGCCCCCTTGGGAATAATCGCTTCATCATCAGCAGCGTCGACAAGACTATTCCTCCTCCCATCATTATTAATCGCCCCGTAGGCTTTACGCTCCTCTTCCTTATCAGCCATGGTGTAGGAGGCAGAGTCGCGAGGTTGAGATTTCAAGAGACGACCAGCCTCTGAGTTTTCGGCTGGCGGCATGGTTATGTTATATTATACGAAAGGGTTCAGAGATCGTCAGTGGCTTGATATTGAGAAGGGAATAAAAAACAGGACAAGAAACTCCCCGGGGGTTGCGAAGTCGCGGGGTTTGATGGTGCAATTCAGGTGCTAATCCACTCTGGTCTTTGGGTGGGCGCGGGGGGCTCGCGTGCCATGTTCGGTGATCTACGGTTCTTGTGACAGGGGTTGCTGTGATGCCGCTTATTCTATGGCGTCACTTGTTGGAGTCATCGATTTGATGAGAGTAAGCATCGTAAGGTCTCTTCAGAACCTTCGAACGACAGCAAGGGAAATGGCAACAATTAAAGGGATATAGACGAAGACTAGAGAGCATCTAATATCTTGATCGTCCTTCGGATCCCGAGGTTCGTGGCTGTGTTGATCTTTCAGTGCAGATCGGTTGATCCGTCACACTAAACACTGTCCTCCAAGGCCGGATTCCCCGACCCGTTAAAGCCACTGAAAGTATCCAAGTTATCGAGATGGCCTTCCACACGAAGAAATGCCTACAGATTACAAGATTTTAGAAAGATATCACATTGGATCCGCTATGATAGGTTCGCCTTGTTATTGACGTAACCCCAGCTTTTCAGCCGCGGCACATCCTGGTCAATTTTCATGTTAAGCATGACCACTAACGTGGGGTTTGTGATGGCTGATGAGGACACGAGAACATGAACGGGTTTAGTCACGGAAAATATACATCAACTTGGAGATATTTTGAGTTTCTACTTGTGCTACTCTCATCTTGTTAATGGCCTTCTCTCTTCTGTCTTTTATTCAGCCATTACATCGCGATTGATCTTCAACTTATGCTGGATTGATCGCCCGGATGAGCTCCGATGACCCCCACGCATCAGCACATCCTCCCCGCTCAAGAACAACACTTGCAGGAACAGTTCCCATTCAATAACCGGTCAGAAGAACCCGAGTCCCATAATTCATCAATTGTTCGTCAATATCGTCCGAGGACCTCCCCATCATTTGTCAGCAACTGTGCCTGAAAGAACCTCTCCAATGATGGCCTGCAGCTTTTAGGATAAGACAACTAATAGGTGCAAGAGAAAGCGATTTTTATTACATGATTTCACTCAGAGTTCAAGGGAGAGTTTGGCCATAATATGTTATCGCAGAGCTTCTACCGTGGTAAGCCTTTTTGACCAGGTCAGCATAATTGTAGTAGTACAATCGATATAAAATTATTCTCTTATCAATCACTATGTCAAAGTCAGGCTTAAGCGTTTCAACTCCTGTCAAGAGTGATTTGGCACATTTAGGCGCCACCGTGAGATCCAAAAAAAAAAAAAAAAGAAAATAAATAAAAATAGATATGCGTTGAATTTACCTCGTCCAATTGCTGGCTTTGTTTCAAAGCCCTTGCTGACATCTGAATTCCCAATTGGTAGTGCTCTGTATGAAGTCAGCTGAATCTCGAGCGGCTGAGCCCAGCCTGATCAGGCTCCCTCATGTCAGCACAGAACATGAACAAGCTCCCTCAATCAACTCATCAGGCCAATGCCTAGTATGCCTCCAGCTACGCCCCGTCGTCCGAAGAGTCGCGATGATTTCGAGATCGCCATCATATGTGCCCTGACGCTTGAGGCCGACGCCGTGATTGCCTCTTTTGATCACCACTGGGATGAAGACAACGGTCCGTCCTTTGGAAAAGCGCGGGGCGACCCAAACTCGTACTCAACGGGCGTCATCGGAAGTCACAATGTGGTGTTAGCGCACCTTCCTGGCATGGGAAAGGTCGCAGCAGGAAACATCGCCGCCTTCTGTCGCATGAGTTTCCCCAACATCATCCTTGCACTCGTCGTTGGAATCTGTGGAGGCGCGCCTTCGTATGAAGACACGCCAATATTTCTTGGCGATGTCATTATCAGCACTGGTGTCGTGCAGTATGATTTTGGCCGTCGATTCCCAGACAAGTTTGAGATGAAGGACACTTTGAGCGAGAGCTTAGGAAGACCTAACTTAGAGATAAGAAGTCTCCTAGCAAAACTCACCACAGCACGGCAAAGGCAAAAGATGACGAGGGCTAGTCGTGATTTCGTCGGTCGCGTACCTGACACATATCCTGGACGTTCAAGGGATATCCTATTCCCTGCAGGCTATCGTCACAAGCACCAAGACTCACGAGAATGCACTGTCTGTGCCTCTTGCTGCACAGATGCTGACACCGTCTGTTCAAAGGCACTGAAAGCGAGCTGCGAAGAGCTTGGATGCGACATCAAGCAAGCCGTACGTCAGATCCCAAGTAACAAGGACGAAAGGGAACCAAGTTTGATGATACACTTTGGAACATTCGCCTCTGGAGACACTGTGATGAAGTCTGGGAAGGACCGGGACCAGCTCATACGAGAGAAAAATGTGATAGGTTTCGAGATGGAGAGCGTTGGAGTCTGGGAGGTCTTCCCTTGCATCGTAATCAAGAGTGTTTGCGATTACGCCGATAGCCACAAGAACAAGGACTGGCAAGACTACAGTGCCTTATGTGCCGCAGCTTGTACCAAAGCATTTCTTGGATACTGGAACTCCACAAAGCAGTAAGTACACTCTGTATTACCATTAGTCACCATGCTGAAGTATGGTTTTAGAATTATTGATGCCAAAGCTGAGGAAGAGGAACTTCGAGAGCGTATTCTGAAAAGTCTTCACTTTCCAGAGATGAATGAAAGGAGATCAATTGTCGCCTCAGAGGCCCCTTCCACACTGGAGTGGATATTTGGTGGCTCTCGCCCTCAGACCTTTGACTCCACGTCATCAGACGATGGAAGATCGGACAACGACTCGACAGAAGCAGCGGATGGGTCGACAGAGCAGGACTCGGATTCCGAAGAATACAGCGACGAAGCTGGCGACTCTTACGACTATTATGAAAAGCGTCCTCGCGTTCCCAAACATCTGAACGTAGAAAACCGTTCGCATGAACATGAAACTTTAGAGCCGTCTCTCACAGAAAAGCACGGGGGCAACTTCAAGACATGGCTCACATCTGACCAGCTGATTTACTGGATAAGTGGAAAGCCAGGATCCGGGAAAAGCACCCTAATGAAGTTTCTTCTGAGCGACCCCAGAACACTCGCAGCCTTGAATAAATGGCATGAGGACGTGTTCATTGTGTCTCACTTCTTTTGGAAGCCAGGCAGCTCTATGCAAAAGTCTTTCAAGGGGCTTATATGCTCTATCGCTTACCAGCTTTTATCACACGACCCCAGTCTCGTTGGTCTTTTCAACGAGACAATTGCCACCTTCCGTAAATCGTCACCGTCAGACTGGGATCAAGACCAACTTTGCAAATTACTCTACAGCTACCGATACCGGGCTTCTCGGGCAATCTGTATTTTTGTTGATGCTTTGGATGAAGCGTGCCCGGGGCAAGATACCTTTGACACTCTCCAGTTCATCAAAAGTATGGGTACTCCCAAGATCAAGATCTGCGTCTCAAGTCGTCCAGAGCCCCTGTTTAAACTTCAGTTTTCAGGATGCCCATATCTCCAAATGCACGAGTTGACAAGGCTCGATATATTTGAATACTCCAAAACTACCTTGCGTCAGTCAACAGTTCTAGAGTCTCAGAGACTAGATTTGTCCGAGTTAGCTTGGCAGGTTGCGGAGCTGGCTGAAGGAATCTTCCTATGGGCTGTACTCGTCACCCAATCGTTAGTTCGGGGACTAAACAATGGAGATTCTGAGAAGGAGATCGAACAACGCCTGAGTGACATGCCAAAAGACCTTGTGGGCTTGTATGGGGACATTCTGAGACGTTCGGCTGAAGATCTCCTTATCTACCGAAAATATGTATCTTTGGCTATCAATCTGATGCGTATCGCGTCTACCAGGAAATCTCCATTCTCGAAAGTGACAGCTTTCGAGTGTATGATAGTCATGGAGCCGGAATTGCTAGAAAGCTATGCTGTCCTGGGCAACCGAGTTTCAAAGGCCGAGCTGGACGCAAAGACGGAAGTAATGAGGAAGCGTCTGAACTCTGGCTGTCCTGGGCTTCTGGAGGTTACATCCTTGAGCGGTTCAGTTGAATTTACTCATAGATCCGCCGAAGAATTCGTCTTTGAGACTGAAGAAGGCAAGCACCTCTGGTTACCTTGTGACGTTCCTCAAGAAAAGCTTTTGTGCCGGAGTTTCAAAGCCATACTGGCTACAAACCGATATATACCGAGCTGGAACTCTGAGGACTTTCTAAATATGCTATGGCAATGGGACCAATCGCAAGCGTTCACTGTTGTAATTTACGACTACTTCCTCGAGCTTACGCTCGAAAGCTACAAGAAGGGATTTATATCTTCCCCACCAGCGAACGAATGTAGTGTACTTTACCCAAAAGACTTTGGGGGACGTTTCATGTCAAGTGCATTCCGCTGTGGCCATGGTTCATTTGCGTTGAGGAGTACAAAGACTCTTGAGCCTTGTGCCTCACACGACACGATTCGTTGTATCCTCGACCAGCTATGCCATGAGCATTTATTTAAAAAGCGAAACCTGGGGACCCTGAGAGCTATGGAATACATATTATACATCTTTGAGCAGGGGTACAGCCCAAACTGGACCATGCCCAGGTCGAATATGAATCATGCCATTGGTAGCCTCTGGCTCAAATCTCTGATATCGACTCTCAAATGGATAATGAGATGGTGGGACCACGTCTGGGATAAATCCAGATTGATTCCTGCTGTCATGGAAATTTTTCAAACCTTCCGTCGAGCGGGCGCTCATATGGCAGTAAACTTCCCTATGTATTTAGAAACGGACACACCACGGGATCGTATCAACACATTCTTCCGTCCAGCAGATGCCATCGCTCCAGGATCTGGTCATAGTCTCCTTGGGCGAGCTAGGTTCATGATAATTGAGATAGACACGACAACACTGATGGATTATATCATGAGCTGGGTACACCAAGACACCATGATTGTGGGAACACCTGGGGATCCTGGCCCAGCGGCCTATCTGAAAGTGCTTGCATTCAGCAGTCCGACGAGCAGACGTCTTTACCTGGTTGAGTCTGAGTGGGTCTCGGCTCGGCTTGCAGAAACTGCTGAACAAGCATTAATGTTCCGTGAGCCTCGTTCTATCAGCCCAGAAGATACGCTCAAGAAGATACTGGACAGGTGCGATAGGGATATGGCAGAGTTGAGATCCTACTGCCGTCCAACAACGAAGGATTATTTCTGGAAGGGGTATCGAATATGGGCACCACCAGTCTAGCCTAGATATCGATCTCGAGAAACAAGCAATGTATCACTTTGACCGAGTTCTTGACGGGGCGTATCAGTTGAGACGCATCATACTTTACCATTAGACTTGTTACCTATCTTTAGTTTCATTCGAGGTCAGACAACAGCTGTAGGTGTGTCACCTTCACTCCTAACAATCCTTCATCACCAATGTCTTTGTACACGCCTGCTCCAAGCTATAATAAATAATCCCATCGGCTCTCTCGGTTCCTCACTATTCACACTCAGCTTCATGATATTCCACACCTTCGACCTGGTATTCTGCGCACTCTGGAACCAATAATTATAACTACAGTAGAATCCATCAAGCCATGCATCCTTATCAACATTAAAATCATCTCGAGTTAGGGGAGAAGACGGGCCTCACGTAAGACCTCCCAGAGTTCAGCAGCATGATCAGAACCATAACCATATTCATGATGATCTCCATGCCGCTTTAGACTTGTCGGTTTCTTTCTATGCACATTCTAACTGCTTGACATCGTCCTTATACAATAGTCCTTTAAAGAAATCTCTCTATAAGGAGGAAAGTGATTGTTGGGCGTTAAGTTTGACTCTTAGAGCTTGGACAACAGAGAGGTATCATTTTGCTGTTCTTCCTTGACATAAGCACCGCCTCTCCCGCCCATGTATTCCTTAGAAGTGCTTGCTCCTTGACTACCGTTTGCGGTTGAGTAGGGATATTTAAGAAGAGAAAGAAAACCCAGACTCATTCTTGTGAAGATAGATAAGTTAAAAAAAATCTTGGGAAAACCGTGCAAAGCTCTAGTCAATAGTTTCGTCGCTGTGGGGAGCGCTTGTCTCGCAGGCTAGTAGAGGCGAGTTACGGGACAAATACAAGAATTAGATATACCTATATTAGAAAGTATCTTGTGAGAGGAGAGCTCAAACGCAAGAGGTCGAAGTCACATCGTGGTTCCTCAGTACTGTCACTATGCCTTATAGAATTTCAAGTTGAAAATGCATGATGTATCACTCTCTTGTGGTGTAATGTCTAAATAGTGAGCTAGATGTGTTATTTGCAATTGGTGCTTTGAATCGCCACATAGAACTTAGCATCACGCTCTTTTGCTCGAAACAAGTTTCAAATGAGGTTTCAAATACTTCAACGTGATCAGTTATGTATTATGATATATGCCCCATTGCCCTCAAGTTTGTTGACACTCCTCGGTACATCTAAGCTCAAATGTCTCGAGATATATCCTAGGCATCACATCGCCGCTCCATGTCTCCTTTCCCATACGTATCCAGTGATCAAACTTTGCTGAAAATATATTCCATTCATCTGGTTTCTTTGCAACCAATTGAATCTCTTGCATAGAGCGTATCTCTCTTACGACCTCCCCATAAGCAGCTGAAGACTTGGACAGGATGAGCTTTCTATCTTCAGAAATTATGCCTTTCCAATTGGCGCAAACTCTGCTATAGGTATATGCTCTGTCCCGTGGCCCAACAAAGCAGTCCTGCTTGGGTGGTGAGGGACAATATGGTACTTCCTGCCCAGTGATTATGAAATCTTCAGGAAGAGCATCATCGCAGAACTTTATACCCAGGACGTGAGTTCTACTTCCTGGAACTAGGCCAACGATAGCTATTTCATCTTTCCCACTGTATAACGGTAAGAGGAGCGTACTAGGTTCTGGTGTTTGCCGAGATGGTCCAGCATCAGTGAACCAGTCATCACGGAGCTTCCATGTGTACAAGATTGCTGAATCCTGTACGCGTCGTAACGCGCTGATCGTTTGGCCCACGCGCGAGAGTGTAAAAAGACTTTGGTCGACTTCACCACTCCGGCAAAGATACAAGCTTTTGATTCCGATCATTGGTTTTCCTTGAAGGGTAGTTGATTTAGTCACCTTGATAACGCAAGGTTCTGCCTTGACAGTGGGCAGGACGAATAATGCGCAATCCTTTGATAACGACAGAATGCAGGCAGGCAACAAAGGATCTGCACAACGCATAAGTGTCGTCCATTCACCTGTTCGTCTATCAAAGAGCATCCAAGTCGTCATCCCTAGGGCAACTCTTGTCCTCGCAAGAAGAAGCGACGCATCGGTTGTAAGAATTTCGACTTTCAGGGTTTTCATGATGAACAGTCGTAATGGAAGATCTGCAAGGCTAGACAGGGGCGGTTTGGGATCCACATCTTTCACCTCTCCAGAATCAATATCGATGATCAAATATCGTTTGTCTCTCCATAGAAGCTTGGTTCCATCGGGTGATAGTGTACATCCACCAAACCCTTTAGATAAGGGGCTCAATTTAGGTGGTAAATATAGGCGATGACGGGTCGTGACGTAGGAAAGTCTTGATGATCGTCCAATCCAGATGACGCTCTCTGGGTCCCTGCTGAGCTTTCTGTGGGATCCCTGAGAGGAGTCTTGTCATTTATTGCTCCTGAAATAGTGTCTGATATCAGCGGAATGGAGGATGTAGGTTGTGTTTGATTGTTGTTCGTCTCCTCGAGGCTAGGAGATGTGTCTTCCGATACACCGAGGGAAACCATATCTATAAATACATTTCTTCTCTTTCTCAGCTTTGATATCTCATCGTTGATTAAGGTGAACTTACTCGCTGGTGCTTGAATCGGGCGTTGCTGGTAGTGAGGACATATCACATACTGAACCAGCAACAGAGGATATATCATGCAGTTATCGCATTAACATATATGTCCGTGGATCGTTTGGGTCTTTTTCTGCCACCATTTCTTCGAGATTTCTAATTTTTGCGACCAGGTGATGAATATCGCCTCTCATTTGTGTTGTGTCGTCCAGAATGTTGGACGTGTCCTGCTTGATATGCTGAGCCGTTGCTCTATACCGAGTCAGTAACTCAACACGACAGGATGTGAGTAACTTACAGTGCGATTGTATCAACAGCGAGACTAAGGGCCCGCCGGTTTGTTTCCAAAAGCATTTTGGACGTCGCGACTTTTCGCTTGCCCTTAGTGGCCCAACTCAATGCTGTCAGCTTTCCTTCATAGCTTGACAACACATCGTTTACATCATTCGCAACGGTCAAACAGCTTGAAATAATCTCACGAATGTCTCTCTTGGTGTTATTGGTCAAGTCGCTGTCGGCGAAGTTGCTGCCATCGGGCACGAGATCCTTCAGCTGCGTGAGAGTTCTTGTCAAGGTGGTAAGCTCTTGGCTCACGGAAGCCAAATCGCTTTTTGCTTCTTTGCAATCTCTCACAAACTGTGATATAACTTTGTAGGTCTGATCGACTGCTTGGATAACAGCAATGCAAGATGCGGCAACCGACAGGCAGCCCATGGCGGTTTTGGTGCTAATGAATGCCGCTCAATTGCTCTGGTCTCTGAACTGGGAACGAAGAGAATGAGAGGAGGAAATGAGTGAGCTACCGGGGGCGGGGAGTCATCAGAATCAAGTGATAACAAATCGGGCTATGGAATGAGACATCTGGAAGCCACCAATTAAGCTGATGCACCTTGCTGTACGCCTAGTGAGGCGTTGCTGAATGCACGCCTATGCCATTCTTTCAACCTTCTCACAAGTATTGTTTATCAATCGTTGTGTCAGTTATTGGATAGAATATGCCCGATAGGTTATTATCAAATCCAAACCATCGGACAAAACTCCGGGGATAACGGGTTCCCAGAAATGGCAGGTCTGCTATTTTTATTCATGCGCAGGGTTTCTTGCATATATGACTGTTCTTCCAGCCCAAAATTCTCCATTTAGTGGTCGATTCTTGGGCTTCCCCGGATTTCTATGCATGGACGTGTTTCAGTGAGCGGATTATGCATATCGATGGCCTGCAATCACTTGATTAACCTTGAATAATCTCCGAGCCACATCTAGGATAACATTTCGACAACTACTTTTGCTCAAGTATTTAATAAGAAAGAAAATATGCGCCAATCAAACTACAGCTGACATCTGAAAACGTGTTACGAGTAATTTAGTTGGATACAGAACCTCAAGGTTCTCGGATATAGGATATAAATACCATCACAGCCCCTCACTCAGTCGAAGATCTTTAGCGGGTTCTCCTCTCACTCACCACCACCAAAATCACCGCCGAGACAGGATCAACCTACCAGCTCTCGATGCAACACAGTGCATCTCCTCTTTCACTTCGGGCATTATCCCATCCGGTCATTACCCCTCTCCAAATCCCACCACCAAGAACCATAAACCGGAATTACGGAAAACGGCAGATCAAAACGGACAAGAATGACTTTAGATCGCGGCCATTCAGCCCTTTTCTTATTAGGACGGTCCCCCGCCCCACGATGGGAAGCCCCGCAAACGCCCCTCCTCCTAAGATTACTCTACTCGAGATCATTTAAGAAGCGTTTCTCAAGACCAATTCACTCTTGCAAGCTTGTTTGAACTTTATACGTAATATTCAACAATATGGCACCCACTCTTAAACCTTTCCGCGCTGAGCATATGGGCTCTTTGCTCCGACCTCAAGCTCTTCTTGACGTCAGAGAGCAGATCCGTGAGAAGGGTCTTAGCCCCGAAAACGCCGGCCTTGAGACGGTGGAGAACGATGCTGTTAAGGACGTTGTCAAGATGCAGCAGGATCTAGGCTTCAAGGCCGTTACCAGCGGAGAGTTCACTCGTACTCGCTTCTGGGGTCTCATGTGGGACGAATTCGAGGGCACGACTCAGCTCTCTGACGCTGATGCTTCCATGTTCCGTCTTTACCACCCTGACGTGGTCAGCTTGATCGAGACTGATCGCCAGGTCATGCCTGGAGAGTCAGTCATTGCTGGTGGAAAGCTCTCCCACAGCCCTGAGAAGTCTGTCTCGAACCTCCATGAGCTGAAGCTCGTTCAGAGGTTTGTGCCAAAGGAGGAATGGGGCTCCATCAAGCTTACTATGATTACTCCTGCCTGGTTCCATATGCGTTATAAGCAAGGCAAGGCGTATACTCCCGAGGCGTACAAGAACGACGAGGAGTACTTCCAGGACGTTGCCAAGGTCTACCAGGATGAGCTTGATCAGCTTTACAAGGCTGGTCTGCGAAATGTTCAGTTCGACGACCCTGGCATGGCTTGTGAGTTGACCATTTTGAATAATGATGACGAAAGCTGACACCGTGTAGACTTTTGCAGCCAGAAGTTCCGTGATGGCTGGGCTGCTGACTCTGATAACATTGGCACCGTCGATGATCTCCTAGATGCTTACATCAAGCTCTACAACGATAGTCTTTCCAAGATCCCTTCAGACATGCACACAGGAATTCATCTCTGCCGCGGCAACTTCATCGGCGGCCGTCACTTTGCCGAAGGTAAATACGACATCATCGCCGAGAAGCTTTTCCGCAACCTCAACGTCAACACATTCTACCTTGAGTACGACACCGAACGTGCCGGTGGTTTCGAACCTCTTCAGTACCTGCCCAAGGACAAGAATGTTGTGGTTGGTGTTATTAGTACCAAGTTGCCTCAGTTGGAGGATAAGGAGGAGATGAAGAAGCGTGTGTTGAGTGCAGCGGATTGGGTGGCCAAGGGAACTGGTGAGAGCCAGAAGGAGGCGCTGCAGAGGATTGCTGTCAGTCCTCAGTGTGGATTCAGTACTCATGAGAGCGGATATCCCCTCAATCTTGAGGAAGAGAAGAAGAAGCTTGCGTTGGTTAGAGAGATCGCCGACGAGATCTGGGGCGAGGCTTAAGCATTATAGAGTAAATACTAAAGTGGCGTAAAGTCAGGCATTGTGCAAAGCATTTCAGCGCAGCACAGATTCAAGATTACATAGAGAATTCTAGTGATATGAAAAAGCGGGAGTGTTGTTTTGGGCCTTGGAAAGGACCAGAGTATATATACTCTCAACGGCTCTCTGCAATCACAGTTCCTCACTACAGCCGGCTATTCTTCCGTAGTATAGTGGTCAGTATGCCAGCTTGTCACGCTTGAGACCCGGGTTTAATTCTCGGTGGGAGAGATCCGCCACATGTTCTAAACGTGAGATCCATCTTTTTGCAGTTTTTGCTTCTGGTGTTTTATCTCTTTGCTTCCCTCTTATGCTTTTGCGGATGTTCTGGTGTAGTGGTATAACTTCATTTCTATCTATAGTCGCTACTCAAGCTCCTCTGTGCTAATCTCTGAAAAGTCTGCTGGATCCAACACGGGCTGGTTCTTGCCATAGGAATAGATTCCAAACATGGTACCTGCAAAACATCCTCCGTGGGGCGGCATCACTGTCAAAGCACTGGCGTCGACAGTATATACCTCTGACTCCTTTCCTCCAGCCTTAAGAGAAAGCTCGTACTTGGTCGGGTATGCTCGGATTGAAAACTTAACGTTCTGGAGGCTGTCTCCAAAATCCGTCTCTAAAGTCTAGTAGGAATATTAGCTTATGCTTATGAATATGGCTCTTGACTTACTTTGAACTCGTTGGTCTTTTCAGCGGCTCCTTTATAGCTAATCTTTGTTTTAATCTTTCCATCGTCATGTTGTGAAGCTTTAACTCCCAATGAAGCATAAGAGTGCTGGCTCCACCATAGAACAGCACCAGCTTCGTAGCCTCGAACTGTAGGCTTGAACTCCATTTTTACTTTGAATGTCTGGTTATACGAAGTCTGTTTCCTCAAAAGCATGGCTGGAGCCTCGGGGCTGGTCAAATCGTAGCAGTTACCGTAGATTCTTAGCACACTCGGCTTTTCTGTAAGAGTGTAACTTTGCTTGATGGGTGTATCTTGGATATGTCAGATGGATTCTCAATTGTTTGAAGAGAGAACTTACTCTTTTGGTACCATCCCAACTCCAGGTCATCTTTTGAAAGATCGGCCTTCCATGTCTGAAGGCTTGGCTTCGAAGCTGACTTGATAAGATCTCTTCCTGTAGTCTTCAGTGTGATGTTGTTACCATCGTTGAAGATGGGCCAGTCGTCCTTCCACTCAACCTTGACGAGAAAGGTTTCTCGCCCTATCGAAGTTAGATTATTCCAATTCCAAGGAGAGATGATTAAATAATACCTAATTGCGGTTCCAAAAAGGTCCCCTGGTGTTGCACCGGTCGAACACCCAGCAAGACAGACCACCAATCCCCGTTACCATCCTCAAAAACATCAACATGTCCCGTTCTCTGAACTTCTTCATCAGGTCCATTGTACCAAAGAGGCTTTCCCCGGCTCTCCCATGGACCTAATGGGCCATCTTTGCTTCGAAACACCCACTCTTGATGACCGGCTTCTGTGCCTCCTTCAGCAGTCAAGAGATAATACCAGTCACCTCGCTTGAAGATATGAGAGCCCTCGGCAATTCCATGGGGAGATTTTCGGATCACTTTCGGGGCTGTGAGGGTTCTTCCAGTAGAGATGTCGATCTCGGAGATGTGAATTCCAAAATCTTTCTGCTTCGAATTTGGGTCTCGCCAGGCAAAGCGCATTGTAGTTGAGAGATAGACCTTCCCATCGTCGTCCCAGAACAACTGGTCCTGTCAGCATTACAGTGAGAACAGTGCTGTAATTTACATACATCTTGGTCAAAACCAGGGTTGTCAAAGTATACTGGGTCAGACCATGCATTGTCGTCCCAGATATTGTCGGTCCAGACATAGAATCCTCTAGGAAAGATACGTTCCTGTTCATAGTTATCAAAGGCTGATCCTATTTTCTCTCTTCGTCTTGATGGCTTACATCAACAGTTGGTCGGTAGCGGTGGAAGACACCATTGGCCAAATACCATCTCCTCTCCTCAGGTCGATATCTCAAAGTACTGGCCCAACTACCCGCACCGGGCTCAACGGTACGCATGTCAATCTGACTTCGACGATTGAGCGCATGGCCGATGAGTGTCCAGTCAATTAGGTTGGTTGACGTGTAAATGGCGCATCCGGGGAAGAACTCAAATGTCGAAGTACTAAGGAAAAACGTCGTTGGGGTTGAGTCCGTAGCGGGAACTACGCAGATGGTAGGATCCGGGTTGAAGCCCCGAATGACCGGGTTTGTAAACGTGAGACTTGATTCTTCAGCCATTATGCTTTTGTTGACAATGATAAAGTAAAGATAGCTATCGTCATCAAGATTCGCAGGGTTGTTGGTTAATGGTATTTATATAAATCTCTCGAGTCGGTTCAGCCATACCGAGATGCTAAGCAGATCCGGGCTATGTTCCACCAAGCTAGTAATTTTCCATGAATCAGCGTCTGTGAAACATCCCCCAAACTTGACATTCGATCTTGCGGGGTCATTCTTCAACCCCCAAACATGCCGCTTGTAGGACTAAAACTCGTTGTTTGTCCAATCATTAAACGAAACCATTACTTTGGCTTACATTATTCATATTATCCTTCGAACTACTGTTTAGAATGAAACTTAGTTGTTCCATTTAGGCTAAAAGTTATCTTTAGTATTATTCAACGACTTAGATGCCTCTTCTATGACTTATTGCCTACTAAAGGGCCGACTCTGGCATTTGAAATTGATAAGACTTCTCATTTACACGAGTTTACATAGGCTCTTTATTATATATGGCCTGTTAAGCCCAATATGTTGTTAACTAGTGAAGCTCATGTTCTTCAACAAATCGTCTTCTCCCCTAATCAAGACTCACAAAATGGCACCCAAGTAGTATTGGTTAGTCCAAGCAATCGTCAGGCCAGATCTTAATTTTAGTTCCCATACAACCTATAATGATAAACAGCAGAAACTGAAATCTGACAGGGCTGAATGTTTGTGTGGTGCGCAGTCAAGCTCTGAGTTCAGTAGCTGATGGTGATTCGAGTGCCTTCCGCAGTGACTAAGGACTCCAGAAGCAATTCGAGATGCAAGTAGGAAGCTCTTCAAATGTAAGTATATGAAGAGAAAAAACGAATCTTCAGTGAATAGTTCCCTCGTGCTGGATATATATGTGACTCCAATAAACCCTGATAGGAATGCTCAACCAACATATCGCCGGTGACCAACTCATTGGCAACTAAATATGCAACCATGCCTTTCCCTCAATTTTATCAAGTAAACATGTTCTATACTATAGATAGGAAGATACAAAATATATAACGCTGTGAATAGATTTCACGCCTAAGTTCGATTTAGGAGGCGTTTATATGTCCCCTGCTTTTTGTGTCATTAAGACTTCACACCCTTGACGATGATGCAGATTGAACGATAACTACAGAAATAACACTGCATCGGAGTTTACATACCAGTCACTAGGGTTTTGTTGATTGGGAAGAAGATAGAGGCGCTCAAAAACTGCTGTAATGGGAATGGGAATTGTTCAACCCTAATTTGCGAGCTTACGGCGTAGTATGACACGTCAACAACACAAACATGATTTAAATAGGGATATCAGAATTCTTTGAAGGATCATTGGTTTGGAAATTGTCATATGTCTTTCCGATGGGCCGACGAAACAGCGGGTAAATCCGTGTTAGGAAGTCAAGTAACATGCAGTTTGCCGAGGACAGGGGACGACCAACATATAAAGTGGTCAAAGATCCTGATATGATTCTTGACAAAGTCCACAAAACAAACCCCCTCTTCTGTTCTTCGATATGGCTCAACCGCAACAAGTCGATCCGGCAGCCATCGTTCCCGACAATACGGTAAGCGTAGATCACCTGAACACGGAGGCGTACCTGACTATCGCTAGATTGAAGATACTGACTCCTCCCTTGGTGAGGTCTGTGATATCTCTGGCGATGCAACTATGTTCTCACTTGGACTCACCCTTTGTAGGATCTCCAGTCCTCTACCGCAAGCGTCTCAAGCTCAATCCTGAATTATCGCCGCGAGAACGGTAGGACCTATCATGCCTACAAAGATGGAAGTAAGACTCCTGAATCTCAAAGTTGAAACTCAGATGCTAACTACCCAAACAAGAATATGCTTTGCCAAATGATGAGGCTGAAAATGAGAGACTTGGTACGATAGCTACCCTCAAAGAGGGGGTCACAGATGCTAATCACCAAAGACCTTCAACATAACCTGTTTCTCCTCACCTTTGATGATAAGCTCGGCCTAGCCCCGCCAAACAAACCTGATGCCAAGGTCAAGCATGTTCTAGATATCGGGACAGGTACTGGCATCTGGGCTATCGATTATGCGGACGAGCACCCTGAAGCTCAGGTAATTATGCCCTCTCAAGCCGACTGACAGTCAGCTAACGCAATCTCTTCAGGTCATTGGGGTTGATCTATCGCCAATTCAACCAGACTTGTATGGCTGGGTATGAGACTGAGAGAGCATTTTGCTAATGAGGATAGCGTCCCGCCGAACGTGAACTTTGTTATCGATGATATCGAGGATGAATGGACTTATAGCCAGCCATTTGACTATATCCATAGTCGTGTCATGACATCTTGCATCGCAGACTGGGGCGACTATCTGACCAAGTGTTTCAGGTACGAATCGGTTAGGATATTCAGGTTCCACGCTTACATGTCCAGCAACCTTGTCCCTGGTGGCTATCTCGAAATCCAAGAAGTTGACATAAACATCAAATCCGATGACGGAAGCCTCAGCCCAGATAACATCATGCTCAAGTCTCTGGCCCTGTTGAATGAAGCGTCTGTCATGTTTGGCCGACCATACCTGGATATCCTATCTCTCGTGGACATCATGAAAAACATCGGCTTTGAAGATGTTGTTGTTGAGAAGTTCAAGTGGCCCATCAACTCTTGGCCCCGAGATAAGAAGGCCAAGTTGCTTGGAAGTTGGTGCTATACTAATATGGCTTGCGGTCTTGAGGCCTTCACTATGGCACCGTTGACTCGTGCTCACGGATGGACACCTGAGGAAGTCAATCTCTGGCTGGTCCATCAACGGAAGGCGATGGCTGATAGGAATACTCATGCTTATTGGCCGCTGTAAGTTAATTTTACACCATCATTAAGAGGACATATCTGACTAGAGGCTAGCTATTCTATCTATGGAAGGAAACCATATAAGGAGGACTGATCGATGTTGCTGGCTATTGCTAAGCCTACAGGCTGGCCCAGCTTCTGATATTAAATAAGGGTGTTAAAATAAAATGGTCTAAAGGTTTACTAGCATATACTGAACTCACCTAAGTCTTTTGGTCATTTAGGATAGAGATCCTCAGTTTTTCTTGCCTCCCCTAGGCTGGATAGAATGGTTTCCATCAACTGTATAAGTCGGCTTTAGCCAGGTAGTGTTAGCGCTGGGCGGAATTCCGCCTGGTGGGGCTGCAATGGGGATAAAGTCAACCAAATCGAGACATTCTCATCCATAGAAACATTCACTTACACACATCAATCTCACTAAACCCATACAATGTCCGCCACCCAACTTACAAAAGTTGCCATCTTTGGCGTAAGAAACTCACGTTATGAATACTTCATCCACTAACACAGCTAGGCCTCTGGCAACTTCGGCACCCCCATCACTGTCGCTCTCACCAAAGCGGGCTTCAACATTACCATCATCACCCGAAATGAATCCAAGTCCACATTTCCGGATGGCATCCCTGTAATCAGAATAGACTATACTCTAGATGCACTCACCCAAGCGCTGTCTGGTCAAGACGCGGTTGTATGCGTTGTCGGTCCAGCAGGCATCACTCTACAAGCCACGATGATTGACGCTGCTCTCGCCGCTGGTGTCAAACGCTTTATCGTTGACGACTACGGCTGGGGCCCTGAGTTCAGAAGTTACCCTGAATTTGAAGGAGTGCGCGCCCAACGAACTGTTGGTGTCGATCGCGCAAAAGAACATGCTGCTGCGAACCCCAACTTCACTTGGACCAGTATCGCGACTGGCAATCCCATTGACTGGGCGCTAAAGCGGTTCCCTACCATGGGGTTCGACATCAAAAATCACACTGCAATCATCTATGATAGGGGCGAAGAGTACTTCACTGGAACCACTCTTGAAGGCATAGGTCAGTCGGTAGTTGGAGTCCTTCAGCACCCAGAAGAAACAGCGAATCACCACGTCAAAGTGCTCTCCATCAAAACATGTCAAAACGAGCTACTGGAAGCTTTTCAGGAGGGAACAGGAAGTGAATGGGATATACAGAGACGAGCAAGCCGTGAGCTTATAGATGGAGCGCGAAAGAAGCGTGACAATGGCGAAGGTGGTTGGATCCTTGACTTAGCTGTCGCTCAGTTGTATGAGGCAGCTGAGGCAGGGAAAGCTCGCTGTGTTGTTGCGCCATCGTGGGAGGAGTCGGATTCTGTGTTACTTGGGGTTACTAAAGAAACACCTAAAAGCATTATCGCTTCCGTTCTGGGCGGTATTTGATCGATAGTTGTGTGTTCTCGAATATCACTATTACATTTATTATTGACCATAAATATAACTCTAATTCACTTTGCCAATACATCTCTTGAGATGCAGATCACTCCCGCTGGCTGCCTGTTTATGCCCCGCCAAGATCACCCTAAAGTCCCACATATCTTTAGAAGAGTTTTAGGGCACAACCACCAAAATACCCCGCGAAATCCCATCTGCTTGCGTAGCTACTGTGTCTTTCCCATTAGAAACATTGCAAGTTCATTCGATTGCAAGCACAGAACACCCTTCACTAGGGCCCAGTCGCTGCTCTACTCTCATATCACGACTGAATTAAAGACTTCATATAAGATCAGTAAGAAACCACATCCTCTTAAATTACCTTCATAGAGTAGATGCTAGCAAATAATTCAGGGTGTCCAGCTTGAGAGAAGACGCATAAATGGCAGGTACGACCAGTAACTGCAATCCAACCTGTTTGCCAGAGGATGGTACAGATAAAAGCAAGGCCTAAGCAAGATATCTATGGCTAATACATGTATTAAGAGAGTTAAAAATAATTTTAAGAACTATTAAATAAGAACATTTTATTTTCTAAGGCTATATAAGCTACCTCTACATTAAAGCTTTTGCCAGCGGGTAACCGCTGGCCTATGGTCACATTGAAACGATACAGGGAAGATGTAGGTGTTCTTCCCCCCTAAGTTCCAGCGTTCGAGCACTCACTGACATCTCTATAGTAGCATGGCCCCTGCACTAAGGATGACACATGTAATCAAAGAGACGCAAACCATTTTTTAAAAAAATCATTTTTATAACTTTTAGGTATTAATTATCACTGAATCAAAGACACTGAAGTGTCTCGCCTAAAGAGATTTCGCCAGAATCCTAAGTGCGCGGTCGCGTAATAAAGATAATGGCTGTCTGGGGTGGCTTATACCATGCCGCGTACCGAAGCGTGTACCCCGGTGTTTATGAACCTGTAGTCTGTCGCCCCAAAGGCTCAAGAAACTTATATGTTATGATATTTCAGTTTAATATATTCTTACATTAAGTTACAGTAGGCTCATAGGACGGAATTGCGTGCCATGTCCTGATAGTTCTAAGTAATGATTCTTAGCACATTGGTTAAAGCAAAGGCTCGATCTTAGACTACAAGCAATGCTGGTACTAAGCATGTTCGCGGAACGATGTTTTAATATGTTTATCACATTGGCCTTCTTGCTTTAATAAAATACCTTGACCCTTTATTGTTTTTCATATAATATGCAATCATGCCTTTAACAGTCTTTTCGCCTATCGATCATTACTTAAACCTATTAAAAATCCTGTCTTTGAACTCTGTTGCTATTGAGTGCTAAATGGAGCAGACGCATAGATGTGCAAGCTCAAAGACGGTTCTTAATAGCAGTGTTCGCTCTTGAAACGGCCCTTGATGTTGGGTCGACGACATATAGTTACATGGCGTGTGAGGAAACCCTGGAGATCAATGAAGGGCTTGTTTTACTGTAGCTAGAGAGTCGAGTAGAAGTACAGTAAGAGTGCGACGCGGGACGGGCCGCCAGGAGGGTTGCGGTGGAATCTTGAATCCGTTTTGGGATGGCTTCACAGCCTTATGCAGTGACCTGGTCCTGAAGACAGGCTTGGTGGTTCTGATGCGATCGCTCTCTCACCTTGAAGACAAGGCTGAAAGAGCGAGCATCGTAAACGAAACCAATGACGTATAACAGATCGCTGCCTAGCAAAAAGTGTAAAGATCAACCATTTCTATTACTCACCCAGACAACAAAACAGTCACAAATGATGGTCACGTTGCAAAATAAGCCCCCAATGCGAGTGGATTGCGGGGAGAATTACAAGACATACGGTGAAACCATTCAATGAGCAAGTGTCTCAGGCTGAACGCCTCCCGTTTGATGACGAGGGTTTAACGACGCATCGAGGCTGACGTTTGTTGACTTATTTTATGTACTTGGAATCTTTGTAATTGGCATTTCAAGTCCTGAAAATGCCGTCTTCCGAACTCTCAGTCGATAGCCAAGAAATAGCCCCAGAATTACTACAACACAGCCTAAAGATCGCCCTACCACGCAGCTCAGCCTTACCAACAGAGGCATGGTATAATATGCACCGTAAGCAGCAAATGCAACCAGATCCTCCTTTCATTTTCGAACCCTTACAGGGATTATTGTTCGGACTTTTTTGATACCTCAGTTTTTGATCATTCGTTTTAGCCCCCGCTGAGTTGGTTACGAGTCAGAGCGTGAAGGCTTCCATCTCAGCCTGATTTCTGAAACGCCAACCGTCTTTTATATTTACCTCTCTTCTGCGCCATAACTTCTTTCATTCTAGTCTCTTTTTTCTTTGTAAAGATCGTCTGCAGGACCGTCAAGGCATCATGGCGGTCCGCAAAGACAAAGACACAGCGGAAGCACAGTTTGCGCAAATCCTCGACGATGCTAGCAAGCTGTACTCCTCCGACTCCAAGGACAAACTCGGCGATTTTCTTAACCCGCCTATAAACAACGTCACAGACCTGATCAAACAAGTCGACAAGCAGAATGATCAGTTTACTAAATTCCGCGAAAAGCGGCAGTCGATCTTTAGCGCTATGGCGGCATGCCTTACTCCCGTTGAAGTCATCGGTGAGATCGTGAGCGGCGCTGCGGCAGACTCATTTGCGCCGGCGGAGGGAATCTTCGGCGCTGTTGCGTATCTCATTGGAGCAGCGAGAGATGTTTCTTCGGCGTACGATACTATCGTTGAGTTATTTGAACATTTGAAGGTGAGTGATATTGATCAACCCCGCTTGAGGCTTTACTGACAATTGTAGGACTTTACATCACGACTGGACGTGTACGTTCAGTATAAAATGGGCAATGCACTGCGAAACAAGGTCGTCAATATTCTCGCGCAACTCTTTGAAGTGTTTGTCTTAGCTGCCAAGGAGGTTCGTCGCGGTCGCTTCAAGGCATACTTCCGTACAGTATTCGGCAAAGGGACACCCGTGCAAGAAGCGCTCGATAAGCTCAAGGCTCTTAACATTGGTGAAGAGAGGCAGGTTCTTGCAGATACTTATGGAGGCGTCAACAAGCTTAATCTCACGACGGAGAATATGCAGAGCAAGCTTGAGGAGATGAACGAGACTATGATGCAGATGAGATCTGAAGGCCGTGAGCGTACTATCGCGGCGCATCAGGATAAACTCAAAGAGATTCTGGACCCTTCGCCGTTTCCTGAGGACTTCTTTGCTATGTTTAACAAGTCACGCGCGGAATCGACCGGAGATTGGATCCTTACAGATGGTGGATTTAACGCTTGGCTCGATAGGAAGACCAACTTCCTTTGGATTACAGGTGCAGCAGGTATGTTTCACCGGTCTTAATACTCAGGCATTTACTAACATCGTCACAGGAACTGGAAAGTCGTATTTGACCACTAGGCTCGTGTCTTGGGGCACAGAGAATATCCCGCGTCTTGCGTACTTCTACTTCAGAGACAACAATCCCGAGACTCGTTCAGTTCTCCAAGCTCTCCGCGATCTCGCCTACCAACTAAGCGAGAGCGATCCCTTTTACGCCAAGCAGCTTCTCAAGAATCTTCGCAGCATTGATGAGATCCGCACCATCCCCAGTGCTTATCGAAAACTCTTCGTACAACCGTTCCAGCAAGAAGAGCAACAGAAGGCGATTTACATCTTCCTCGATGGTATCGATGAGGCGGATTCTGCTGAAGTCGAGGAACTACTCCAGCAAATGGGCTCAGATGATGAGTCTGACAAGAGACCCAAGCATGTCACCCTTCAAGTTGCTCTTATTGGAAGGACGTACATGACTGAGGCTGTCACGTATACCCTTGATCCAGGAAACCGAGGAACTCAAGTCATCACAACACTTCACGTCACACCTGATCGCAACGCGGAGGATGTCAAGTTATACATCGAGAACAGTGTCTGGCACCTTCGCAACCTGAGCCGCACACCTCCAGACTTTAGACAAAAGATCATTGACGCAATGATCAAACAAGCCGATGGTCTCTTCATTCTCGCAAAGTTTATGCTGGAAGACATCAGTCGCAAGCGGCACCCTCAGAGCATCCTTACCAGTCTGCAGTCATATCCCAAGGAGATCAACGGTATTATTGGACAAACACTCAAGAACCTTTCCGAGACACTGTACGAAGACCAGACGAGAGACTTAAATGAAATGCTCCAGTGGGTCGCATGCGCAGAAGAGGTTCTATCGCTCGAACAATTAGAAGCAGTCCTCATCATGCGCTTCGGCGATCCTCCCTTCCATCTTGAAGAAACCCTGCGTGGTCAATACGCATGTTTCTTTGAACTCGAGCGCGAAGACGGTTTAACAACTGACGATCTCATTCGAGAGCATGAGAAGCAACAACGCATTAAGAACGGCGATCTAGGCTCAGGCAGACGTTCAAGTTCAGCAAGTCGTCCGGGATCAGGACGAAGTGGAAGTCCCAAGAGCCCAACAGTCTTCGGTCGAAGTCCCGACCTTGGTCGAAACCTATCTCCTTTACGTCGCACGAGTCCGATACAGGCTTTGGGCCCTGGACGAGGAAGTCCCGGCCGCGGCGTGAGTCCAGCTGCCAATTCTGATCTCTTTGATCCGATGAGTGAGATGGACTTTCGATCGAGCAAGACGAACACGTGGATTACTTTCTTCCACTCTTCCGTCAAGGAGTTTTTCAGTACTCAAAACTCTTCAAAGCTTGGTGCTGGTATCGGCTTCGATCCCCTCATTTCGCGCATTCACATCCTGAGGACCTGTCTGTCCATCTTTACTAACAAGGCTGCCTTTGAGAAATATCGTCTCAGTGCTAGTGGTCGAGAGTCTATGAAGCAGTATGCTGCGTGGTACTGGCAGGAGCATTTAGCTGTTCTCGATCCCAAGACAGTACCTGCACCTGAGAAGAAAGAGCTTGGAGAGTATGTGCACAAGATGCTCACTGATGAGAACACCATCCTCGACTGGACTCTCATGTATGAG